CCTTTGTCCATGGAAGGTCCCTGCAAAATTTCATTGAAATTGGTTCAGGGGTTTTGGAGAAGAAGTCGAAAATGTAAATTGTTTACGGACGCACGACGGACGACGGACGACGACGGACAAAAGGCGATCGCAATAGGTCACTTGAGACTTTGTCTCAGGTGACCTAAAAAAGCTTTTTCAGAATTAAGGACAAAAATAATATAGATATAACACTTAATTTAAAGCTTTGAAACCTCAATTGCCTTTCTGCCTAATAAATCTGAGGACAGAGTTTACAATGTGTTCTGTGACTGAGGTTTAAACTTACCTTGCCTCTCGGACAATTTTGTACTTGAAGACACTCTGGGATGTGAAAGTCCATAAGCTGCCTTTTAGAGGGTCTTTACAGAGTCCTAGCAATCGCCCCAATCTCTGTAAATATAATTTATAAAGTCAAAGTATAAATGATATTGTTATATACTGTATCTGTACCTGTACAAGACCAATGAATTATAATTTTGTCTCTTTAAACAGCTGTGGGATTGCACAACTTGACATGATGTGCAGTGTGCACATCGAGTCTGCACAATGTGCACATCGATTTGTGACAGCTATTATGGTTTATAGTGAAATGAAAGGTTACTTACATCAGGGTATATATCATCAAAGATGGGCTGTTCATTCAGTACACACATAACCTTGATCCTGGAGGATAGATATGTTGACATGTATTATAGATATTATAGAAATGATTGAATGATTGATTGATTAATTAATTGATTGACTGATTGACCGAGGGTCTTTTTTCAACAGTTACATTTGTATCAGATGGTGGGCGACTCAAGGACCACTTAAAAGTGTCATCACACTGAAATGTCATGTTAGCATGACACATCCCCAATCAGTTGTCACGCAGTCCTGACAACTGGCTATATAGCTAACAAGTCTCAGGAGATATCACTAGACACCTTATAGATAGGAATAAAGGACAAAATGGACCATAAATAGAATCAAACATTGTCAACCCTGAGAAAGCTACTGTATGAACATTTATTTGATCACCTTGCAAAGTTATCTCCCTTCCATTGCTGACTACACAAATTTAAATGCTACAGAGTTGGTAGATATATGTTAGGCAAATGTATGATGTTTGTACAGATCACCGTAAATATGTAAGGTTTATGTTGAGAGGACAGAAAAATTGGGGGATGGTGTAAATGTGTAATCATTTTTACACAATACAGCACCACTTACCGGTCAGGGAAGAGCAGAAGGACGTGGAACTCTGTGAGAGCCATAGCCTGGGGTTTAGTGCCCCTATCGTCTGGGTCACTCGGGTAGTTCATCAGTTTTGTGTTGGTGGTGACAGTGGAGGGGCCAGCTGCCCCTGTAAGTTCTACATCCCCGTAATACACTCCCGGCCCTGTAAAACGATAAGACCAAAATACACTCTTGATTTTATACAATAATATTCAGTAATACACTGCATATACCAAAAGGTGACCTGCTTACTTGGCTTTTAGAACAGGTATTCTTCTAACGATAATGTCCCTGGCTTCTTACTTTTCCACTGGTCATTAAGCCCTTGAGACTACATACTGGTTATCCAGACATTAAATTAACATCCTGTCTTTACTCACCAGTCATCCATGCAAATTTCTTTGGTGCAGCTCGGAATCTTGGCAAATACAACTTCAGTTCACTATTCCCAAAGTCTCCCGGCAGTTCCAGAAACTGTTCTGTTGATCACAATTGTTTTTATTTTTAATTTTATAAAACAAGATCCACGTAAATAGTTACATGAATGTCTCTAGGAGTACTGACCTCTAGGTATGACTCCTTGTCTACCTTTCTGGTACTACATACAAAATTTAACCCTTAGTGAAGATGCATAAATAATTCTCAAAGTTAAAGACAATATTCTAACTACCTACAGGCATAGCACCACACATACAAGTAAGCTGTGGCACACAATCATAGCTTAAAACTGTCTAACCTGAAAGATAGCTATGCCTTCAACTCAAACAAGCTTAAATTGCCGCCATTAAGAAATAACTTGTATCAAAATCTGTTGTAATATAAATATGAATGTTGCTGTTTAACTGGTGTTGCCAATATAATACAAATTATACAGGCAGAGAGATATGCATTTCACACTGCCCAAAGTACCTGGTTTGTTTTCATACTGCTGAAACAGAGGCTGGAACATCGGCGGCTCTGATGACTTGGACACATTTCCGATAAACTGGTACAGACGACTGAAATAAACAGGTTGATACAGATATTACAAGTCAATTTACGAAGATGAATATACAAGATGCCAAGTTTTCATTGACAACCGACATCATTGTGGGGATCATATATAGATACTGTAGTGTACTTATCTTCTAAGTCTGATAGTGAAAATGCATGTGTATGGGCAATCAAGCAGTCGAGGCTTTGGCATAAAGAAATATGAAGTGTTCCTATCACTTTAACCATCAACATAAGACCTCTACATTCATTTGAGAACTAGAGATTGATATCATGAACATGGGTGTGAAATTTCATGAAATTTTGATAGACACTTTAGTCAGGAGGCTGTGAACAAACCAACAGTTGTAAGACAGATTGGGGAGCGGACAGAACAAACGGGACGACCCCAATATACATTCCACCAAAAGATGGACATTTTTCATTCAATTAATCATGCACATACTTTGTCTCTATAAATTATCACATATAATACAGCAATTTGTCAGAAAATTAATTACTTCATTGTTTACATCAATATATATATAAGTTTATCTCCTCACAGAATTAACCTAGAAACCATTCCTTCATACATTACCAGCCAAATACTCACCCTGGTGTAGTTATCATGATGAAATAATTGTATTCTGTCATGGCATCAGATGGCATACGGTCAAACTCCAGTCCTGTGATGGCCACAGCCTTTGTTTTACCCAGATTGAACAGCTGTATCACAATACATACAAAGTTATAGAACTATACTACAAACCTATCAGTGTACAATGATATAATAAATACAAAGTTATAGTACTATACTACAAACCGATCAGTGTACAATAATACAATACATACAAAGTTATAGAACTATACTACAAACATATCAGTGTACAATGACATTGCTCCAAAGTACCTTCTAAAGTACAATTTAATTTTGAAACAACAACAAACTGGATATCATAAATCAAAATTGATCTTTTTTAATTTAACCAGGAAATGTAGACCACAAGTTGATACAATGCCGAATTCATCAAAACACATTCATTTATAATACTTGTACATTTCCCTGATTTCAAGGTTTCATTTTCAACCACTCACAGCACCGTGGTAAAAATGGTTAAATGGCTCATGCATCCATCACCTGTAATTTTTCAATAAACAGGCGCCATATCAGATAAATCAATGCTAATGGTTAGACATCAGCTTAAAGTTTGTACATGTTTTAGTGATGCCATGATGCAGAAACATTGTTTCCTATCCACATTACAACCTAATATACATGTACAAAATTATTTAAAGATTGTAGAATTTGTACATATATTTTTGCCTCCTCGATACTACAGGGATTATGCTCACTTTTGCTCTCTGCACCCCTGGAATATGTCATAGCAAAATTGAAGGCACGAAGATAGCTGTTTGATTAGTCTCATTTTGCGCTGACATATTCCAGGGTGCAGAGAACTCGAGTGAGGGTAACCCCTGGAGTATCGAGGATGATTGTTTTGATGAATTATAAGAGATGGTGATTAGACATTTTAAAGGTGGGACGTAAAGAAACAAGTGTTGGATAAATATCTATATAAACAGTTAGATTGATACCTTCATCTCTCCATGAAGTGATACATGTATTGATGTTTGACATCAACTTAATAAAACAGGAGTGTTTTCACCACTTCACACATTTACTGTACTATATGAATGTGTGACATTGTAACAACCCTTTTTAAAAATAAAATGTATAATCATGATACATTATTAATGAATAAATACCACTTACCGGTATATACAATACAAACTTATAAGTATTTTACAAGTTATATAAGATGCAGTGAAATTAAATGTAATTTACAAGTAATATCAGATACAGGTGAACATTTTGAAATGAAATAAACTAAAAACACAGACAAACTTAATGTATTCTCATGTAAAAAAAATACCACACAGGTACAAGTCAATTAAAGGTAATTAACAAGTTATATGAAAAACAGACAAACTTCAAAGCATTTGACGACTAAATATAAAATGCAGGCAAACTTATTAGGTTTTTACAAGTAAATATGAAGTACAGGCAAAATTGTGGAAATTAAGATATTTTTTAAACCCTGCTTTATTAGTTGCAAAACTCAGTCAAATTCATACTTTGTAACCAAACTCTCTAATTTACATAGAAAACCAACGATAATATTTTCATAGTCATATCTTTTTGCCATATATGGGAAGGAGGTAACTGAGCTCAGTTGTAAGTTTAAAATAACATCTAGGTGTAATTGCCAAATCTGTTTCAAGATTGATCACTATAAAGGGTCAGACAGAGGACCATTGATATAAGGCTATATGTACCTAATATCTGTTAGTAGTCGGGGTCAGACAGAGGACCATTGATATAAGGCTATATGTACCTAATATCTGTTTCTAGTCAGGGTCAGACAGAGGGCCATTGATATAAGGCTATATGTACCTAATATCTGTTTGTAGTCAGGGTCAGACAAAGGACCATTGATATAAGGCTATATGTACCTAATATCTGTTTCTAGTCAGGGTCAGACAGAGGGCCATTGATATAAGGCTATATGTACCTAATATCTGTTAGTAGTCGGGGTCAGGCAGAGGACCATTGATATAAGGCTATATGTACCTAATATCTGTTAGTAGTCAGGGTCAGACAGAGGACCATTGATATAAGGCTATAAGTATGCTAACTAACATGCAGTTGTTTTACAAAAGATATCCACACTGACTAAACAATAGTCATTCCAGCAGTTGATCATGTTTTACTGTAAAAATTGTATATATGTACCAATTCAATTATTACCAGTTAAATTGGTGAAAAGTTTGCATCATATTTTGAAAGCATTTTTGTTTAACACGTTCCTTAATTACATATATTTTGACCCCCCGCCCCCCCCCCTCAAAAAAACAAACTTGAATCATATTCACTGTGTTTGAATATTACAATTTTTACAGTAAACAGTAGCTAGTACCTCCTCTGGACGAGCCAAAATTTTCAGCTGCATTCAAGAGGAACACAAAACATGTCATTAAACACACAGTTACATTTCATCATTACAGACACAGTATCAGTTAACCCATTACAACAATGTCTATCTTATAACAACCATATACAATGATACCATCTTGTACTCATATTATTATGTTAAGGTTATTTAAAGTTTTATCCACTTACAAAAATACCCTGCATATGGTTGGCCTTACCTGTTTCAGATACTGGTCTAAGCTCCCCTGAAAAAAGCGGCTGTTTTCATTATCTGTTAATTCTGTCTCAAATATCAGACCTATGACAAAAAATAAAACAGAGTTCAAAAACCAAAAAACACAGGAACCAGAAATAAAGGAACTTCAAATTCAGAAATGTGAAATACATGAATATTAAATGCAGGAATCTAAAATACATAAATCTAAAATACATTAATCTTCAATATATGAATCTCAAATAGAGAAATTACCTCAACCAGTGAAATGTTCATGGGTGATGTTTCAATGACCCGTATATCATCTACTCTGTCACTTTCATCCGACAATTATTCTGATGAAACTAACAAAGAACATATACTAGTCATCAAAAATAACTAGAATAATTGATATCTGGAATAGTCTCCCACAAGATGTTATTTCATCTTGTAATGTTTTTGACTAAGAGAAAAACTAGGACGAATTCTGGAAAAATCTGGAGTTGAAGTACGATCATACAGCGTTTTATATATAGGCTTATTTTATGTTTACCACAACGTATTTCAACTATATTGATGTGGATATGGAGGCAGTGATGCCTGCGTCCACTAATATCCTATCAAATCCTATTAAATAACAATCTCACTGGTTGTGCTATATAAGACTGTATACAAGAGATGATAGATATTTCCTAACTCAAGCATACCAAACAAAGACACTTAGCTATTCATCCTGGTCTTACCCTTACTAGCACCTTGGTAACTTGTCTAGTGAGCATTCTTACCCTTGCTAGTGCCGAGGAGAATAGCCCCTGTTGTGTTTTCATTGGCATTCTGCAGGTTCCAACCAACTGCATGGACATGGTGGCCCTAAAACAATAGCTTACATGTAAGAGATACACTACAATCTACATGGACATGGAGGCCCTAAAACAATAGCTTACATGTTAGAGATACACTACAATCTACATTGACATAGAGGCCCTAAAACAATAGCTTACATGTTAGAGATACACTACAATCAACATTGACATGGAGGCCCTAAAACAATAGCTTACATGTTAGAGATACACTACAATCAACATTGACATAGACATGGAGGCCCTAAATCAGTACAAGTCACATTTGGGTGGTGGCCCTGAATCAGTACATGGTCATCTGTATATCAACCTTTACTGAGGTGAACAGTTTATAAACAATATGAAAGACTGAACTACTGAATGAATTTGTGCACCTTCAGTTTGCCAATGGGACGTGGCTTTTTTGAGTTGCGGGAGAGGTAGTAATTCTCTGTGGACTCCATGCTGACAATAAGATGTCTACCGGTAGGATCCAGGAAAATTTTGTAAACCTTGTCTTCAACAGCTCTTGGGAGTTCCACCTCTGTTATAAAAAGAATCAGGACAGGAAAAAGATTATAACATGTATAAGTCATTTAAAAACAGCAGGTTAAGTTTTCATTTCATTATTATCTGAAATGTCTGATCATTGCTAATGAAGTCAGGAATATTCCAAGAAAAATGAAGAGGTCATGAATATCTGTATCATAATGTCAGAGGTAGTCAGGATCTTCCCCGTATACCAAAACAATATTATGTTTAAACTCATTTGTCTGCATAATATGGATATACAAAGATGGTTGATAGTAATCAAGAAAAACGTATTTCAAGAAATTTCACTCATTTAATTCACTCTAAATTTTAAAAGTTACATCACTAAATGATTATTAAAATATTAAATCAGAAATGTTACGCAATTTGTTAAAAATAAATTTTAGAAGTAGTTGTGATGTTTTGATAACCATTTGAATTAATCTTACCATCTGGTGTTTCTGGATGCTCCAGATCGAGGCGTAGTAATATATTACTCGTCATAGAAATCACCAGAAAGTTATTACACACCACTAGATGTGTGATTGGGTCAGGAGGTCTGGTATAAAAAGAGATCATACCATACAGTCATACCATTTTTTAAATGTTGGGTCATTCATAAAAATTTCAAATGGCGCAAATTTAAGACACATTTAGAACATTGCTAAAAAATCCAAAACACATCAAATGATCTAATCTTCATGCGGAAAAAAATATAACCATAACTTTTGTTCTGACTCTGATGCTATAATTTACAAACTGACATCAATAACAATCACCTACTAATATCTAGAAGATCTGATGTCATGGAAAATTAACACAACAGGGCCTACATGCATTAGCTCAGGGTTAGAAAGCAACAAGGCACCTAGGAACTCCTCTTTTAGGATCAATTCATTAATTCTTTCATGTGAAATAGCATTTTCTCAAAAGACTAGACTAGCCTGCTTGGTTCTTTTCTGTTGAAGAACAACCACAGCACTATTGATCAAATAAAACAAGAGGCCCATGGGCCTTAACGGTCACCTGATATATTTATACAGAGAGTTGATTTTTGTTTTTAACATGAACAGAAATATTATTCCAAGTGACAAAAAACAATAAAACCACCTTATTCAATATCTAGCATGCAGATTTAAGACTGAAAAGTATTTGAAACTAGCACCTCTGATTCTAAGCAAGGAAAATGAAGAAATTTTATTTTAGCACACAGGCTCCATTGGGCAGACCCTTTTTGGCCCCACCCATCAGCCCCGGGGGGTCAGTCAAGGCTGATATGTGCATACTTTCAAACTGCTACCCAATACTGATAATGCTTACCTAAATTGAATTACTTCCAATGGCAATTAAACAAATGTTGGTCCAAAATGTGATTTCCCTATATAAACTAAAGTAAAGTTTACCCCCTCCCCAGGGGGAAACGTGAGACTCCAGGGTAAAAAAAATCACAATTTTAGTAAAGCACCTTAAGACCCTTCTATCTATGAAGAGTATTTGATTCTACCATATCTGGATCTTGAGAAGAAGATTTTTGAAATTTTAGTCAATTTTACCCTTTTTGGCCCCGCCCCTCAGGACCCTGGGGGCTGGGGACTATATAATTCACAATTTTAGTTGACCTTTGGCCATGGAAGGTTTCTGCAAAATTTCATTGAAATTGGTTCAGGGGTTTTGGAGAAGAAGTCGAAAATGTAAATTGTTTACGGACGGACGCCGGACGACGAAAGACGGACACCGCCGGACAAAAGGCGATTGCAATAGGTCACTTGAGACTTTGTCTCAGGTGACCTAAAAACTGTAAATAGATCAGGACCTTGTCAAAATAGGCACTGACTATGTACTAGCTAATAGCAGCCTTGCTCAACACAGCAGTTGTTTAAGGAGAACTTACTTGAAGTTGACTTTCTTTTTACTGAAAATTGGGACATCTGTATCTAGTCTGGCATCAATGAATCCAGGTCCAATCTGCAACACACAGGTATGTACCTTCTAAACAACACACAGGTATGTATCTTATGGATGTCTATATCTACTGACTTCATATCTAGACCAACACAAGATGAATACATCAACTTGAAAAGAAATCATTCTAATGAATTTTAAGTGTGACCATTGAAACTCTGAAAACAGTAACAACGTTCAAGTACAATTAAATATTTTTTGTTTAAGAAAAAAAAGACAAATTTATTTTTAATACATAATTACCGGCTCCTGAACAGGTGGCATGGTTGTGCGGACCGACGCTGCTCTGGCCGATTCTTCCTCATACTGATCAAGGATGGAAGCCATATCTCAGCTGTCCTGTAATTTTACAAATTGTGTACTAAAAATATTGGCATTCAAATAAATTATCTTTTTTCCCTAAAATCCTGGTATGATCCTTCATGACAGTACTCACAATGTAGCTTTAATCCTCTCACAATGTTCTCATTTCAGAATATTTTATTGTACTAATCTTATGTACAAAAGGAATTTGGCAACAGGCATAGCCTATATATAAGCCCTCTCCTTACAAAATATAACAGTATACATATCATATAAATGTTACTATAAGAGATTATTTGTACTTTGAATTTGATTTGACAATACATATTTGAAATATTTCAATTTTTGTAAGAGAGATTATTTTACAAAGCTATTTGAGAATCTAATAAAAACGTCTGGTGTCTCTAATGTAATTCTGAACCGTCTCCACAATATTTATATTCATATTTACGTCTTGTGATTGGAAACCATAAATAAAAGTTTGGGTATTGAGTGGAATAGCATCATTCATCGCTGACAGAGAGTTAAGTAATATTAGTCTTTGGTTAGTATAAAAAGGACAGTGCAGGAAAAAATTATCACGATCTTCTCACGATGTTAAATGTATAAAAGTGATTGTAAGCCTTTGTTTTTGTTTCACAATTATAGCTATTACTATTATCCATATATGCTGTAAAGCACTTTAGAGTAATTTTACAAATTATAGAGGGCGCTATATAAATGTTGTATATTATTATATATTATTATTCTTAACAAGAATAATATATTCCGTTTTCAGTCGGAATCACTACGGTTTGTGATTAGTCACCCCATTACCTACACAAATGGCATTCGCTCAGGAGGGACATTTTGAACTATTGAAAATCGAAGACTCTACAGTCGGAGTTTAGCAGTTGTTCGTGATAATAAGAGCTGAACTTGAACTTGAATATAATGTAAACGAAAGAATGAAATATAGTGTTGAATGACCATGCCACATCAATAGCGTAACTGTATGTATCGATACATTCATTTATAAACAAACCACATGTGTTAGTTGATGAGTGTGCCACATAATTTCATGTTACTCTGACGGAACCTCCCCTCGTCTATTTTTTGTATTTATTTGCACCATCGGAAATAAACTATGCATGTACGCTTATGAGACCATAAGGAAATAAGATGCTTTGCAGACTTGTATCGCACATGTACATCGAGCTTACATTAATGAGGACACACAATTTAAACTAATCTTTGAACGTCCGGCATCATCTGACCTGGGAGGCTGTGTTGATATCAAAGTTCCTACCTCAACACGCAGGAGATTTACTGACAGGGGATACAACCCGTGCAATCCGAAGAATTTTTGTTTCACGTCGGATGGGCCTGCTGCATGATTAACAAAATCGCTTAAAATCTTGACCATCTTAATAAATAATATCAGTAAAGGCAAAAACATTGACTAATATAGAAAAAAAAATGTTTCAAAACCAATTAAGAATATACGACGAGATAAATTAAGTTTCAGCAAAAAATAAAGCTTTGCGGGTTTTTAAAACTACACTATGTTAACATAAAAATAACACTCGTGGCTAAACCATTTAATTCCAGATCGAATCAAGAATTTTAGGTCTTAATTTATTTTGAAACGCAACGAAGACTACTTATTTATGACGCAAACTAATGTTCATGCAACTCAATTATTGTTTAATTGGATATTTTTGCGTATCTAGGCCTGTTCACACGCTTTTATTTCTCCTTCATTGAATGTTATGACTGAACATTTTGTATTATTGTTGCTACACATAAACATCTCTCCGTAGAGATTGTGTAATCCATTCTCCACGTAGATTTTCAAGATTGTCAGAATCTGTCCACAGATCTACACAGTGGTTGTCTGGTACAGATTGCGCGGTTGCGCGGTTGGAATTCATTGGACCTTTCAGTACGATCATTGCCCTCATTACATTCTTTTAAAAACTCGTTAACTTCAAATGTACAATCTCCTTCACCAGCATACTTAGGTTTCGGTGAACGTAAATTGAACATTTTGCATACTAAAATTAGACATCAGTGTAGTCCACTTAATTATGATCTTTTTAGAGTAAATCTGGTTGATAGTCCAGTTTGTTATTGTGGCCATCCCTGTGAAAATGCCTTTCACTTTTTTTGTGAGTGCTTACTTTTTAACAACGAAAGACATACCCTGCTCCTAAATTTGAATGCCTTGCAGGTTGATTTTAATTCAGAACTACTTTTGTTTGGAAATAGTCAACTTTCGATAGAAAACAACATAAGTATCTTTAGACATGTGCATCATTACATCAAATCCAGCAATAGGTTTTGATAGTTATAATTACTCTTCTGTTTTTATTTATGTGTAAGTTGTTATATGTGTTTATGAAATTGTATTTCATTATTTTGCCTGATTTATTTGTTACATTGATTCTGTTCATTTTGAAATTTCTCTACCAGGATGCATGTCATGAAATCTGTATAATTTATAATTTATTCAAATGCGGATCGATTTCTCAGTTTACAAGTTTACTTTTCTAGGTAACACCCTCCCCTCCATCACCCCCACCCCATCCCACCCCATATTTCCTTCCTCAACCTATCTTTTTCCCTTTCCCCAAAAACATATACAGTATTTTTACAATATGTATTGATGAGAGGACTCTATTAAGTTGTAATAACTTGTTGTCCGATCCATTAGTATATTTGTACAATAAAATATGTTTGAACTAAGAAAAACTGATACAGACTCTGTCCACAAATCTACGCAGTGGTTGCCTGACACAGACTCTGTACACAGCTCTCGATCCACAGTGGTTGTCAGTCACAGACTCTGTACACTTCTCTGCAGTGATTGTCTATCACAGACTCTGTACACTTCCCCACAGTGGTTGTCTATCGCAGTCGCTGTAACAGACTCTGTACACGGCTCTCCACAGTGGTTGTTAGCCACAGTCTCTGTAAATGGCTCTCCGCAGTGGTTGTCTATCACAGAATCTACACAGCTCTCCGCGGTGGTTGTCTATCACAGTCTCTGTACACTTCCCCAATAGTAGTTGTCTATCACAGTCTCTACACAGCTCTCCGCGGTGGTTGTCTATCACAGTCTCTACACAGCTCTCCGTAGTGGTTGTCAGTCACAGGCTCTACACAGCTCTCCGCAGTTGTTGTAAGTCACAGACTCTACACAGGTCTCCGCAGTGGTTGTCTGTCACCGACTCTACACAGCTCTCAGCAGTGGTTGTCTATCACAGCCTCTACACAGCCCTCCACAGTGGTTGCCAGTCACAGACTCTACACAGCTATCCGCAGTGGTTGTCTAGCACAGACTCTACACAGCTATCCCCAGTGGTTGTCTATCACAGAATCTACACAGCTCTCCGCGGTGGTTGTCTATCACAGCCTCTACACAGCCCTCCACAGTGGTTGCCAGTCACAGACTCTACATAGCTCTCCGCAGTGGTTGCCTATCTCATACTTTGTACACGGCTCTCCGCAGTGGATGTCTATCGCAGTCGCTGTACACATATCTCCGAAGTGGTTGTCTGATACAGACGCTGTACACAGCTCTCCGCAGTTGTTGTAAGTCACAGACTCTACACAGCTCGCCGCAGTGGTTGTTAGTCACCGACTCTGTAAATGGCTCTCCGAAGTGGTTGTCTGATACAGACCCTAAACAGGTCTCCACAGTGGCTGTCTATCGCAGAAGACTCTACACAGCTCTACGCAGTGGTTGTCAGTCCCAGACTTTACCCAGCTCTGTACTCGGCTCTCCGCAGTGTTTGTCTATCACAGACTCTGCATTCGGCTATCAGAAGTGTTTGTCTTGTGCAGACTCTACACAGCTCCCCGCAGTAGTTGTCAGTCACAGGCTCTACACAGCTCTCCGCGGTGGTTGTCTATCACAGTCTCTGTACACTTCCCCACAGTAGTTGTCAGTCACAGACTCTACTCAGCTCTCCGTAGTGGTTGTCAGTCACAGTCTCTGTACACTTCCCCAAGAGTAGTTGTCTATCACAGACTCTATACACGGCTCTCCGCAGTGATTGTCAGTCACAGACTCTGTACCCTTCCCCAAGAGTAGTTGTCTATCACAGACTCTTCACAGCTCTCCGCAGTGGTCGTCTATCGCAGACTCTGTACTCGGCTCTCCGCAGTGTTTTTCTATCACAGACTCTGTACACTTCTCTACAGTGGGTGTCAGTCACAGACTCTACACAGCTATCCGCAGTGGTTGTCTATCTCAGACTCTGTCAGTCACATACTCTGTACACTTCCCCACAGTAGTTGTCAGTCACAGGCTCTACACAGCTCTCCGCAGTTGTTGTAAGTCACAGACTCTACACAACTCCCCGCAGTGGTTGTCTGATACAGACTACATAGCTCTCCGCAGTGGTTTTCAGTCATAGACTCTACATAGCTCTCCGCCGTGGTTGTCAGTCACAGTCTCTGTACACTTCCCCACAGTAGTTGTCAGTCACAGGCTCTGTAAATGGCTCTCCGCAGTAGTTGTCCGTCACAGACTGTACACAGCTCTCCGCAGTTGTTGTAAGTCACAGACTCTACACAACTCCCCGCAGTGGTTGTCAGTCATAGACTCTACATAGCTCTCCGCCGTGGTTGTCAGTCACAGGCTCTGTAAATGGCTCTCTACAGTGGTTGTCTATCACAGAATCTACACAGCTCTCCGCAATGGTTGTCAGTCATATACTCTGTACACTTCTCTACAGTGGGTGTCAGTCACAGACTCTGTACACTTCTCTACAGTGGTCGTCTATCACAGACTCTGCACAGCTCTCCGAAGTGGTTGTCTGATACAGACCCTACACAGGTCCCCACAGTGGTTGTCAGTCAAAGACTCTACACAGCTCTACGCAGTGGTTGTCAGTCATAGACTCTACATAGCTCTCCGCCGTGGTTGTCAGTCACAGACTTTACACAGCTCTCCGCGGTGGTTGTCTATCACAGCCTCTGCATTCGGCTCTCAGAAGTGTTTGTCTTGTGCAGACTTTACACAGCTCTCCGCGGTGGTTGTCTATCACAGACTGTGTACGGCTCTCCGCAGTGGTTGCCTATTTCATACTTTGTACACGGCTCTCCGCAGTGGTTGTCTATCGCAGTCGCTGTATACATATCTCCGCAGTGGTTGTCTATCACAGAATCTACACAGCTCTCCGCAGTGGTTGTCAGTCACAGACTCTACACAGCTCTCCGCAGTGGTTGTCAGTCACAGACTCTGTACACTTCTCCACAGTGGTTGTCTATCACAGACTCTGTACACTTCCCCACAGTGGTTATCTATCTCAGACTCTGTACACGGCTCTCCGCAGTGGTTGCCTATATCATACTTTGTACACGGCTCTCCGCAGTGGTTGTCTATCGCAGTCGCTGTACACATATCTCTGCAGTGGTTGTCTATCGCAGTCGCTGTACACATATCTCCACAGTGGTTGTCTGATACAGACGCTGTACACGGCTCTCCGCAGTGGTTGTCTATCTCAGACTCTGTACACGGCTCTCCGCAGTGGTTGTCTATCTCAGCCTCTGTACACAGCCCTCTGCAGTGGTTGTCTATCACAGACTCTGTACACGGCTCTCCGCAGTGGTTGCCTATCTCATACTTTGTACACGGCTGTCCGCAGTGGTTGTCTATCGGAGTCGCTGTACACATATCTCCGCAGTGGTTGTCTGAGACAGACCCTACACAGGTCTCAACAGTGGTTGTCTATCGCAGTCGCTGTACACATATCTCCGCAGTGGTTGTCTGATACAGACCCTACACAGGTCTCCACAGTGGTTGTCTATCGCAGACGCTGTACCTCTGACTACCCCATGGCCTGCTCAAAATGATCTACCGCAAAATATTGAGCTCATCTCTCCACGCTTTTGGTCTTCAGTTTTCCGCATTCGTTATCTTTCCCACTCTCCGCATTTGATTTCTATCGCAGTTCTTTGCAGTATATAGTTGCTTATCGCAGACTCTACATACAGATCTCCGCAGCGGTTGTTAGCAGTGGTTTTATGTTGCAAAATCTGTCCCGATCTCGCCTTAGCTGTTTTTCTTTCCGCAGCTCTCCTCAACAGTGTATCGTAGACTCTGTCTCCAGCACTCCAGAATCGTTTTCTACCTCAGGCAGTTCTCATCATTGAAAGGATTGGTGACGACCGCTGATCCGCTCAAAATGAAACACCTCATTTTGGGCCAAAATTTTGTCCATTTTTAGAATTTTGTAGGAATGATCAACTCAAAGCTAAATTTGCTCCCACCGTCCAACCCTACGCTCCACCCCTAAGATTTAATATCAATGGTGTGTACAAAATGAACAAAAAAATGGAATCTGCCCCTGGTATTTTTCTTTAACGATCTCTGCACCCGTATAGCCTCTGTATCCATTATTACTGGCTGAAGTGAGAATTTCAACAGTTATGGGCAATGTGCTTTAATTGAAAAAAGGTGTGTTTTCTGAAGCACACCAAAATTGGAAACTTTAATGTAGTCAACTACGAAAGCAAAAGTGTCCAGAAATTCTACGCATGTGATAATGGATGACACACATAGATAAGTCATGTGGTCGGAGCCTGCACGTACCCGGTGTTCCGTTATCTGGTCCCGGCGTCGCTATCTCGGCCGACATCCTTATCAGGGCCCACAGCCTATCACGGAGAACTAAACTTCTTGTCAGATGAAACTTCATTGACGATATCGAAGATGACTTTTTATATTTGATGGGATGTCCTTTTTACTAAGAAATTAAACTGAAGCAAGATCGAAAAATTGAAGGCAATGAATAATACAAAAAATAATGTCAGAAAGAAAAAAATGTAATTTTATTTTAGTGGTATCCACGATGCATCTGATGTGCTAGTATGTATAGTATGCGTTAATATTTCATTTATTATATATGACCGCGAAATTTAAACAAACGCCAGAAAGAGTCCATACACAACCCCATGATATAGAAGCTCATTCAAGGTATACGTTACATAAATTCAGTATAATGTATTTATGTAATTGAATAGAGTTCATGCAGCTTTATCTTGGCTGAGACAATCTATGGTGTAACTTTATTTTGACTTACATGTACTTTGAACGGCCCTTGAGTATCTGTGTATGTAAGCAATACTCCGATCGAAGGTAAAGATAGCTGTTGTAAATTACGTATACGTACAATCCATACACAGTAAGTACAATCCATACACAATCATGGATCGGAAATACTGAGGTTTCACGGTAATCGTCCCGCTCAGCAAACACTGAAATTCAAAATAACTATCTCATTATAATGTTTACATAAGTGGTCTTTCCTAACCTGCGTTAGCGTCAAATTAGTCCTCACCTGAGTGTATACCTAATTAGTTGATCCTCACCTGTACCTAATTAGTCCATTATCACAAGTGTCTGTACCTAATTCGTCATTTTACACCTGAGTCTGTACCCAATTAGTCCATTTTCACCTGAGTCTGTACCCAATTAGACTATTTTCAGCCCAGTCTGTACTCAATTAGTCTATCCTTACTCGAATCTGTACCCGATTTGCCAATTTACACCCGGGTCTCTACCTAATTAGTCTATTCCTACTTCATTCTATTCCTAATCAGTGTATCCTCACTTAAATATGTACCTAATTCATCTATCCTCACCTGAAACTGTACATAATAGACAATTGACTAATTGTACATAAATAGTCTATCTTCATCTGAATTAGTACCTTATTAGTCCATCCTTACCTATAACTAATTAGTATATTCTCACCTGTACCTTATTAATATATCCGTACCTATAACTAATTAGTATATTCTCACCTGTACCTTATTAGTATATCCATACCTATAACTAATTAGTATATTCTCACCTGTACCTTATTAGTATATCCATACCTATAACTAATTAGTATATTATCATCTGTTCCTTATAATAATATTCTATCCTTACCTATAACTAATTAGTGTATTCTCACCCATACATGATTAGTCCATCCTTACCTATAACTAATTTGTATATTCTCACCTGTACCTTATTAGTCCATCCTTACCTATAACTAATTAGTGTATTCTCACCCATACATGATTAGTCCATCCTTACCTATATCTAATTAGTATATTCTCACCTGTGCCTGATTAGTCCATCCTTGCCTATAACTTATTAGTATATTCTTACCTATACCTGATTAGTCCATCCTTACCTATAACTAATTAGTATATTCTCACCTGTACCTGATTAGTCCATCCTTGCCTATAACTTATTAGTATATTCTTACGTATACCTTATTAGTCCATCCTTACCTATAACTAATTAGTATATTCTCACCTGTACCTGATTAGTCCATCCTTGCCTATAACTTATTAGTATATTCTTACCTATACCTGATTAGTCCATCCTTACCTATAACTAATTAGTCTATCTTCACTTGCACTTAATTAGGTAAATTTACCAAAATAGTCTGTCCTTATCTGAATAATTAGACTGATTTTACCAAAGTAGTATGTCCTTATCAGAATTTGTTCCTGATTAGTTTATACTTATCTAAGTTAGTACATATTAATAGACTAATTGTGCCTACAAAATGTAATTCGTCTGTCCTCCTATGAGTTTATACCTAATTAGTCTATCCTCTCATAAGTCTGTACCTTGCCGAATTATTTCAGTACTTAATTATCTATCACCTGGTTATGTCCCTTATATTTAACCTGTATCTCCTCCCACGAGTAAGTTTAATTAGTCCTCACGGGAACTTATACTGAATTATTTGATATGCTCAGCTGAAAATATGTCATTTTTATATGTTTACATGTTCGTTGATTCTGAACACTGGATTCCAACAACAACATTTGTATTTACCTGGCCAAAATATAAACATTTACACAATAAGGGAACCGTGGGTATAGCCGGTTATGACGTGCTGGTGTTATCGGAGTGGACTGGTGTACCCGGGGAGATAACGTAAGGGGTGTATGTTATATAGTCGTATATCTACTCACGGCCGACATCAGTCTCCTCTATCTTCTACAGTTGTTACATCCTATCGGAATTATTGTATGCATGCCGTGGAATAACATCGGCGATCTCTGAGGGAGATGAAAGGGGTTTACCTCCTACTCGGCATTCTGGCGGTTGGAATACCAGGTAAAGAAAATATTTATTATTGCAGGTTCCATTTTTTGCCATATCCCAAATCTTGCTTTTTATACAATGTCATTTTGTTTGAAAGGACCGCTACAGTTTTGGGCTCTTTGAAAAGAAGAGCAAAACATGTAATCAAAATATCGAGGATCCTTGAAAGTGATAACAAAACTACTTGGCCAATAAAGGAATACTTTCTTCCTTAACCAACCACTTATCATGTTATTTGGTATTCTATCAAATGTGCACATTTTTATATTCACAACACAATGTAATGTAAAACAAGCCTAGTAACAATCTCGCATTGTCTGTAACTCGTAATGTGAAAGATCATGAGTTGAGAACATTTTGATATTGTCAGAAGTGTATAATTCATGCAGACATCAGCTACATTAGATTATGTTTATTACATTTTTCTTTATAAACACACAGACCTTCGTAAATAGAAAGTCCATCACCCGCCAAAAGCATGGAGTCTATGCTCAAACCAGCTTTCTTGTAACTCACTTAAATAATGTTAACGACCAAAAATTCAACATGGAAAACAGTATTCGGCTTCAAGTCTCTCCAATATTTTCCCAAAACTTTGACAAAATAATATTTTTTGATGTAATTTATCACCGGAACAAGAAATAGTTAAGGTTTGAACACAAAATGCTTGAGCATGAGAACGGTTTCACAAATACGGGCCCGGGTAAGTTGTTTTACGGCCTGCCAATAAGACCTACCGGCTCGAACAGGGGGCGATTATTATTTTTTTTTTAGTTCATTTGGTAGGGCGTCGGTTTTGTAAACCAGAGGTCATGGGTTCGATATTAGCGGAGGTATTGACAAAAAATAATGATCTCTATTATAAAGAGTCTATCAAATTTGTAGGTATGGGGAACAGGGAAATCATATCCGAGAATGTAGAATTTGAGGTATAACCGCGGTTCAGATCCCTTTCCCGTGGCATGCCAATATAATGTTGACTCTTTTTTCTCACTTCTTACACAGAAAATATACTTCAGAGTATCGGTCAATAATAGTAGTAGTAAACGTTTTAATATAATATAGTAATATTGGAATCAGGCATTCTTATCTTTATATCCAGATCGAATTAGCATCAATTAGTCCCGAATATGAATAAGTTAGCTGGTTGTTAAAATATTCGCTTTTTCATGCACTCCCTGCTCAAAACTTAGAAAAAAATACGTAGTTTCCGGCGAACCGGGGTCACCTGCTAGAAACGGCGGAAATGCCTATCTGCCTCTTCGACAGAAAAATGAGGTGATAAAAGGTTGCTTTCAGAAAAACAGCATCTATAAAATGGACAAAGTTTCAATAAAATACCAACTACATCACATATGTTTTTTAACTAATTGAACAAATATCCCGTTCGCAATCGGCTGTGTGATTGACCGGAAGTGAAGGAAGCGACTAGGCCGATGATGGGGAAGCTGATTTGCTGTTTGTTGTTGGTTGTGAATGTTTCTGTAAGCATTTTGAACGCACTAAAATAATATAGACAAATAGTCATATGTATCAAGCGTGTTAAAAACCACGGGGTTTAGTTACAAGTATGCTGCGACCCGTTTTCATACTATAAAGCCTATCGGTAGCCTAACGAACCTTTCAATCTCATGTGCATGCATGACACTTCAGAAGAGAGAAGTGCGTCATACGGTGGTGGATTTTAACTGTTTTAATATTAGTCTACCAGAAGGCATCGCCGTTGTCAGAACAATTCAATTTGAAGCCTTACAAAAAGGCTCAAATAGGCCACATTATGTGGAACCAGGTATACCATCTACTGTCCGATAAGGGGGATCGTAACGAAGGGAGATAATTGGATAACTAAAAAAACCGCTTGAAATACATTTGTAAGTTAATAAATTAACGTTAGATTTAAAAGGTGCATAGAATTATTATTACGGGTAAATTCAAAAGCATTTTTTTGGTTATTAAAACTGAGCTCAAAACGTTTTTCAAATTAATATTTGAAGGACAAAGAAAAGTCTTTATTTTATTCCAATAAAATCATTTTATTCCAATAAAATGAAAGTCTTCATTTTATTCCGATAAAATGAAGAGAGATTATTTTACGAAGACTTCATAAACATGCTTTCAACCATTATTACGCAGTATTCCATGGGCCATTTCTAGGACCATCCAAAGTTAAGGTCACTAATTGAGTTCAAAGATCAAATAAGATATTTCTTGTGGAACATAATAGTTTTATCTATCATGCGGTGATGGAATAAATTGAATGAAATAAAAACTTCATATGTAAATAAACCATTAAAAAAGGATATATTATTTAAGACTTGTAACGTGAGGTCAGCTTATTAATGTGTGGTCAAAGGTAAACATCTTGTTTTTACTTGTGCCCGAATGCATGATATTTTCAAAAAGTATCACTTAACTTTATAGCTAAAGGTGATGTGCATTTTCAGAATCAGTAGTTTATAGAACAGGACTAAAACTAATGAAGGTTTTTTGAGGGTAATTTTGGACATGTGTATTAATCAGAAACACTAGAATATGCCATGTATAATTCTATTAAAGCAAGTTCTTAAGGAAAGCTAACATTTTGAAACCTGTTTCGGGGTTAAATAAAGCAATAGGCATATTTTGTTCTACTTGTGGTACTTTTAATGAATAAAACTTGTTTTATACAAATCCAGGGGACAGTATGCTGTAAAAAGGTGTATTTAGTTTTGGGGTTTGATGTTCATAAGACAATTATTCGATAACAAACATAAATGTTCATGACTGTTCTGAGGAAGTTTGCTTTGATGAAAACTTCATAATTGATGTGATTGTAGAAAACATGAGCTACTGTATAGATCACTGATTCAAGACTTCACTATGGAACTTTCAATAAATTTTAACTATTTCACAGCTGCAAGAGGCCAGAACCTTAACTGCAATTTTGAACAAAACCTTTGCCAATGGACACAAGCAAGTACTGATAAAACGGACTGGCTCAGGATCAATGGTTCGACACCAACAGGGGCCACCGGTCCACAACATGATCACACTACAGGACGTGAGTAGCAAATACAACACCAACAACAGAGTGTTCCTGTGTTTTTGGTGAATGGACCATAACCAGATTTAAAAACATCACTACATGATTAAACTGATTGCATAATTGGTAATTGGAACAAAATGACAGTGTATACGTACTTCAACTGTGACAATAATCAGCATGCTTCATTTTAATCAATAATTGTCACATACTAATTTTAAAATTTAGCAAAAGCACTCTTTGAAAAATAAAAGGTTTTGCAGTTTTACCACTTGCTTAGAACTAATCCTAAAACAAAACCCATTTGGGGATATTTTTCTAAATTTTGGAAAAATGAAGGTATTGTTCCATTAAAAGAACCGGTAGTGAAAGTGTCAAGCTATATACAGTTATATAAACTTTTTTTATCGGAGTTCATTTGAGTAATTCTTATGAAAGTTTATGTTAAAAAAATAATTTCAATTACTTGTTTGATAAGCCATCTGGACAAATGTGCACACTTCCAATTTTCTAGGTTCATGTCCATCTTGAGCTACAGTAAACGTATGGTAATTCATTGATATGAAACAATATCTTTGTAATGATTGTAAAACTGTGTCCAAGTTACTCAATGGTTCCTTTGTTTCAACTAATTAATACATTTGTATACCAAAAACGATTTACATGATTTTGTTTTTTGCAGATGGAAGTTATGTGTATTTTGAGACCAATTCAATAGCGGCAGGTTTTAATGCACAGCTGTTGAGTCCCCAGGTGAGGGTGTCAGGCCAAAGTAAAGCCTGCTTGTCATTCTGGTACTACATGTACGGCCAACATGTCAACAACCTAAATGTGTACCTACAGAAAAACAACAACAACGGTCAACCTGTATGGCATCGCTCTGGTAACCAAGGAAACAGGTGGATAAATGGCCTTGTGGACATTCCAGTAAACACAAGGGCCAAGGTGGGTTCTGTGCATCGTTGATGTTACCTAATTAACTTTATACATTTTTATAATTTTGAATGAAGGCAAACCTGGACTCAAAAAGAAACCTTGTAGACAAAAATATTGTGATCTCAAACGCTGTATCTGATTAAAGACTAATAAAATCTTTTACCTGTAAATGAGCGAGATCGGGTTATCTCAGTCTCTGGTTAAGATTCTGTAACAAAATCCCAACCGAGGCATAAGCCAAGGTTGGGATGTTACAGAATCTTAGCCAGAGACTGAGATAACCCCATCTTGCTCAGTTACAGGTAATTGATTTTTTCTCTCGAACCTTTAGTTCGAAAAGAACTATTGAATTTTGCTAAAAACTACAAGCATCCTGCCTTGGACCTCAAATGATAATGACCTCTTCACTACTAAAGGTACATTTGAATGCTTCCGCGTAAAAATGTAGTCCGTCCTTACATAGATTACAACGTATTTCACAGTGTAGATTATATTTTATCTACAACATCAAATATCTAACAACATCAAAACTATACATTTAATGACAAAACAGAACATTTATAATGCAAATTGTCAATTTCAAGCAGTTAACGCGCGGATGAATACATCGCAGTGTAAAAATTCCGTGAAATGTTCCGTAAAGGTACAAGACCGATTGGACGAGATAGAAAATTCTAGCGTGGGGTAAAACGTGGGATATTTCTGTCTGAGGTGCGAGAAAAATAATTGGGAACCATATGTTTGGGCCATACTTATATCTCATACACTCCAGTGTAGTATACATTTTTCATATATGACAATATCATATTTATACCTTACAGTAGTATTAATATAATAATTTTCAGTAGTAAGTGTCATATTAGTACAAATGTCATATTCAGACACACATGATCCATATTAATTTCAGAAAACAAGTATTTACTAGGGGTGAAAAGATATACAGCAATGTCTACCTCACGATGCAATACAGATCATGATATGATGCTTATGATATATCATGATATATATGTATATCTGCTTAGATATTCAACTTCATGTTTGAGCAAATATTTTACAGAATTTAAAATGAAATTAAAAAGTAAAAATCAAAATACATTTTTTGTATGATTTTCAATATTTTTGAATATGACTGCACAGTGGATCATATTTTTACTGAAGGATTCCAAGGCAATAAGTACACTTGTTAAAATTTAAATAAAAAATTGGTTGATGATTTCAGTATTGTTAGTGTATTGCGATACAGGCAAGCAAAACAGTTTGGTACAATACACAAGAAATTATCTCAGTATTATATGATTTCATGAATCGTTTCAGCCTAGTATTTACAGTTCATGGGATATTTAAAGGTAACACCAATCAGTCCTATTTTCCATTATAGCTTCGCCTATATTATCCCAAGTTTTGTGTAAAAATAAGCAAAATAGTTGCAATATTATCCCATTTTTGAAAAGGCAATATCACTATATGGCATATTTGATATTGCGTTATATAATGGCATAATGTCAGTTTTAATAAGATTGTTATTTTTTTAGGTTTTACGAAGGTAGTGTTCGGTACATGATAATGAATGATTTTCAGATGCAAGATTGTTGATGTTTAAGGTTGTGTTAGAGGCAGTGCGTGGTAGGGGGTACAAAGGAGACATCGCTCTGGATGACATCACCTACACTAACAAACCTTGTCCACAGAGTGGTAAGTGAGTGACCTTTTAGGTCACCTGAGACAAAGTCTCAAGTGACCTATTGCGATCGCCTTTTGTCCGTCGTCGTCCATCGTCCGTTGTCCGTCCATAAACAATTTCAATGAAATTTTGCAGAAACCTTCCATGGCCAAAGGTCAACAAAAATAGTGGCTGATTTGGTCCCCAGCCCCCAGGGGCCTGAGGGGAGGGGCCAAAAAGGGTCAAATTGACTAAAATTTCAAAAATCTTCTCCTCAAGACCCAGATATGCTAGAATCAAATACTCTTCATATATGGAAGGGTCTTAAGGTGCTTTACCAAAATTGTGAATTTCTTGACCCTGGGGTCTCACGTTTCCCCCTCGGGAGGGGGTAAACTTTATTATAGTTTATATAGGGAAATCACATTTTGGACCAACATTTGTTTAATTTCCATTGGAAGTAATTCAATTTGGGTTAGCATTAAAAGGGTCGAATTGACTGAAATTCATTATGGCAAATGATACTATGAATATTACATGTTGATAACTTGATTGGAATTATAACCCTGAGTTGACAGTTTGATACTTTGAACATTTGGAGCCAGCTCTACCCCCAAGGGTGCCCAAAGGAGTCCGTGTGCTAAAATTTCTTCATTTTCCTTGTTTAGAATCAGAGGTGCTAAATCCAAATACTTTTCAGTCTTAAATCTGTATGCTAGATATATTGAATAAGGTTGTTTTATTGTTTTTTTGTCACTTTGAATAATACTTCAGTTCATGTTTTAAAAACAAAAATCAACTCTCTGTATAAATATATCAGAACTCGGGTGACCGTAAAGGCCCATGGGCCTCTTGTTTTAAAGAGGCATTCATATTATTTCCATGTTTTGTGTGTGTCTACCACTCATTAAGTTCTTACTGTAATATTGTAATGGCAAGTGTGTGGTTTAGCTGTGAATAATATGGCCATGCCTGCATAGTGTTTGCATCCCCACCCCAGTATTCTAAGCCACATTATATTGGGTGGTGGTTGTTTTAGGTGTAAATACCAGCACTAGCATCCCCTGTAACTTTGAGGATGGCCGTATTTGTGGCTACAAACAGGACCAGACTGACAACATTGACTGGACACGGGCAGCAGGTGCTACACTGACGTCGGGGACTGGACCAAACAGTGACCACACCTATGGTACTCAACAAGGTAAGGCCACTTGTTACCTTTTTATGTTAACATAAACCCACTTTGTATTATACACATGATTCACTGTTTCATATAGCTGTTATCTTCATGGTGATACAAATGTAGTTTTTCCAGAGATGCCCCTTTTATTTAAACAGATATATACTAGTGATTTTCTTTTTTAACATATGACGAGAAACATTATTAGTTTCTAGCAACATTGATATTAAACAGAGGTGATTTCTGGCAAAAACAACATTAAGCAAAAGTAGTTTTCTTGGGCCAGTACTGAGTTTATTGTGACATAAGACTAATTTTCAAATAAACCCATTGTAGATATTGGCCCTCTTTCAACTCCTATTCCTATGGGTGGTACGATGGCTATTTCTCTTACATTACTCTGTAAATGGTTGTTTGCCAACTAAGCTAAAAACTGAGGATTGCTTCATTTCCAAAGATGAATATATATGTTGTGTTGTATACTTCATCATTAAAGAAAAATACATGCAAACACTTTTCTGACCTATCTGCATGCCTACTTATGGGATACGAGTAAATTAACATGATCTCAGATGAGGGAAGTCTTTGAAATATAAGTTATTAACATGAATGGAAATATTAATTAACACTTTGGCACTTTATAAATGTTTAATTCAGTTGACTTTTTTGAAGATATTAATAAAGGGGAGGAGGTCCTATTTGTGGTCAAATACTGTAGTACAATAATAGCCAAAGGTTAGTGGTAAATAAATCAGTGTGTCAGGACTCCCTATATGTGCATGTTATTGAGTATACTTTGAGGAACCTTTGCCACCGTGGAGTTTATATGATTTTATTTGAGGGTCACTGTGTATTATATATTTTTATTTGAGGGTCACTGTGTGTTTTGGTAAATGATTTTCTGAAGGCCACTGTGCATTTTATATGATTTTATTTGAGGGTCACTGTGTATATTTGTAAATGATTTTCTGAAGGCCACTGTGTATTTTATATGATTTTATTTGAGGGTCACTGTGTATAATTGTAAATGATTTTCTGAAGGCTTCTGTGTATTTTATATGATTTTATTTGAGGGTCACTGTGTATTATATATTTTTATTTGAGGGTCACTGTGTATATTTGTAAATGATTTTCTGAAGGCCACTGTGTATTTTATATGATTTTATTTGAGGGTCACTGTGTATTGTATATGATTTTCTGAAGGTCAGTTTTTGCATATTTATTTGAAGGTCACTACATGTACATTGATGCATCAAGTTCTCAGTCTGGTCAGAAGGCTCGCCTCATCAGTCCGTCCAGCAATGGTCAACATTCCATGTGTATGACGTTTTACTACAGTATGTATGGAAATGGAGTAGACAGTCTCAATGTGTACGCCAAAGCTGGCAACTCACTTGGGCAGCCGATCTGGTCCCTCAGTGGTGATCAAGGGGTGGGCTGGTCCATTGCCCAAGTCAGACTCCGCCGGGGAAGTGCCTTCCAGGTATGTTTCAGGGAATTATCAACTATGTACATTTTCATTTAGCTGAAATTTTAAGAACAAGATCGTATATCTCACTGCTGAAATTTACTTAATGCACAACCACTAGCAAGATATCTCTCATCAGTGATAAATCTTCATACAAGTCCTATACTCATAGAATTTTGATGGGACTTGTAGAATTTCTGGAAATACTTAAAGTTAACATGGTAGGATCCATTGCTTTTAACAATGTACATTGATCACTGCATTACAACAGGTTGTGTTTGAAGCAGTGCGAGGCCAAACCTTCAAGGGGGATATTGCTATTGATGATGTTAGTCTGACTCGGGGAAACTGTCCAGCAATTGGTAAGACAGTACACTATTGTAAAGATTATATAATCAGTTGATCAGACCCATTCTATATCTCATCACACAGAGTACTAAAGTAAGTTATCTATTTATCTTTGCATTCCGTACAATATTCTTAAAATGATAAACTTAGAACCACATTGGCAGTGATTGACAGAAGAAAAAGGTTAAACCAGTGATGTCAGTATTGTTTGGATTGTAACCAGATTGGACACTGTGAGACAAATTGACTTTCCTTTCTATGTATGTCAATTTGTGTCCAATTGCATCATGTTAACATATTAGAAACTATTGTACTGACAAATTTATTTTACTTGACACAGGGGTATGCAACTTTGACAAAAATTTGTGTGGATGGACTAATGACAAGGAGGACGATTTTGATTGGCTGCGTCATAATAGAGGAACAGGTACAAGTCAAACAGGACCCTCAGCGGACCACACTCATAACAACAATCGAGGTAGTGTATAGTCCAAAGTTTACAACCAGATAAAACAGTTAAACAATTATTACAAGAGTTCTTACTGTGTAAGTGATGTCAGTCCTCATTTCCGTTTTAACGCATCAGTTATCTAAGAGATCCAATAACAAGTTTTGGGATCTAATGGGATGGGAATCTAAGCTTATATACTACTTTCTACTGTCATTCATGGTCAAAATAAATGCCACCCATAAATGACAAATTCCATAAAGTGCATTTAGTGCTTCATGTTAATAACATGTTGAATATATCGGTTATCAGTTGGCATTCATGTTAATTGCGAATGCCGATTATAAGCAGGTCAGTACTTATTTTAACATAATCATTAACATCTCATTTTCCAAATACATCATGGAAATGAAATTTCATTGATTTGAAGTTCAGCATTAATTCAAATCACATTTCTTACCAGAATCTTGTAAACGTGTGTATTATGTACAGTCTACTTGTTCAAAAAATAGAACAGCTATCTTAAGGGAAGGGACTCTTTTGTGTCCAACTTTAGCGTTGTGATGTCATAGTTAAGATGCTGTTTACTGTTGGACAAACTTACTTTAATAGGGTTGTATACTGTATAGGTGCTCATTTTCGCAATGGATTTCATTTCACTATATTCGCAATCACCTAAGATAGAAATGAACTTTTCACCCGAATAATAAGATAAAACACCTATTCAGTATAGTATTTTAAATTATTCTGTTAATTCACTTGTACACTTAATTCTATCACCCAAATACAAAACAAATCCTCATTAATGCCATACTGTTACTTGGCAATGCTGAAGAAGGTACAATCAAGGTTCAGGTATCTCCTTGCCATGCATTCACCCGGTACTTGAAGCAGGAGTTGGTCACATGCACCACTGTGACAACTGTGAGAGAAAATGCACGGCCAGACCAGGGTTTGAACTCGGGACCCTCTCAACTCTAGATGGGTGATCTACCCATTGAACTGCCTAGTCGCTGAGGATCGACCCAGTCAAGTTCCACTACATATATTCACAAAATCTTCAGAAGTATCAGAATTTATCTAAATAGAGAACCATATTTAGCACACAAGTTAATGATTATATTGAACATTTTTTGCTTTAGGTTACTACCTATACATTGAGGCCAGTTCACCCAGACGACCTAATGACCGAGCTCGTTTGACTAGTCAGATTTTTCGGAAGTCCAACACCGCAAAATGTTTCCAGTTTTGGTACAACATGCAGGGGGCCAACATTGGAACACTCACAGTCATCATGAATGTCAACAGCGTGGACAGAACTATCTGGACACTGAGTGGCAGTCAGACAGGCAACTGGATATTTGGGAGGGTGCCCATCACCAACAACAAGAACAACTTCAAGGTACATATTCCTACCAGAATGTCACACTTTGTCTGGAGTTATATTAGTATAATATCCATGTAACAATCCAATGAAGACACCCAAAAATTAACCGATCATCCAATTGTCTTTACATTGTGTGAGTAGAATTGGATAAGACTACATTTTCAGTTATTCGCTTTATTTATCAACTTTAAGATGAAATACTGTAAAAGTGGGAATGTAGAAATGATTGTGCATTACGCATTGAGTAAATCATTGCAAAAAAAATATCAAAAAAAAAATCATGCAGACATTAATTAAAAGATGTTATGGATTATAGTTACAAAATATAAATTTCAGAACCATGTGCAATGCAAAAGTTCCAAAAGTGTGATCTGTATGTATAAACTATCACAATGCAAATATTTTTACAGAATTTTTTTTACAGAAAAAAAACCTTAAGTTTGAAACAGTATAGAGGACGACAATCAGAAACTGATCTTTACAACAAAAGGACACAATATGTGCCTTCTTTGGCCTACTGTTTACGCTCATGTCACTTTATAAATAAACTTTTGAACTGTAGCTGTTGATTTCGTTGTTAACTAAAGTATATGTTGTACAACTGTACCTGGAAACTTTCACCTAGTCATATGTTCATCTTCCACTGGGAAAATCCATACTTGCCCAGTGTTCATTTTGTCCTTTACATGTAATGACTATATGAGTGGTCGGGTGGTGCAGTGGATAGCGCACTTGCCTTTCACCAAGGCGGCCAGGGTTCGATTCCCCGATCGGACGTGAAAAGGTTGGGGTCACCTGCCCGACCACGTGGGTTTTCTCCGGGTACTATGGTTTCCTCCCACACTAAGACCCCCCCATGCGCTAACATCTGGGCCAACAAGAGTGATTAATATAAGTTGAAATAACTTGTTTCATAATTGTTGTTAAATAAATAAAGTTTATAATGACTATATGTAGTGTGTTGTGTATCAGTATTTGCATTCAGGATAAATTTGCCTTCTACCTCATTAATGGAGGGCAAAAATGGCGAAAGTTAAACTGCTGTGATAATTTCTTAGCATACAGTATGTAGTTGTTGATTTAACTGTGATCTATATATAATATTGTTTGATTATAGCTGGCTATTGTTGGTACTCGTGGAAACGGTACAAAAGGGGACATTGCCTTGGATGACTTCGCTGTGAGGAATTCTCGTTGCACAAGTAAGATACAAACTGAACAGAATTTTAAGAAAATCTTTGTTTTCTGAAAAGGTCCTTATAATTTCAAAGATATTATCCTTTTCAATATGCTAGCAGCAATTTTTAAACTTATTTTTTCTCTGGCAGATTATCAGAGAAAGTTTGTATGTTCAATAAAGAATTAATAAAAAAAAATGAACATGTGTAGATATGAAAAGAAGTGCATTGATTAGGTTGCCTTACAAGCGTCAGCTGTAGGGAATTTCCCTTTAGCTCAGCGGTAGAGCATCGGGCTGGAGAGCCAAGTGTTGCGGGTTAGAGCCCCAGCGCCGACACTATCTTTATCACTATTCCTCGTCCTATTACAGATATACCTTTGGGTTGCTGCTTATTAAAATTAAATGAAAATAATACAATACATTTCAATATGATTAATCAGATGATATGTATTTGTTTTCATCAGTATCACCCAGCAGTGCCCAACCTTCGCAAGTCACAACAAAACCGCCAACGACTATAACAACAAAAGTGACAACACCTGGAACAACACCCTCATCAAGTTAGTTTTTATGTTACAATAAGGTGAATAATTGTATGACTTAATTCTGTCTTACAATCAGGAGATGGTGGTGTTTGTGCATTCTGTATCAAAATCAGAAGGAAGTGGTGTGTGACTTCATTCTGTTTCACCTCACTTGAATGTTGAAGCAGAGCACTGTAACGCCTGACTCCACCTTGTGTATTGGAGAACTGAATAGGAAAACGACAACTGATGTGAGTGTAACCTTGCTTTCTGTGTGGAAGCTGGCCTCAAGTTTAGCCACTCAGCCTGAATTTTGCACAATCACGAATACATCGATGTGATTTCATTCTGTCCCAAATCAGGGAAATAGCATTGTTAATTCATTTTGTCTCATTACCACGGTGGTAGCAATATGCGTGTCAAATTTGTGGTGATGGCAATTTGACTTTATTTCGTCTCATAGTAAGGAAGAGATATGTAAGTGTTTTTTAATTAGATGTTAGGATGAGTGTACTGGAATGAACTTTTCTGTCTGTTTGTCTGTCTGTGGATAAAAGGTAGTCCAGACAATTTCTACTTAACTGCAACGCTGATTTCAAGAAAACTTTAAATGCATGATCAATACATAATGGACTTGTACAACTAATATTTAATTTTCAATTTTGACCTTTTCCTCAGTGGTTATTACCCATTTTTTACTTGTATACATTAGTCATTTCAAACCCTGTCCAAACAAATTATCTGACTGACAATAAACTTTTTGGCAATTTGTAGGATTCAAGATGGTCACCACAGTCTCTGATTGACTGACTTGAATGTTTTTGGTCAGCTTTGTTGATATTGGTTATTAAGCCTCTGACTTACAGTTCTAGTTTTAACAAGACTGGTTTTGCAGAAATGTACTTTTTGTTAATATCTTCATGAAAAGTTTGGGTTGAATTCTTAGGTGTTGTCTAGGTTTCAATGTTAATTTTATGTATAAAGAAGATTCCTGTCTTTAGGAATATGTTTAATGCCTTCTCTGCACACAAAAGGGCACTCAACTCAAATGTACCCTTTAATGGTAATCAATACATTCGTAGGGAGAACATACATGTAGTACTTATTGAGGCACAGAATACTTCCTTATCATCGTTGTCTGACAAGAACCTTTGATGATAACACTGCTGAAAGGTGTACTTGACTTTGAAATTGACATCCTTGGCTTAAAACCATCACATTTACTACAAGATATCTAAACTAGTATTATATTAGGAAATTAGTTCACAACAATTTGGTTTGAATAATCAAACTGGAACCATTAATTTACAATAATTTAACAATTATGCTTATAGGTACAAACTCAGTCACATGCAATTTTGACTATAACTTCTGTGGTTGGACAAATCCTAAGAATGATGATTTTGATTGGACAAGGCAGAGAGGGTCCACTGCAAGCTCCCACACTGGGCCCAGTACTGACCATACTTCTGGACGTAAGTTAATCACAGTGTTATCACTAGATGCACATATAACAAAGAATCTTAATTTGGATTTATGGTCACAGCTTTATTGAATAGATATGGCGGGCGGTCTGCCAATAGACCATAATGGCACACCATCAATAAATTTTAATTTCAACAACAATTTAATTGATTGATGCTGGGAAACAGTTCTCAACCAATTAAGCAATACAATTCAAATCAATTAATTATTGAAGAAAAAAAGTATTTAAGCTAGTAAATCTTTGATAAACTTAGCCTGATTTCACTCTGACGGCTCTCTTCCAAATTGGTTTTCATTTAACAAGGGAGATAACCCCTTATTACTTCCACCAAGTAGGCTTCAATCATGGTTGCACAACACCAATTCAGCATGCGCCCTCTGATAACGGAACTATATGGTGTTTTGCCATAAGTACTATTATATGTGTAGATCAGTCGAGGATTTCATCCTCATGTGTAATTCATCATTTTTGGTAATAGAAATATCACCATGACAACTTAGGAACCACAATCCTCTGCATACATTCTCTGACTAGATCTGTTGTAGCATTAACAAGTGTGTTACTTTGTCATTATTATCTCCGCCAGTATGGTGTCTATATATATGCAGCAGGAAGTAGGAGAAGACCATCCTGGTCTATATAAAGTAATGAGAGTGCTATACTGTCTGACCAGATACGATGCAGACCTGTCAAGTTCTTAAAAATTCTGATCTAGGTCATAACTAATAAATAGCAGTAGGTCATAGCACCATCAATGTAGGTCATTGTATAAAGTAAAGTTTTGTAATGGATTACATGTGATAAAATTTAGAAATTTTACTTTGTCAACAAATTCAATAAAATCAATTGATTATCATTTCATCAATTTAAAATGTATTCTGTTTAACCAGAGATTAGTATTATAAACATTTTGATAAATGATACCCTCATTTAGTGAAATCAAGATAATATAGCATAATGCTTCCACCAATTTTTTTGTACCTGGTATGATGTGATTGGGTCATTGACATTCTATCAAATGCGGTAAATTTCAATCATTTATAGAAACCCATTTCATTATTTCAAAACTTCTTTTCTTCACGTTTGTAAATATACATTTGAAAAGGTTTGTTGAATAACTTATTGATAATCCTTGTCAACCAAACGCTTGCTAATCAAGTTACTGATAATCTTGTTTAATCAATTGCTTGTATTTAGAGGTATTCCTGGTCAACTACAAACTACTTAATCAATTTGTTGATATGTTTTAGTGTGTCTTAATGTCTATGAACTTGTATTATTATGTAGATGGCTACTACATATTCACGGAATCATCAAATCGTCATGCCAATCAGAGGGCATTACTACAGAGCATCCTTGTGAGCCAGACTGGGCCTCATTGCTTGACATTCTGGTATCATTTGTATGGATCGAATATTGGAACCCTCAATCTGTATGTACAGACAGGGGCAACTCGTGGCTCCCCAGAATGGACTCGTTCTGGTGAGCAAGGAAACCTCTGGAGGACATCAAATATAACCTTCACACCTACTGCTCCATTCAATGTGAGTACCAGGGTGAAATATGGTAAAGAAAGAGTAACATATCTGCTCCTTCAATGTAAGTGCTAACTTATAATGAAAACATTTAGCATCATCTCCAATCCATTCAATGTAGCATACATCATTTGCCTCCTGCTTGTGTATACATTGGAGATGCTTTGAGCCAAACTGTAAACATTTGCTAACTTTCCAAACCAAATAATTTAAGCAATTAACATTTACTACTTCTTCAATTTGAAAAAAATGTTATACCAAAATTTGGTTCCTCTATCAGTTTGACGTGGATTTTGAAAGTGAATTAATGAATTATTTTATTTCCATTTTAGCTCATATTTGAGGGCGTCATGACAAATGGTTACCGTGGTGATATATCTATTGATGATGTATCTCTGACAAGTGGGACATGTTCAGGTACTGGTTCACTAGCACAAACTATCGAATGTATTTCATCAAGTACAAGTTTGTAAACACAAAGTTTCTAGTGTGTTATATTAGGCACTGGTTCATAAACGCAATGTATCTAGTATGTCACATATATCTAATGTATCAAGTAGTATTTATCACAAACACAAAGTATCAAGTGTGTGACATCAGGTTCAGGTTCACTACACAAAATACAAGTACAACAACAAGAACTGGTCCATAAACATAAAATATCTAGTGTGTTGGAGAGTTTATCTGCTTCTGGCTCATTGGCAATGAGTACATTCAGGTAAAAGCGTTTTCATATCTAGTGATAAAATCAGATAAAACCTAGAAATGGTAAGGGAGATAATCATAAGCAATAAGGGAGATAATCATAAGCAATAAGGGAGATAATCATAAGCAATAAAGGTTTCATTTGTTGAATCCATCTTTCATTGAATAATTTTTAATGAAATAAATTAATGTTTGTTAAAACGAGTGCTAATATATGCTAGTGCTTTAATTGGTGTGAAGGGTCATCTGGGATGAGCGGAAGGACATGTGGTTTTGAGGACACTCATATCTGTGGATATACACAGGACCATTCTGATGTGTTTGACTGGACAAGAAAATCAGGATCAACATCATCTACTGGCACCGGACCATCCAATGATCACACATATGGAACCAGTCAAGGTAAGGCATCTGATCCTTGAGTGAGTCCAATTACTGAACCAGTCGAGGTAAGCTTTCAGCCCTCTAGTGAGCCGAACTAAGAACCAGTCGAGGTAAGCTTTCAAACCCTCTAGTGAGCCGACCTAAGAACCAGTCGAGGTAAGGTGTCAGATCCTTGAGTAAGTCCAATTACTGAATCAGTTGAGGAAAGCTTTCGAACCCTCTAGTGAGCTGACATAAGAACCAGTTATGATAAGAAATCCTCTCGTGAGATGAACATGAACCAGTCTAGTTTAGTCACCAGACCCTATAGTGGGACAACATAGGAACCATTCAATATAAGGCACCAGACCCAACAGTGATCACACATAGAAACCATTCAATATAATGCATCAGGGCCCGTAATCATGAAACCGTTTTCATGCTCAGGCATGGATTCTGTGCTTAAACCAGTATACTTGTAACTGGCTAAAATCAGACCTTCTGATGAGTCCACATATGGATTAGACAATGTAATCCATTAGACAAATACAGGACCAGTTAAGGTTAGGCATCAGATAATCCATACAAAGTAAGAAACCAGATTTTCTAATAACACATTGCTGTTTATAGGTGTGTAAAAGAAGTGCATTGATTAGGTTGCCTTACAAGCATCAGCTGTAGGGAATTTCCCTTTAGCTCAGCTGTAGAGCATCGGGCTGGAGAGTCGAGGGTTGCAGGTTCGAGGCCCAGCGACGGCACTATCTTTATCACTATTTCTCGTCCTACTACAGGTGAATACTACTTGTAAGTTGTTGACTGTATGTAGCTACTTGTATATTGATGCTATACCTGGTTGATTGTAGGCCATTATATGTACATTGAGGCATCACTGCCGCGGAAACTAGGCGACACAGCACGACTTATCTCGCCATCTTACACTGACAGCCAGGCCATGTGTGTCCAGTTCTACTACCATATGTATGGCAACAGTGCAGGGGCGCTCAACGTGTACATACAGGTAAGAGTAAGATCACTGTTGTTTTTACACCAACTGGTGTAAATGTATGTAGCCGAACTGGACTGGGTCGATTGCTGTTGTTTTTACACGTCGACAACCAGTAAGCTCAATTAGTTGAGCATCCATTTAGAATTTAGAGGGTGTTGGGTTCGTATCCCAGTCTGGCCATTGCATTTCTCTTCTCTTGTTACAAAATTTGCGAGCTTGCCAACACTTGTTTCAAGCGCTGGGTTAATACTTCACAAGGGGACATCCAAATCTGGATTGTAGGTGATTCTGTCTTAGGGGACAAAGACTTAGAAAAAGGAGGGAGGAATGTAGCATAACTGGACTGGGTCAATTATTTGGTGATAAGGTAGCTCCATTTGACTAATATCATTGTTGTTTTACACACACGTTGCCATAGAACACTGTGGTATTATACAGACTTTAACATATTATATATTGACTAATGTCACTGTTGTTTTTACACATCCTAATACATATATATCTTGACTAAGATACTCTGTTTTACACATTTTCGTGTTGATAAAGATCACATTGCTGAAGATCACTATTATTTTGACACAGACTTATATGAATATATCACAAATGTTTTTAAAAATACTTCTGTATGTATATATAACATCACTGTTGTTTCCACACAGACCAATGGACAGTTGGGAAGAGCTGGTTTTACCATGTCAAACAATGGAGGCAATAACTGGCACCTTGGGGAAATAACAGTCACATCTACAACAGCAAGTGCAGGTTACAAGGTAGCTTTTCAGTCATAAAACAGTTGTAGATGCATATTGCACACTCATATTTCACCAAAACGGCTGGTGTTTGACTCTGAGCTTGAGTGGGAAAAGGCAGTGGGTCACCTGCCCGACCACAGGACTTTTTCTCTGGGTACTTTGATTTCCTCCAACACTATTTTTCTACAGGCTTTCTTACAGGCCAGAAAGAGTACCAATGAATATTAAAAGTAAAAACTTGTTTCTTAATATTCCAGTCCCTTTTGGCATAAAGACCCGGTTTTTGTATCAATAACGAGGTACATAGGTATCATTGCGACCTCTGTGGGAACTTAAGACGATTTATTATATTGAATTAGAAAATAACATGTAATATTTAGTTATTACTTGTAAGCTCACCTGGTACAAAAGACTAAGATGAGCATATTTAAGATCCAGGTGAGCAATACAGGCCCTGAATTTGAAATTCTATACGAACTTGGTAGATTGTTTTTGTGCTTATCAATGAAGCGTAAAATCTCAAACCAACTTAACAGGTTGTCTTTGAGGGAGTACGAGGACAAAATGCAAGAGGGGACATCGCTATTGATGACATCAAATTCAAAACCGGACGCTGTAACAACCCAGGTAAACAATATTTTAAGATGAAAAATGTTTTATATTACATGTATAAATTAAAAAATTGTTGTGTCTATATGTGACAATATATAGAATAGCTGTCTTTCTATGTCGTTATATATAATTAGAGTGGTCTTTGATGCGACAGGTGTAATAGTTGTGTATGTATATGTTTTTGTGTAGAGTTTAAAACTGTATGTATATGTGTTTTTGTAGAGTTTAAAACTATATGTATATGTTTTTGTGTAGAGTTTAAAACTGTATGTATATGTTTTTGTGTAGAGTTTAAAACTGTATGTATATGTTTTTGTGTAGAGTTTAAAACTGTATGTATATGTTTTTGTGTAGAGTTTAAAACTGTATGTATATGTTTTTGTGTAGAGTTTAAAACTGTATGTATATGTTTTTGTGTAGAGTTTAAAACTGTNTTTGTGTAGAGTTTAAAACTGTATGTATACGTTTTTGTGTAGAGTTTAAAACTGTATGTATATGTTTTTGTGTAGAGTTTAAAACTGTATGTATATGTTTTTGTGTAGAGTTTAAAACTGTATGTATATGTTTTTGTGTAGAGTTTAAAACTGTATGTATATGTTTTTGTGTAGAGTTTAAAACTGTATGTATATGTTTTTGTGTAGAGTTTAAAACTGTATGTATATGTTTTTGTGTAGAGTTTAAAACTGTATGTATATGTTTTTGTGTACAGGAGAGTGTGACTTTGAGACAGGACTTTGTACCTGGGCCAACACACAGCAAGGAGATCAGTTTGATTGGACGATTCAACAGGGGCAAACATCGTCTGTGTCCACTGGTCCAAGTACTGACCACACAGTGGGGGACCCAACAGGTAACGACAGTGAGGGAGGGCTTTATACACTGTCTGTCTGTAGACAGAATCCTGTCTTGTTTACTCCCACTGTTCAGTCATCCAAATTTTTTGATACTTCACTGTTGTAGCTTAGACACTCTGAAATTGAGCATCTTTGCGTGTCATTTTTTAATCTGGCAATTTTTTATGGGATTTGATACGCCTCTTTAACACCGTTATTCACCAAACCTTTTTCAACTGACGTCTAAAGTTTATTGAAACTCGACTGATATAATTTGGCTCCACAATCTGAAGTTAAGCACTGAGCTTATGTTTTGGGTTTGGCTATTTTGATGGGATTTATTCCTGTTTTGTATAATCCTTAGGTAAAATTTCTTTAATCTTATTTACATATATGTTATTTCCAGAATATTGCTCTTCATGTTTTTAACACATTTTTATTAAACTTGCTACACATTATCATTACTTAACAAATCTTTACCCAGTCCATTTCTTTATGTAAAGGTAATGCATACCCCTTTGGATGAAAGTACCGTGGTAATACACATCCTTTTGGTTTGAATAATGTGATTTCCTTTGGCTACAAGTAATGTACTTTATATATAGTACAAGTTGTACAGATTCCTTTAGGTAGAAGTAATGCATACTCATTTTACTACAGTTAATATGCATTCCTTAGAGCAAGTAATGTACATTCCTTTAGATAAGTGTAAAGCACACACGATTTTCATTCATATTTCATTGATCAACTAGTTAAACTCCAGTTTTTCTTCGTTATGAAATGATTTGAAGGGTGAAAGGAATAATGTGATATCTCCTAGTGCATTTATACTTGTATTATAGGTCACTACATGTACATAGAAACATCTGCACCGCGCTTGCAAGGGAACATTGCCTGGCTAGTGAGTGAGACTTTCCCACCAACGTCAGCATCTGGGCGCTGTATCTCTTTCTGGTACAACATGTATGGCCAGACCATTGACACACTCACAGTCCTTGTTAGGGCTCAAGGTCAGTTCAAAGTCAGGTTCAAGAGAAATATTTAGGCATGGCAAAATGTAACTTGATGTTCACTGTTATATGCCTATATTCCTCAGAATCAGACATTCAATGTGTTGAAGTAACTGGTCAGTATCAGGAGTAACGAGTCAATTTTGGTTTTAAGGTCTTGGAGGTCATTGGTCAAAATCAGGTTGGTATTGTCATAATCAAAGGTCACGCAATATCCTTAGTTTAGGTCACAGAGTGATTTGTAATGACGCTGTTAACAGGGGTTGCTGATCAGGCCATTTGGAGTCTGACTGGTAGCCAAGGACAACAGTGGATGTTTGCCAACGCCCCGATGAGCATGGCCAGTACAAGCTACCAGATTGTTTTCCAGGGGCGCAGAGGGTCTGCTGTCACTGGTGATATCGCCATCGATGACATATCCTTCACAGAGTCCAGTTGTGGAGGTGAGCTTTAGATAGTTAAAATATATCAAGATTGCATGATTGGTATGATAATGGAAATTTAGGATTCCTTGAATGCTGTGAAACCCTTTTATATGAACAATCCTGTTTTAACAGAATTGATTACAATCAGTATAACAATGCCATTTCAAAATACCTATTCAAGATAAAAAAAAACCAACAATGTTTATAATATTCCTAATTTAGAACTTTGCTGCTTTCAAGAAAAGTGATGAAATTATATATCGGCTACCCCAGTTAATGTGTGTTGAGAGTTAAACCAATCCATACTCACCCTTTCTTAAGTCCTATATGACCTTTTTCAGTTTCAGTTTGAAGTACAGTGTGTAGTATTTGGTTACTTATTTAACATCTAATGTTAGTGTTGTTTGGTTCAAAATGACTTTAATAATTACAAAAACGAACACACCTAGTATCCCTGTGTTCATGTTTACGTTACGTTTCTTTAATAGTGAGACCAAGCCAGGCCCACCCTATCAACGGCCCTACAACCCTGCCCACTGCCAGTACAACACCCAGTGTCCAGGGCTCCTTCAACTGCAGCTTTGACACTAGCTTCTGTGGCTGGACCCAGGACCACACTGACAAGTTTGATTGGACAAGACTACGGGGGCGGACTCAGAGTGTATCAACAGGCCCCAGCGCTGATCACACGAGTAAAAGTGAGTTGTCTTCTCGTAAAACAAGTTTTTTCTGTTGGCTGATTCTTCTATGACTTCTTTCATTTATTTCAGCAATTTAAAGCTTTTTTGCCTCAGTCTTAAATTATGAATTAGTTAAGACATGGGTTTAAGTTTTCTGAAATAGATGAACATGAAAATTTTCTGTAGTCTCGAAGGCTAAAAAAGTCAGACTGGCCAATGCCATTTGATTATCTGGAAAAACTTTTGGATTAAGTGGATTTTTTAGATTTTACTCCTAGGTAAGGAAATAATAGGTAAATACTAAAATGTAGTGTTCATGTTTTCAAATGTTAACTTGGATATTGCTTATATCAGTATAGTGCAAAATTAACGGTTTTAAATTTGAAAATATTGTTTTTAAAAATTAGATATTTTTGCTGAGATTGAAGGCTAATGTGTAGCTCCTTTGATAGGGGGCTATTATGTGTACACGGAGGCGTCTACTCCCAGAGTCCGTGGTGACAAAGCCCGACTGATCAGTCCTGATGTAACAGTCACTGGTACACAAACCAAGTGTCTCACCTTTTGGTACTTCATGATGGGACGGAATGTGGCCCAGCTCAATGTCTATGCCAAGAGTGGTCTCGCACTACCCACTACCCCAGTCTGGAGGCGAAGTGGTAGCCAGGGCAACCAATGGTTGAAGGCTCAGGTTGACCTTACTGCCAAATCTGTCTTCAATGTAAGCATTGACATTAGGTTTCACTTTTTTTAATATTTTTAATAAAAATATACTTTGCGCATATCCCCTTGTAAAGACACATTTCTTGATTATATTATAATCCATAGACTATGATATCACATCATGTATGTGAATCACTTCACTTTCTGTTATTTCATTTTCTTCTGAACACTTGGCTGCTTTTGCATAAAGCCAGAAAATATTCTATGAATGCACCACTTTGGCTTGACGTGGAATTTTCTGTCAAATAAATATAAAAATAACCCAAGAGTTATGTACGCTTTATTCCCATATACTAAATGATAACATTTCTTCAAATATGTATATATGTTGATCTTAATCTATGTAGAAATACTACAAACTAAGAATATTCAGCTGATGAGTTTAGCCCGGCATGGTGCTGTACCACTGGATTTAAATGAGTCACATTGTATTTACAAGAAATTAGACTGATCAGGGAATGGGATCAACAAACACTAACATTGTTACGACGATGTAACTTTCTTTTTGTGAAGTTGTTCATGTTGTAGTTACTCTGGGTGAATTGCAAACACTTGTGTCAAGGTTTTATTATCCTGTTGTTATTTGTATGTTTATACAGATACATGTGGTGTAGGTGGTGTTGGAGAGTACGTGTGAGGTTGCCTATTGTAATGTTTATATCCAATGACCTGTCTGTTGAAGGTGGTGTTTGAGAGTACGTGTGAGGTTGCCTATTGTAATGTTTATATCCACTGACCTGTCTGTTGTAGGTGGTGTTGGAGAGTACGTGTGAGGTTGCCTATTGTAATGTTCATATCCACTGACCTGTCTGTTGTAGGTGGTGTTTGAGAGTACATGTGAGGTTGCCTATTGTAATGTTTATATCCACTGACCTGTCTGTTGTAGGTGGTGTTTGAGAGTATGATAGGTGGTGCCTATGGTGATATAGCTGTGGATGATGTGGGCATCTCTGATGGCAGTTGCACACAAGGTAGGTATTGAGACAGGTCACATTGATTCAGCTGATCCCGCGTTACATTTATCCGTATTATCACTGACCCTTTATATACTGATCCCTCAGAGTAATGATTGATATTGTTTTGACAGGCCCTGTTGCAATGTCATGTGATTTTGAGAGCACTACAGTGTGTGGATTTCAACAAGACCATACTGACCAATTTGATTGGACAAGGGGGAGTGGCTCGACTGGCTCAAGGGGAACTGGACCAAGCAATGACCACACCTATGGAACATCCAGAGGTCGGTGTGCCATGTATAGGCCACCTACATAATGTTACGAAAAAATCCAAAAACACTTATAAACTGTGATAGATAGTATATATGGCAATTGTTTCGTTAAAAAGGAAATTATTTGTAATTGATGTTAATGATCATTGTAGTATATAAGTTTAATTGTATACAAATATAATTGTTGTAGCATATAGGTTATATATGTAGCTACATGTTTTAATCCTACCAGAAATAATTTGTCATTGTTTACTTACATTACCAACAAATTTAAATGTTCACTTCTTCTCTGATAGGACATTACATGTTCACGGAGGCAAGTGGGCGTCATCCAGGAAACAAGGCCCGCTTAATCAGCCCCATCTACAAAGGTCCTAGTACACCCATGTGTCTCAAGTTCTGGTATCACATGTACGGAAGCTCGGGGCAGACTCTCAACATCTACCGGCTAACCCGTGGGGTTCTTGGCACTCCAATATGGTCCAAGTCAGGTAAGCTTAGGGTTATTTCCCCCTTGTGTGAAGTATGTAGTGATAACTGTCCTTGATGTTAATAAATTATTTTGCCATTGTGTGAAGAAATTGTGGTTCTTTTTATGTGAGGTAGGGCTCTAACCCCGACTTTTAGATACATGTGAGTACAGTAGCATATGGAGGCCTTGGGTGATATTTTTGTACAATGAGTAACCCCTGTAATATTACAAGTATCAAGTATCATATTTTTTCAAGAAAAAACTTGCATTTGGATTGAGACTTAAGTTATGGCCATTTACATATCTGTGTTTACACAACAAAAGCTAGTTTTCATGTAGTCCACTGGAATGACATATGCTATTGGCATTTTTTGATGGTTTTCACAAGTCCAAAATAAGAGGAAAACAAAAGCGCCTTGTGTTTGGTAAGAGTAGTATCCCTTGTGTGAGGTAGGGTTAGATAGGGGTAGTCCTCCTTGTGTAAAGTATGATAAAATAATAACAATTTGACATTACAGTTCATTTAAAGTGATTCTCATTTCCAGGTTCCCAGGGCAACCCGTGGTTAGTGGCATCTGTCAGCATCCCAGTGGCTAGCCAGTCCAACTCACCTTACCAAGTTGTTTTTGAAGGCATTATAGGGAGAACCTTTCGCAGTGATATTGGTATTGACGACTTCTCCATTACAAGTGGGGCTTGTCCTTCAGAAGGTGAGCATTGGAAAGAAAACAAATCAAAATAATTTGTCATTGAATAGCAAATCCCAGTTATTTTTATATTAAGCCTAAAATCTTAATATTTCATTGAGGTAAATAATGATTATTCCTAACAGTTACTGAGTTAGGCCATTTTCGTTTATCAATATCCAAATGGTTGAACCAGTTGGAATATAGTTATTTGTTTATGAAAAAGGTTGGACCCAGTAATCTAATGCTACTTTCAGACGAAAAATTTTGATCGTCTGCCAGGATTTATACCTAAAAATGTTACATTTTAAAAAGAACATAACGGTTGTTCCTCATAAATCAGCAGGCCCTTAGTGTCAGTTGCATGAAGAAACTGTCATATCCTCAATTCAGTCAGATCCATGTTCTATTATGGTGTTAAATTGTGTAGTTTGTATTTGTGTTTATTTGTGTTCAAAATGCAACATGATGAATGCTGTGTATCCTTACACTAGAATTTCTCTCACAGGTACCTGTAACTTTGACAATGGGTTCTGTACCTGGACGAATGCCAAGACTGGTGACCAGTTTGACTGGACACTGGGGTCTAGTAGCACGTCTAGCTCATTTATGACTGCCTTCTCTGACCACACCAGTACCAAGGGTAGGTCTACCACCCCAGTGCTCATTCACAGTACCTGTACCAAACAGTAGGATCTAACACCTGAAAACCTCCCACATTAAATATAATACAATCAAGTCAACAATAAAACAAACGAATTCAAAAGACTTCAGTGAAATATTATTAAATTAAAGGGACAATGTTTTGTATGGAAGAAGAGATGTATTGATTGTAACAATAAGGGTGTTTTAAGCGACGTTTTAGATCCATTGTACTCTGTTTTAGGACAATATGCCTACCTAGAGTCCTCCAACCCCAACCATCCTGGTTACGATGCCAAGCTCGTGAGTGAGAGTTTAAGTGCTCACACCCATAAGTGTATGTACTTCTGGTATAATGTCTACGGCAGCAACATTGGTAAGCTGCGTGTGTGGAGCAGCACTGCCACCAGTAACCCGAATCCTCTCTGGGAGATTTCTGGCAGCATGCAGAACCAGTGGTATCAGGGCATTATACCACTACAGAACCAAAACACTAGCTTCACGGTAAGTTGCTTACTTCTTTGAAAAATCAATCACTCATTTCTAAATACATGAACAGACTCGATGGACACTGGATTGATCAGGAACTTATTTATAACTACAGAGCTAACATAACTTGTTAAACATGTGATGTCCACACCCCAACTTTCATATATATATATTTAAAAAAAAACATGTTTGAGTCCGGTGGAGAGGGTTAAATAGATCCTGTAGCAGAAAATAACTAAACTAAACTAAACTATTCAGACAAGTTGCTATGCCCACACTGTGAAATTAGAGGGAGGTCATATAATAGTGTTTCCATGCCATCATCTCTCTTGCTCCTCTATTTGTGGTGGGATATTCCATGAAACTTCATATACAGGATTATGTTCCACCAAAAGTCAATCTAATTCACTGTTAGGGTAGAAAGTAGATATGCCCTTGCCTTAGTGTTTTTATTTCATTTTCATGAAACTTTATGCAGAGAATAAATAGCAAGTTATCTTGAAAAAGTTTGTATTATAGTTTTTAACACCAAAAGTTAAGGTCACTAGTAATAAAAAATAGAAGAATGTTTCTATCACTGGCATCTTCATGTTGGTTTGGAGTTACATAATGCCGCCTTCAAGGTTTAAGTACTAAGTAAGCTGATATGTGTTTCAGAATTTTGAACCAAAAGTCAAGGTCACTATTACTATAATTATATGAAACTAACTTGTCCTGTCAGCAGGAGTATACATATCTAAAATACATCCTCTTAACATACCAGTAAGTATTCCTTATATTTGTTACAACAATAACGACATCATTGAAAATGTTGTCGTATCAGTGACACGGCTCTGACGACTGTGACAGTTTGTGTTTCTGTTGAAGGTGATCTTTGAGGCTGTACGAGGTTCCGCCAACGTTGGACACATAGCCATTGATGATGTGACGTTTGATGAAGCTCAGAACTGTCAGCGTAAGCTCATGACTTCTATGTAAACAATGGATAGGGGTGGGTCTCTGGGTCTTTATATACTACTCCAGATTGTCTAAAGCAGTCACACAGTTTGGTCTTAGACATGTCAGCACAAATCTAGATTATTCATTGTCATCTCCTCATTTGGGATTTCAGATTTACAAGACGAATGGTTATGGAAATTTAACAAAGAATTTACATTGAAATACAATAATGTTCATGCTTCATGAGATTGTTTATGCTTTATAAGGTTGAAGTTGTGTTAAATCATGGTACAAACCTCTATGGTGAACTGAATTTTCTGTATTTGATAGGCACACCTAAGCTGGCCATTCCAAGTGTCACACAAGTCCCAGTGACCAACACTGCATCCACTAAAACAATCCAGACCACAGCTCACTCAACTATGACTACGTCTCGTCCTGTGTCTACAGCTAAACCTACAGGTACTGCAGTGTGCTCTGGTATGCTATACTGTCTGATACTGTGACCGGTTAGGTTTATTGAACTTGATATGTAACCTTCATTGTTTCCATTGACAGATTGCAGTAACTTGATATGAAACTAAAATTGGATGTTTCCATTGACAGGTGGCAGTAACTTCACATGCAGCTTCTCCTATGACCTATGTGGCTGGACCCAGGACCACTCTGACCAGTTCGACTGGACTAGACAACATGGCCACACAGCATCGGCAGGCACTGGACCCAATGGTGACCACACCACAGGAAGTGAGTTTCGCTGACCTGTTTCAGTGGTTGCTGGCATTTCCAGAGTTTTGGTTTCACTCTCTGATGATGACTTTATTGGGGTTCTAACCTTTGTAGTGCTCAATCACTAAATAGGTGCCACCAACAGTATAATTTCTGTTTCTTGCAATTTCTTATGCATTTATTCCAGTAACTTATCAAGTGAACACTGTACACCAGGGCAGTTTTTCCCAGTAGAATTGCCTGTCCTCTGTCAAAAAAAATATTCATCTTTTGGTCATTTCACTTTTCACAGTCAAAATCCTATGCAAAGTAAACATTGTTTTAACATTTACCATAATAATTGTATCTTTATGTTGTTTGTAAAGGAAGTGAGTTAAACTTAACAACTTTTCCCACTATATAATGTTTTGTTTTCATGACTTTAACCCCTTTCAATACAGATAATACACAAGTAAACAATCTATATAATGGGGTACATTTTATACATCTGCCCTGTTAACATTTTTGTTTGTTTTAATATTATCAGGAGGCTACTTCATCTTCATTGAGGCATCAGGAAAAACAGGAGGAAGTAAAGCCCGCCTGATCAGTCCTACCGTCCAGATGGCCAGTAGTCAACAGAGATGTGTGACCTTTTGGTACTCTATGTATGGGTCAAATGTAGCCAGCTTGAATGTTTATGTGACCGCCAATGTCCAGACCCTGGGTCAGCCTGTGTGGAAGAGGACAGGCAATCAGGGTAACTCATGGCGCACCAGTCAGTTTACACTCACTGGTTCTGGCCCCCTCAAAGTAAGTCAGTTTACTTAACAGCTTAGTACCTCTCAAGGTCAGTCAGTTAACTCTTAGACTAGTACCTCTCCAGGTCAGTCAGTTTACTTAAAGACTTAGTAACTCTCAAGGTCATGAGTCAACTCTTAGGCAAGTACATCTCAAGGTCAGTTAGTTTACTTAAATGTTAGTTTCTGTCAAGGTCTGTCAGTTTACTTAAAGGCTAGTACCTCTCAAGGTCAGTCAGTCAACACTAAGCCTAGTAACTCTCAACGACAGTCAGTCAACTCTCATGTTTGTACCTCTCAATCTCAGTCAGGTAAATCTTAGGGTAGTACCTCTCAAGGTCAGTCAGGTAACTCTAAGGCTAGTACCTCTCAAGGTAAGTCAGGTAACTCTAAGGCTAGTACCTCTCAAGGTCAGTCAGTCAACTCTTATGCTAGTACCTTTCAAGGTCAGTTAGTTTACTTAAAGGCTAGTACCTCTCAAGGTCAGTCAGTCAACTCTCAGGTTAGTACCTCTTAAGGTCAGTCAGGTAACTATTAGGGAAGTACCTCTCAAGGTCAGGCAGTTAGGTCTTAGGCTAGTACCTCTCAAGGTCAGTCAGTTAGGTCTTACGCTAGTACCTCTCAAGGTCAGTCAGGTAACTCTTAGGCAAGTACCTCTCAAGATCAGTCAGTTTACTTAATGGCTTTGTACCTCTCAATGTCAGTCAGTTAAATATATGTGGGTAGTACCTCTCAATCAGTCAGGTTACTGTATGTTGATGCCTTCTCACTGGTTACAGTGCTCTAAGACTGTCCCAGCTCATAAGGTTAGTCTGTCTAGTTCTTACTCACTAGTCATGTCAGGACAAATAATTTACTCTCAAAGACAGTTGATTTAGTTGCTGGTCCCAGCTCTCTAAATATGAGTCCTATTTCTCTCAAGTTTACTCTCTAGATAAGTCAACTTACAGTCCCTTGCTCTCTACTGGCCTACAAGCCATTTAAGGTCAGTAAGGTTTCTCTCAAGCTCACTCCATCTCAAGGTCAGTCAGTTTACTCTAAAGGTCACTCCCTGTTAAGGTCAGTAAGTTTATTCTCAAAATTAGTCTTTTTATACTTATTGGTCCAGGATCTCTTAAGTCAATTCTTAAAAGTACACTAGTTTTACTGAAGTGGGAAATGGCCTATATTTGTCGATAATTTAATTAATCCTTTGATTAATGACCTCTGACTACCTTTCCTTCAATGATTGGTTTGTGTTTAAGTATCAGTATTTGACCCCATTAACACGTTGTGTTTGAGTACTAGTATGGTGTCATGTACAAGTTTAATTTGTGAACCGCTTTGAGACGACCTACAAACTAGGTCGTGATAAAGCGGTATATAGGAAACTCAAATTATTATTATTTTGTTATTTATTGTTAGTTAATTAGACCTCCATCAACTGGATGTGATTTAGGGGCATCCTGGAGAATGATTACCAGATAAAGTTGTGGATAACATCTGTGTTACTTACAACATCATTTGGTTTCTTTGACAGGTTGTGTTTGAGGCCACCCGAGGGATAGGCTACCAAGGAGATATAGCTGTAGATGACATCAGTTTGGCTACAGGACCATGTTCTGGTATGCATAACCAGTGGCTCTGGTGTCACTTGTTATAGGTCATAAATGAATGTTCACATAATAAGAAAACTTAAATTAGCTGAAGAGTCTATCTAACTGATATACTAATCATTAGCGGTTTAATTAGCTGAAGAGTCTATCTAACTGATATACTAATCATTAGTGGTTTAATTACAGCCAGATTTTTTGTTGATGTTTCATGCAATTGTATGATATAATACACTATGAAAGAAAACTATCAGTAAGTGATGCATCACCATAACGTGTGTAACATTTTCAGGACAAACCTCAACATCTGTCAACAATGTGGGGTTCTTGTCCTGTGATTTTGAGTCGAGCAGTATCTGTGGTTACATACAAGACACATCAGACAACTTTGACTGGACAAGAAACCATGGCAAAACCAACTCAGCCAACACTGGACCTTTCAGTGACCATACATTAGGCACCACATCAGGTAGGACATCTTAACGTTTTAATGTTAGTTCTAGGAGAGGGAATGAGTGTTGTTACAAATAATCAGGCCAATGAAAGGATTGACTACAGAATTCTTCCGATTGAATTTTGTCAGAAGAATTGTGTGTAGATATTATGGAGTTTTCAGTAGAACGGTTCACAGTTTCTTCAGTAGAACGGTTCATGGTTTCTTCAGTAGAACGGTCCACGGTTTCAAGCCTATCTCCCTGCTAGATACTAAACAAAGTCTCCTGGTATATCAGGCTGTTGTGTCAACATTACCACTCACATACTTTTGCTTTCGAGCCTTACCCTAGCAGACACTCCTGTAAGAGGCCATGGTCATTGATTTTATAATTCAAGCAGCATTTCCAATATTATACTTAACATGTTCCATGGCAGATTGGTGCAACCTTTCGAACTAGACAGATGGGGTATACTGATTAGATCTGACAACAAGATCTGATAGTCACTTAATACTTATGTTGTTGTTGACAGGAAGCTACATGTACATAGAAACTTCACGCCCTAGAACCCCCAATCAGAAAGCTCGTCTCTTGTCTCCCACGACAACGTACACTACTGGGCCAGTCTGTGTGACTTTCTGGTATCATATGTATGGTGGCAACATTGGGGCCCTGAACCTCTACTCCTCGGTGGGATCCAACCTCGGTCAACCCATCTGGTCACGGCACAACAATCAAGGCAATCACTGGAGCGTTGGACAGGTGACTGTCAAGTCACCACACTCTTATCAGGTAAGTAATCAAGGTAACTCATTGTCCAGCCATCACAGGTGTAACATGGTAGGTAAACGAGGTAACTCATTGTCCTGTCATCACAGGTGTAACATGGTAGGTAAACAAGATAACTCATTGTCCAGCCATCACAGGTGTAATCTGGTAAGTATACAAAGTAACTCATTGTCCAGTCATCACAGGTGTAACATGATAAGTAAACGAGGTAACTCATTGTCCAGCCATCACAGGTGTAACATGATAAGTAAACGAGGTAACTCATTGTCCAGTGATCACAGGTGTAGTCTGGTAAGTATAGAAGGTTACTCATTGTCCAGTCATCACAGGGGAATCAGGTAAGTAAACGAGGTAACTCATTGTCCAGTCATCACAGGTGTAATCTGGTAAGTAAACGAGGTAACTCATTGTCCAGTTAGCACAGGTGTAATATGGTAAGTAAATGAGGTAATTCATTGTCCAGTCATCACAGGTGTAACAGGTAAGCATCACAGGTGTAAGAGGTAAGTAAACTAGGTAACTCACTGTCTATTCATTACAGGTGTACAAGGTAAGATAACATTCAAAACTCAAATTCAAATTTTATATTAGGGGCTGACAGGTTAGGGTCCCTCTGAGATAATTTAAAGTCAGGATAATTCACTCGCCAGTCATAGCAGGTGTACCTGCAGGTAAGCACACAAGATAACAAGGAATAGATATTATGGAACATTTATCACATACATGTACATAACAAATACCTGTAGGCATCCTTCATTTTTAGGTAAAAGGTGCGCAAGATTTAGCACATAACTTTATTTTTTTGTAGAAAAAATATTTGACAATGGATAACTAAGTGTAGCGAGATGTTTTTTTTTCCAGATCGTCTTTGAAGGAATTGTTGGAAGTGGGTATGCTGGTGACATTGCAATTGATGACGTCAATGTGACAGTAGGGTCATGCGGTGCAGATGGTGAGTTACAAACTTTCAAAAGTCCAAAAATTTGAAATGAAAGTTGATTTATTTCAAAGAGTAAACACTAGTGCTTTTTCTAGGAAAGTTTGTTCACACTGTTTATGAAAACTTATTCTAAATGTTTCTAAATTTACTACATTCATACTTTTATTCTAAAGCTGCTGTCCAGTTTAAACTTTATAATTTACATTGTAGGTGCTTGCAATTTCGACAAAAACAATTTCTGTTCCTGGTCTAACCTTAAGACAGATGATTTTGATTGGTCGATTAGAAATGGCCGCACCCCAAGTGGTCAAACAGGTCCAACCTATGATCACACCCAAAACAATGCCCAGGGAAAATACATGTTCATTGAGACAAGCACTCCTCGTCGGCCAGGCCAGAAAGCTCAGCTTCAGAGCGAGTCCTTCACTGCGACAGGGACAGGAACCAGATGCTTTAAGTTCTGGTACCACATGTATGGGTCACGCATGGGCACTGTGAATGTATATGTTAAACAGAACTCTTCCAACACCCTGATGTGGACTCTCAGTGGTAACCAAGGAAACAGCTGGCACTCCGCCCAGTTTCCGCTGACTTCATCACAAAGCTTCAGAGTAAGTGTATCATATCTGGTATTCAGATTACTGCTATGACCAACCAATGGTTGTTATTGATGATAAAAGGACATGTTATGAAGTGAAAATTATTGCACAATCTGTGAAGGTACACCACATATTAGTCAGATTGTACAGGATGACAGAATAATAGATCTGATTCGTTGGGATTAGAGCATTATGTTGGATTAGACATAATGTCAAAAAGACGTTTCATATAATAGACCAGTTTCACTGTCCTTTGTTTTCATTGAACATAGATTACAGTGAATTAAATTATGGTGTCATTTTTTCACATTAAGTCTCCTTGTGCACTACCATATGGGTGAACAAGAGTGTTCAATAAAAGCTGATAGATGTGTGTTTGAAATAAAACTTGTAAAATATTTTTTTTTATTTTTTTTTTATTTTAATCATTTCAATCTTTGTGAAAAATAAATCAGTTTGCATTTGTATGCAGTATTACATTTGAATATCAGCCTGGAAAAAAATGATCTTTCAGTAACCACTCAGGCACTGACAACAGAACATTATACTTATCATTGAGAATATTTTGATGTAAACTGATGTTATACAAATAAATGACTTCTGAAATTCAAACCTGGGAGATGTTTCAACATTCAGATCCTGATTGAGGGTGTCATCAAGGGAACTGTCACTGGAGATGCTGCACTGGATGACCTTGGCTTCACTAACGGTGTATGTGGTTTCGCGCCGACTAAAGCGGCACCTCCTAACCTGACAACACCACCTACGACCCCAGCTACTACCCCGGCAACCACTCTCAGTGAGTCAACACCCATAAGTTATTAGCAAAAATCTTACTTAGAACAAAATAATACATTTGGTGCAGATAATGATATGTATTGTCCTGTGATGTCAAACTCCCTATATGTATATAAAGGGTCCCCAACGAGTGTTGGTTGGTTATCATGTTTATCTAACTCAAGTTAGTTAATCTTCCAATTGTATTAAAACACAAGGTCTACCAATGTTCAGATGTTATTTCTAGAAAGCCTTATGTTTCTCTTCGGAATGCATTATTTCTGTTTTCAAACAGGGAAACAATTTTCATGAACAATGACGTCGCAATGGAATATAACATCGCAAAGCATTGTTACTTGACGTCATAATTAGACGATTGACCAATGAAATCATACCAGGATTGTTACCATATAGTGGGTAACCAAAAACATTTACCAACTCTTAGCAGGTTTATCCAATGAGGAAACCTGTAGTGTGGGAGAAATGAAAAGACCTATATTGGTCTGACATTTGGAGCAGTTGCTCAGGCGTACGTACCCATTTGTTTGATTCAGATCCACCAATCACCAGCTGTACCTTTGAGTCAGGAACTTGTGGATGGACTCAGGCTAAAGATGACCAGTTTGACTGGACACGGCACAAAGGTCAAACAGGAACTACCAACACTGGGCCTACCACTGATCACACAACAGGACGTGAGTTAATAAGTCATTACAAACAGGCTTTTGTCTTCTAAAAGACTCTACAATGATGTATGCTTTGTCTAAGAAATTCGTTTGAAAAATGTCTTTACCAACTTATTGCCTTTTAGTCTGATATGATTCAACATTTAAAAACAAATTTTCAAATTTATCTTTCATAAAATGCCCATCTGGCATTGGTGTCTAATCCTCTGACCTCTGTAGCCAGTCTGGTGCACCTGTTTAAATACAATATATATATCTTATGGTGCACCTGTTTAAATACAATATATATATATCTTATGGTGCACCTGTTTAAATACATATATATATCTTATGGTGCATCTTTTTAAATACAATATATATATCTTATGGTGCACCTGTTTAAATACAATATATATATCTTATGGTGCACCTGTTTAAATACAATATATATATATATCTTATGGTGCACCTGTTTAAATACAATATATATATATATATTACGGGTAAAACTATCATAAAACATCCCATCCAAAGCTAAGGGTTAAAATAGAGGTATTACATTACATTGTATGTCCAAAAAATATGTGAATTCTTATATTACAGACGGATATTACATGTTCATCGAGGCTAGTTCACCTCGAAGGAATGGAGATAAAGCAAGGCTTATAAGCCCGCCCATCCTAGGGTCCGGGCAACTGTGTCTCAATTTCTGGTACCACATGTTCGGAGCCAACATCAACAGTCTCAGCGTTTACCTTCTCCGGAGTGCCTCCCTGGGCACAGCTGTGTGGACCAAACAAGGCACACAGGGCAACGTCTGGAAACAAGCACAGGTCCCAATATCTATCCAGGGGAACTTCTCTGTAAGTAAGACGTAACCATCTGATTCGATTTCAAAGTGACTGGTGATTTTTGAGAGATTTGATTTCTCTATGACTGGTGATATTGTGCTTATTTGATTTCTGTGTAACTAACGACAATTTATTGATTTGGATTTTCTGTGACAGGTGACATATTGTAATGAAATGTTTTCTATGTGACAGGTGACATTGTAGTAGTAATTTAATTTCTTTGTGACAAGTGACATTGTAGTGATTATATTCCTATGTGACAGATGACATAGTAGTGATTGTATTCCTGTGTGACAGATGACATTTTAGTGATTGTATTCCTGTGTGACAGATGACATTGTAGTGATTGTATTCCTGTGTGACAGGTGACATAGTAGTGATTGTATTCCTGTGTGACAGGTGACATTGTAGTAATTGTATTCCTGGGTGACAGGGTGACATTGTAGTGATTGTATTCCTGTGTGACAGGGTGACATTTTAGTAATTGTATTTCTGTTTGACAGGTGATATTTTAGTAATTGTATTCCTGTTTGACAGGTGACATATTAGTGATTGTATTCCTGTGTGACAGATGACATTGTAGTGATTGTATTCCTGTGTGACAGGGTGACATTGTAGTAATTGTATTCCTGTGTGACAGGTGACCTGTGTGACAGGTGACATTGTAGTGATTGTATTCCTATGTGGCAGGTGACATTTTAGGAATTGTATTCTTGTTTGACAGGTGACATTGTAGTAATTGTATTCCTGGGTGACAGGGTGACATTGTACTGATTGTATTCCTGTGTGACAGGTGACATTTTAGTGATTGTATTCCTGTTTGACAGGTGACATTGTAGTAATTGTATTCCTGTTTGACAGGTGACATTTTAGTAATTGTATTCCTGTGTGACATTTTAGTAATTGTATTTCTGTTTGACAGGTGACATTTTAGTAATTGTATTCCTGTTTGACAGGTGACATTGTAGTAATTGTATTCCTGTGTGACAGGTGACCTGTGTGACAGGTGACATTGTAGTGATTGTATTCTTGTATGACAGGTGACATTGTAGTGATTGTATTCCTGTTTGACAGGTGACATTGTAGTAATTGTTTTCCTGTGTGACAGGTGACCTGTGTGAAAGGTGACATTGTAGTGATTGTATTCCTGTGTGACAGGTGACATAGTAGTGATTGTATTCTTGTTTGATAGGTGACAATGTAGTGATTGTATTCCTGTGTGACAGGTGACATTGTAGTGATTGTATTCCTGTGTGACAGGTGACATTGTAGTAATTGTATTCCTGTGTGTCAGGTGACATTGTAATAATTGTATTCCTGTTTGATACGTTGTGATGGTAGTGATTGTATTCCTGTGTGACAGGGTGACATTGTACTAATTGTATTCCTGTGTGACAGGTGACATTGTAGTGATTGTATTTCTGTTTGACAGGTGACATTGTAGTTATTGTATTCCTGTGTGACAGGTGACATTGTAGTAATTGTATTCCTGTGTGTCAGGTGACATTGTAATAATTGTATTCCTGTTTGATAGGTTGTGATGGTAGTGATTGTATTCCTGTGTGACAGGGTGACATTGTAGTAATTGTATTCCTGTGTGACAGGTGACATTGTAGTAATTGTATTCCTGTGTGACAGGTGACATTGTAGTGATTGTATTTCTGTTTGACAGGTGACATTGTAGTAATTGTATTCCTGTGTGACAGGTGACATTGTAGTAATTGTATTCCTGTTTGACAGGTGACATTGTAGTAATTGTATTCCTGTGTGACAGGTGACATTGTAGTAATTGTATTCCTGTGTGACAGGTGACATTGTAATAATTGTATTCCTGTGTGACAGGTGACATTGTAGTAATTGTATTCCTGTGTGACAGGTGACATTGTAGTAATTGTATTCCTGTGTGACAGGTGACATTGTAGTAATTGTATTCCTGTGTGACAGGTGACATTGTAGTAATTGTATTCCTGTGTGACAGGTGACATTGTAGTAATTGTATTCCTGTGTGACAGGTGACATTGTAGTAATTGTATTCCTGTGTGACAGGTGACATTGTAATAATTGTATTCCTGTGTGACAGGTGACATTGTAGTAATTGTATTCCTGTGCGACAGGTGACATTGTAGTAATTGTATTCCTGTGTGACAGGTGACATTGTAGTAATTGTATTCCTGTCTGACAGGTGACATTGTAGTAATTGTATTCCTGTGTGATAGGTTGTGATGGAAGCCAGTAGAGGTGTGTCATACCTGGGAGACATTGCCATCGATGATATTGCCCTGACATCAGGAAGTTGTTCAGGTAAGATGTCAGGGATAATCCTAAAGGGGGCCATTTGGCCATTGACCCCTCAAAACTGAAAATGACCCCTCTATGTTTCTTGTTTCTTTTAATTTTGAATAGAATGGCCCCTCTTAATTCTGATATTGACTAAAAATTTCTGAAAATGGCCCACTGCTCTCAAATTCCAGGATTTCCCCTGAGAAAGTCCATCTGTAGGACTGATTTAACTATGATTGAAGTTTGTCTGATCCAATGATGGTGTTATTGTTTGGGATTACAATGTGCCTGGTGTCTATGATTGGCTTATATCCTCTTCTTTAATGATTCTCATATATTATTGATATTTAGGTCCCAACGATATAGCTATCACAGCTAGGATACAGTGTATGTTAAAGTGTCATAAACTTAATTAAAACAACCCTTTTACTGTGTTCTACAGGCTCCACCAATGCTCACTCCTGTAACTTTGAAGACAAAAACTTATGTGGCTACACCCAGGATCAAACGGACAACTTTGACTGGACATGGCAGAGTGGAGGCACTGCTTCTACTAACACAGGACCTACCAGTGACCACACCTTCAGTACATCTTATGGTCAGCTCACATCTCAGTGTTCACCCCCACCCCTCCCCCGATTTACAGACATGTACTTACCTTATGTTATATATGTCTCATTGTAGTATTTCACATTGTCATGTGTTAGCATTAACTTGTCTTGACAGTGTGATGATTCATCACAGCTTGTCATGGTTATAATGAAGTCATGTAGTAGTAAAACCTTGTCATATTGTGTTAAGACTCTGTCATGTTGTAATATGACATTGTCATGCTACATACAGCATGACCTTGATGTTTTGTCCAAAGACCTTAACAAGTTTGATCATAGGTCATCAGGCTCTCTTTAAATTTACATGACTCACTAATTTGGAACTGATAGCAACGATGCTTTACCTGAAGTTAAATGTCTGAGTAGATGATGGAGATCAAATTTCAAAATAAAATGGTCACTGGATGGTTCATGATAAATCTGTGAAAATACATATTTTTTTGAGGAGTATGTTGACAGATTGTGATTAACCTTGCACAATCTCACGTGAATTCCATTGTATTAATCAACTCTCCCGTTGGATTTGATTTTTACAAACAATTATTATGATGTGATATTTATTTCTATTGTTAGGTCATTACATATTTATTGAGTCTTCCTCACCCCGACGACCAAATGACAAGGCAAGAGTCATCTCCCCACTGTACAGCGCCACCACCACAGACCAGTGTGTGCAGTTCTACTACCATATGTATGGCAATCAGATCGGAACACTTAACCTCAAGGTAGTGTCAGATAGCTATATATGATGATAGTCTAAAGCAGTCACAAGGTGAAGGTCGTGCTATACATTGATGTTAACATGAAGTAGTTAAAGGTGAAGGTCATTTATAGGATCAAGGTCAATCTATACATTGGTGGACTTATATTAGTTAAAGATGATTTATTACAGAATGCAGGTCAATTGATACATTAATGTAAACCTAAAGAAGTCACAAGTAGATATACACATTGATGTTTACTTGAAGTAGTGAAAGGGTGAAGGTCATTCCATATATGAATGTTAACCTAAGGTAGTGACAAGTCAAAGGTGTGCCTGCACTTTGATATTACATGTTGCTCACTTTGATATTATATGATGGTCACTTTGATATTATATGTTGGTCACTTTGATATTATATGTTGGTCACTTTGATATTATATGTTGGTCACTTTGATATTATATGTTGGTCACTTTGATATTATATGATGGTTACTTTGATATTATATGTTGGTCACTTTGATATTACATGATGGTCACTTTGATATTACATGATGGTCACTTTGATATTACATGCTGGTCACTTTTATTTACAGCTGAAAGTACAAAACAATATTGGCAACAATGTTTGGACCAAGAGTGGTAACCAAGGTAACCAGTGGAACGTAGCCCAGGTGTCACTAGCATCCAGTCGCCTAAGTCTACCTTACCAGGTAAATAAATAATAACTCCCTGTAACAAATGTCTTAATCAAGTTCATGTTCAATTATTATAGCAGTGATATTATTTTCTAATTAAGTCATATCCATAAACAAGTATGCCTTGTGTGTATATAAAGAAAACAATTATGATGTAAATACGTGATAGAAAAAGAATTAGGAGAGCAAATGGACGAACACTTAGGTCTCATTTTTTTGACAGCTTGTGTTTGAAGGTGTCCGAGGCCGTGGATACCTAAGTGACATTGCCTTGGATGATATTTCCATAACAAATGGTCCCTGTGCTTCTCAAGGTTTGACATATATTTTAAAACAATCATTGTTTTGTTGGATTTTACATACTGCCAAGCTCTTAATTAATGATTTCAGTCTTGTATCTTTATTATTTTTCAATGTTTTGAAGAGTATAATTACCTCATTCAATAATAGATTTTTATTTTGATAATGCTGTGTTTCCTCTGATATTTCTGTATCACCTGTAATTGACATTACTTGTTTTCCTGATGTTACCTGAATTTCCTGTAACTGATGTTATCTTACAGGATCTTGTAACTTTGAGCATGGTTACTGTACCTGGAGCAATGCCCATACCGGTGATAACTTTGACTGGAAACAGAGCTCTGGATCCACATCTTCCCGGAACACTGGACCCGCTACAGACCACACCCTCCAGACAGCTGCAGGTGAGCCGTTGAAATCACCGTTTGTACTTGGTCTGTATCTGTTGTCCATGGTCCACCATTGTCTATCTGATATCATCCACCAGGAGAACTGGACAGACCCTTCTCAAATTTCAAGAGAAGGTTCCTCAAGGTCCTTTAAAGTTATATATGATTATATTTTAGAATTATCTGAAGAACAAAATGGTGGCCATCTCTGATTTTGACAGATAAAGATTGTTTTTCGCTTTTTCTCAGAAAGTGCTTGAGTAGCCTTTCTCAGTATAACAAATAGGCTTTAGCCTTATTTAAAACTCATGTTCTGTTGGTCAGATTTTGTTACTACATGGTGTTAATTGGTTCTTATTGATCTTTATGGTAAATAATCCAAGATAACCACCTTAGCTGCTGATTGGCTGAGATCTTCGGAACTATAATTTCTGTTCTGTTGATCTGATTTTGTTCTTTGTTAATGGTAAATGATACTGGTCCAATAACAAGCATGTGTATTGCCCTTATCCCAATATTCATGATGAATGGTGTGGCTTGGCAATCATTGGGGGTATAGACCATTTTAAAGAACATGGCTGGCCCTTCCTGACCTGTTATTGTACAATGTGTTAGTTTACTATTGGTAAAAATGGATTGACATTTTAGCAATTCACTACAAATGAAAACAGATACCAAGTGAAAAAGCTATATTAACATGAGTCTATAGAGTCCATTTGTAATTAAATATTAAAGAAAAATGTTTTGGTTCACAACAGGTAAATATATCTACTTGGAGGCATCAGCTCCCCGTAAACAAGGCGACCGCACCTGGTTGCTGAGTCAGAACTTCAATCCTACCAAGGCAGGATGTTTCAGTTTCTGGTACAACATGAATGGCCACAACATTGGCACCCTCGCAGTGTACATCAGCTTCATCAGTGGGGGAAACAGGACTGTCTGGTCAGTTAGTGGTGACCATGGCAACAAGTGGATAAACGGTCAGGCACCTATTGTGTCCACAGTAGCTTACACGGTAACAAGCTTTTATCAGCAGACAGATAGAATATAGCAAACAGATTCAAATTTACAGTTATAACTGAGAATTGGTAGAGAGGAAAAAATGTCAGCTATACCATGTACTCTATTGTGTTTCCCGTATGGACTGATTTTGTGCATTCAAAATAATTAAGTACGGTAGTATTTGTGATTTTAATGATAACTTGGTTATTTGAGTAGATTTATTACTTTGATATATTTGAGTAAGTTAATGTTACATGTTAAGGTTCCAGTAAATTTGTCCTGACCTCTATACTTTGGTATTTGAGTTATTAACCTTGACTGCCTTGTTGGTATGAATTATTTTACTTTTTCTTTGGTCAACAGATTGTAATTGAAGGTGTAAGAGGAAATGGGATTGCAGGAGACATCGCCATAGATGATTTACTTGTGTCCAACTCTCTCTGTGGCAGTGAGTAGTATTGATTATCCTTACATAGATCTCACTACGTACATTTGAATCTTCATTTTGATTCTTTTTACAATAAAATATTGTCGGGGCCATAACCATCAAAGATAAACCAATGGGAAAGGAAGTATACATGCATCTCATGGACTTTGCCTTAATTTTAAACAAACTCTTATTTATTTTTTATTGTGTACCAACTATGAAAAGTTTGTTTAATACAGCTTCTTTGTCATTAGTTTATATGATTATTTGTATTCAATCATTCACAGAAAGTTTTTAAAAACAGCAAATGTGAAAATTAGCTAATTATAGGAGACATTTTTGTTTTTTTTGTACAAAAACAAACCTGTAGTTATCATAGTTACTTAGCATGTATTTAATTAGTTTTCCTTCATATATGTAACTATCTCACAAGTGCTTTTAATGGTTGAATGACAATTTACTTTGCAGTCCTCCCAAGTGAAGCGCAGCCTGCCAACCAGACAGGCACGCTCCCACCCACTGGTTCCACTACCCCAGCTACAACTCCCGGTAAGACATGCTACCTTAGCCAATATAAGTGTATTACCTAACTCCATGTTTGTGGCCTGTGTCGGAAACATGTACTCAGTACCTTTATGTAGAAAGCCTCAACTTTGCGTATTTGTGATGTAAGTATTCAACTTGAATTTGTAGCGTGTTTTGTTAAAAACTTCAGGTACAGTAACATTTTGCATTCTCTGCTTCAGTCCCTGGAGCCTTTGCCTGTAACTTTGATATTGGACCTTGTGGCTGGACACAGGACAAAACCACGGATACATTTGATTGGCAGAGGAAGTCAGGGTCGACAAGTTCTGTCGGCACTGGACCACGATCAGATCATACAGGAGGTGGGTCTGATGATATAATGTGCAGGCAAGATAGTTTTGTCTTTGTTATTAAATTGAAGTCTTGACAAAAAAATAAAAATATATTTATAAACTGTTCGTAATATGTGTTCCTATGTGTATTTATTGTTTTCTGTTTGTATTCCAATAGGCTCTGGATCTTATTATTATATTGAAACATCGCCACCAAAACGTCGTGGAGACAAGGCTCGGTTTGTAAGTCCATCTGTGCCTCTGTCAAAGGCCAACGCTCCAAAATGTTTCACATTCTGGTACAACATGTATGGAGACCACATCGGCACGCTCAATGTTTACACCAAGACTGGTGTTCGTTATAGCTCGGCTATCTTCCAGCGTACAGGAACTCAGGGACAAGCCTGGAAACAGGCCTCTGTTGACTTGGTGTCACCTGTTCCTTTCCAGGTGAGGAAGTCTTACTGTTAGAGTATGTAGAGTATGTTTAACATAAGTGTCATCAGATGGTGTTATTGTTAAGGTTGTCTCCCATCTTGTTAAAACCTCATGTAAAGGGAATGGACATTCTTTTATAAAAAAATGTTTGCATTTTCACTCTTTAAACTTACCACAGTGTGGCAATGGTTTTGAAAACTTTATATTCTTCATATCTATAATCTTTATAATCTACATATATATAATGTGTATAAGAAGTGAATGTGGACAAGCCTAGAAACAGGCCTCTGTTGACTTGGTGTCACTTTTTCCTTTCCAGGTGAGGAAGTCTTACTGTTAGAGTATGTAGAGTATGTTTAACATAAGTGTCATCAGATGGGGTTATTGGTGAGGTTTTCTCCGATCTTGTTAAGACGTCATGTACGGGGGAGGGACATTCTTTTATAAAAAAATGTTTGCATTTTCACTCTTTAAACTTACCACAGTGTGGCAATGGTTTTGAAAACTTTATATGCTTCATATCTATAATATTTATAATCTACATATCTATAATGTCTATAATCTTAATAATATACATTTGCATGTAGATATTTTAGGCTAATATCCTCAACACAAAAGACAAAAGCATTGCCACACAACAACAAAAATCACTTTTACAGTCATTTACATCTACATGTGAGGCTGGGCTGTCAAGTCCTTTCACATACTTACCAGTCAGAAGGACAGATAAATGATACTGTTTTGATAGATTTTGACTCGTTTAATCGTTTTGGAGGCTACCTTGACATGTTGTGATTGTAATAAAAGGTTGTTTTGAAGGATGCTTACTCTTGTTAATTGTTATAAGGTTGTTCTGGAGGCTACATATGGAAATGGTTACCGTGGTGATATCGCTGTAGATGATGTGTCGATTGCAGATGGATCTTGTCAACAAGGTGATTATGATAGCATTCAGGTGCAGAACTAAATAAAGGATCTTTCTATCCATGTATTGAAGGAATGTAGACATGCTCCAGTATACTAGAGCAATCTTTTTCCAAAGAGACACATTGTTGCACACTTCTTCAATGTTTTATTGTATACTGGAGCATTCTGAGTATCTCTGATCCTTCAAAAAATTGATTATTGACATGTCTCCCTACTTCAGCTTAGTAAACTCTGACTGCATATTAATTAGAGTTTACACAGTGAAAATAGGCACGGACAATTGATACTTGTTTCAAATATGGCCCTGTTCACAGTTTAGCAAGATAACTGTCCGATGACAGCCATTGCTTGGTTCCTTTAACATACGGAAACATGGAACATATTTTGGGATCCATTATGACTAATTATAAAACAAAAGGATGCTGACAAAACTTCTTATTCCATGGATGCACATTCAAATTTAATTGACGGTAAAGAAATAATGGCAGCTTCGTTCTGGAACACTTGACCATGTCACTTATAGAGCAATGTGTATTGCAATGCACGTACATAACGTCCGTTCTAAATATGAGGAAAACGTTCAAAGGAAGAAAAGTAGTGTTGTTTGCTGTGCATTTTCTGTATATCAATGCAGATTCACTGGAACTATATAACCCCTGCAATAAGGGCTAGACAGCTACCATTATAACCAACTTTGACTGTTTCTTTGTATAGCTTTTTTTTATGTAAATATGAGGAATTGCCTTCATTTATACGGTGTAAACGATAGTATAAACGATAGTATAAATATTAGCATAAACACTATTATAAACGTAGTTGGCAAAGAACATATTCTAAGGTGCATGATAGCTAACGTGCATAATAGCATATTTTTGTTGCCAACTGTGTTCATACTACTGTAGACATTAAAATGAAGGTCAATCCTTATCTAATCACATTGTACAAGTGAGGATTCATAATATAAGGGCCCATCTCTGGTATAACCAAAATACAATGTAGATATAAACTTGAAGATGGTCAGCATTTACAAATATTCAAATTAATGCTTGGTAATAGGATAAAGATGGTCAGCATTTACAAATATTCAAATTAATGCTTGGTAATAGGATAAAAATATCTTGAAACATTTCCTATAAAACTTATAAGAGCTGTCTTGAAATTTATGAATATTTCTCTCAATATTTTTCATACTATCATAAGAAATAAATCACTTAGCATCAGGTATATGGGTATCTTATCATCTAAATTGATTTTAGCTGCTGGACCTGCTGGATTCCTTGGCTGTAACTTTGAGAATGCCAGTATTTGTAGCTACACACAAGATATGTCAGACATATTTAACTGGACAAGGAAAAGTGGATCAACGGGTTCCCGGGGAACTGGCCCAAGCAGTGACCACACGTATGGCAGCTCAAGAGGTATGTGATAGATAAATACTGAATGATGGTAAACAATTTCAGGAGTCTTTGATTGTGATACATTGTATATTTGATTGTAATATAATGGACATTGGGTTGTTAAACAAGATTTTTTCCCCCTGATATTGGACATTCTGTAATTGTTAAATGAGTAGCATGAAGTGTATGTTTACATTGTCATCATAGAATGTGTATTAGAAGTGTATGTTTATATGTCATCATAGAATGTGTATTAGAAGTGTATGTTTATGTCATCATAGAATGTGTATTAGAAGTGTATGTTTACATTGTCATCATAGAATGTGTACATGAAGTGTATGTTTACATTGTCATCCTAGAATGTGTATTAGAAGTGTATGTTTACATTGTCATCATAGAATGTGTATTAGAAGTGTAATCTATGCTGGTACAACGGAAGTGATTATGTGAGAGCTATGTTTTGTAGGCCACTATATGTATATTGAGGCCTCAGCCCCCAGAAAACCGGGTGATGTGGCTCGCCTCATATCTCCCCAGGAGCCATCTCCTAGCTCGAGCATGTGTGTAGAGTTCTGGTACCACATGTATGGGCAGCAGACAGGGACCCTGAGTCTGTACCTACGGAGAGGCACCGGTAATGGTAACCCAGTCTGGACTAAACAAGGTCAGTACAGTACACTGTTGTCCCAGTAATTCTTACATTTCAGAATATTTTATTATTCAGATCATAGATACAAAAAGAATAGGGCAACAGGCAAACCCTCACCTTAGTTAATTTCCCTGTAATAAAGTTAACTCAATTAGCTTTTAAATTTCATCTTTATTTTCAGTTAGTCTTAACATAATTCTTTAGACAAATAAAATATTTTTCCGTACAGGTAACCAAGGAAACCGCTGGGTCAAGGCCACATATGGAGTGTCAGCAAACTCTGGAGCCTTCAACTTGGTGTTTGAGGCAACACGAGGTACAGGCTATGTGGGCGACATCGCCATTGACGACGTATCGGTGAAGACTGGATCATGCTCATCATCTGCAGGGGGTGTGTATTCATGTCACCAAGTAAACTTAATCTAAACACAATAAGTGCTGACCTTAGGTGGAGAAGATTTGCGAGGAGAGAAGAACCATTCTTTATCACAACTCTACATACCTAGAATAGATAATGCTACTGCCTGTGATGTCATTGAGGTATAATCTTTCTGGTTCATCAGGATGGCTCTCAATTTGTTTATCACCATATATATTTAACATAACAAATCAATAACCTTTAACAAAACGAATATTTTTTGATAAATTCAAGAACAATAAGATACATGTAGGTATAATCCAACATTTACATATTGGCGTTGATGAATTGTTTGTAGGTAACTGTAACTTTGAGCTAGACTCATGTACCTGGAGTAATGTTCACACTGGAGACGATTTTGATTGGATCACTGGGTCTGGAAGTACAACTAGCACTGGAACCGGCCCTCAGGCTGACCACACCCTCAACAACTCCACTGGTAGGGCTTGCTGGCAAATACAGACAAAACCAGACTCTCAATAACTTCAATGTTAGATCACAATGTTTCTCATAGACCATAGACAGAACCCCTACACCAAGTAACCAACCAACATTAGGTCACATTTGGCTGTTATTGACAAATCATCACCCTCAGTAACTCTGGTGTTAGATCACACTGTTTATTATTACTGACAAAACCACATCCTCAATAACTCTATCAGGAGATCACAGAGAAGTCAGTATTATATTACTATGATAGGAACTCTAGAGTTGATTACAGACAGGTCACTGTGGTGTAAATAATAACACTGCAGAAATCTTTTTCACTAGGTAAGTACATCTATATTGAGAGTTCAGCGCCACAGCGACCTGGAGACCGGGCAGTCCTACAGAGTGCCACCCTGCCACCCACACCCGGCCAGTGTATGCACTTCTGGTATCACATGTTTGGGTCAGGAATTGGCACACTACAGGTGTGGAAAAAGCCACAGGGCAGCAATGCCACCAAGATCTGGGAACTCTCCCATAATCAAGGCAACCTGTGGAAGAACGGTGTTGTACCAATCGGCAGTACTAGTTCAGCATACCAGGTAATATCCTCACAAAGATTTAGTCAGAGTCATGTGTCATCAATGTAAGAATTGGCTGTATTACAAAACATCCACAATGTCAGGTTTTATCACCTTATTTACTCAGGTGACCTCTTGTGGTTGTCTCTTTGGCCATTGCAGTCTGATGTCCATAAACAATCATATTTCTCAGTTCCTACCCATCTCCATCCCCCTCCCCATAAAGAGCTGAGGGGTGGGGCAATTATAAGGGGTCAAATAATGCAAAATCTTCAATTGACATCTCCTCTCACTCCATTAAATGATCCCTAGATGTTCATTGCAATATGTATTTTCAAACAACATCACTTCTGTCAGATAATTGTAGATTTAGACCAAATTTTCATTCAGTCATTCTTTGTTTAATATGCCCCATATTGGGAGACATACAAAGTTAGATTCTACTCAGCAGTATGGGTATCATTAAAAGGTTTACCAAGGTGGCTGTTAAGGCCAGTGGGCCTTTTGTTGTACAGTGTACTACCAGCTTTTATTAGTAAGTGGATAAGATGACAAGTATTACTGTGTGACATTTAATAGGTGCTGTTGGTTGGTATCCGTGGAAACAGTTATAATGGTGACATTGCTGTTGATGATTTGACCTTTGACACAACCACTTGTACCTTGACTCCGACCAATGCCATGCCTGTCGTTACGACTCCAGCTACTACCACCCAGCAGACTCTCAAAACACCAAGTGAGTATCTCATATACCCAAGACCTTCAAGAACTTTTTAAAACATTTTTCTTAACTTGGATATTAAAGGACTAATTTTCCCCAAAACTTTGCCATTGGAATGCACTGTCGATGGACCATTAAACAATACAAAAACAAACAACTGTATTAATTAATGATATTACTGCAGGTAGCTGATTTCTAATTGGTCAATATTTACAACTGGCTAACTTGAATACTTATGGATCAATTTTTCACCGACATGTTTTGGGTGATAAATGCTTCTTTACCCTGCACATCTCACTTCTGCTAGCAGTATAACTCTATCCCTGAGAACATTCTTGAGGTTATTGTCTGATATGATAGTGGGCACTTACAATAGCATTATTCCCTAATGATAATTGGCTGCTATACATTAACCAATGTGTGGATGGGGGGCATGGATTGTTCTACATACATTTGATAAAGCTCCAGTATGATATCACCCACAATATCATTTACTTTAAAATGTTGTGTATGACTCTCTTTTCCAGCTGCATACGCTTGTGACTTTGAGCAAAATATTTGTGCATGGACACAAGACAAGACTGACAACTTTGATTGGACACGTCAGCGTGGTCCTACCTCCACAGCAAACACCGGTCCAACCACTGACCACACTAAAGGAAGTAGGTTTCTTAACATACAGATACAACCCTATCATACTTTATTGACTGAGGAGTTTTTGCAACATTAGTAATTAAAAATATTGCTGATTGCTTAAGTGACACTTTATAAAAGAGAGGTATTTTGATATCCTTGATCTGACAGTGATCTAAGAGATTTTTGAGATGGTTTTTGCTATATAAGAGTTGACAAATTACAGACACTAAAACACCCTTTGCTATCTATTATCAACTACATTTCTATCTTTAATAATCTTTTAAACAGCCAATCAGGGTTACTACGTCTTTATCGAGGCTTCGTCTCCCCGTCGTCCTGGTGATGTGGCTCGTCTGATCAGTCCGACAACCGATGGCTCTATCAAACAGTGCTTCACATTTTGGTACCAGATGTATGGTGCCCAAATCAAAGGTCTTAATGTCTACTTCAAGAGCAACAACTCACTTGGGACTAAAGTGTGGACCCGACAAGGCACCCAGGGGCGCCAGTGGATCCAGGGTCAGGTCCAGGTGGCAGGGGGCTCAGCAACACATAGTGTCACAAATGTAAGCAACATACTAACACCAAGGTTGTTATTTTTCATTAATTTCATGGAATAGTAATTTCTATGATTTTCATTGTAATATTTTTTTCTGTAAAATAAATAACCCCATTTAAAAATCAATAGCACAAGCCATCCTGTTTGCAGCACTCTGAGCTGTAGTCACTAGACCTAAAATTGACAAAAATCATATCCTATGAAATTTTAGCAAATCCATAAGGAAGAAAGACTTTTATAGAATAGATGTGTTTGTTTACAGATTGTCGTTGAGGGTGTTAGAGGAATGAACTACATTGGAGACATTGCCATTGATGATGTTAACCTGTTTGCAGGCAACTGTCCATCAGGTGTGTAAAAAGGAATAATTTTTTGTGTATTTTTCCTAAACAGTGTCAGATAGAATAACTTTTATAAATTCTTCTTTTCAATTAAGACTAATTAAGTAGTTTAAAAGGAGAATTCACAAAATAGGTGTGCTTGACAATAAAAGTTCTTCTCTGTCTATATCATGTTTCAGATTTTACTATTTTTATGGGTTAATATAAGCAAGATTATTTGACTCATTGTCTATAGCATGTTTCAGATTTTACTATTTTTATGGGTTGATATAAGCAAGATTATTTGGCTCATTGTCTATAGCATGTTTCAGATTTTACTACTTTTATGGGTTGATATAAGCAAGATTATTTGACTCATTGTCTATAGCATGCTTCAGATTTTACTATTTTTATGCGTTGATATAAGCAAGATTATTTGACTCATTGTCTATAGCATGTTTCAGATTTTACTATTTTTATGGGTTAATATAAAAAGATTGTATGACTCTTTGACATTACAGGCCCCACTGCTAGCCCTGGATCTCTGTCCACCACAATTAACTGTGGCTTTGAGAGAACAAACATTTGTAACTACCAGCAGGATAAAACTACAGATGTTTTTGATTGGACAAGGAAGAGTTTGGCTACAACTTCTAGATACACTGGGCCAACAAGTGACCACACTTATGGAACATCAGCAGGTACGTAGTCATGGGCAAGATTTATAGACAAGATATACTGACTTAAATCATTAACAACATTTTCACTGGTATGAAAAAAATCTTGTTGTGAATTAAAATGATACTCTTAATGAATGACTGCTGATTGCCTGTTTAGGTCACTACATGTATATTGAGGCCTCCGCACCCCGACACCGTGGTGACTCAGCACGGCTGATGACCCCCGTGTTCTCTGCATCCTCACAGCAATGCCTGTCTTTCTGGTTCCACATGTATGGAAACACCATGGGCACACTTAATGTGTACGCCGTCCAAAACTCCTCAAACAGCTACAACGCACCCATATGGTCTCTAAGTGGTAACCAAGGCAACTTGTGGCTTCAGGAGTATGTACCTCTCCCCAGCTATGGTGCTCAGAAGGTAGGCCATGAAATAATTACAGTCATTATTTTGATATTATTTTTCTTTGGCAAATGTTTACCCTGTGGTGATTGAACAGACACACAGTGATGTATTTATGTTAAATACTTTTACAGATTGTGTTTGAAGGCCTTGTGGGAAGAGGAGTTCAGAGCGACATTGCAATTGATGACGTCCAACTAGCTGCCAGCTGTCCAACTCATGGTAATCTAGTTATATTGAATGAACTGAACATATAGACAAAATATTTAGCTTTGTCTCTTCAACTAATGCTTGCTTACATTTTCTGTAGTGGTCAATTTTGTATGATAATGGGTTTCACTTTGATTGGTTGCTATCCATGTACTTATCATGATTACAATCAGTGCATGCCATTGTAAGTTGCTTATTGTGCTTGGCATGATATGGTTGCCTGCTAGCAATCCATTGCATGTTTGTATGTCAGCTATGTTTATTTCATTGCTTGGAAAGGTTGCCTGGTTGCCTGTCTTTTGTTTGTTGTGTTTGGAGCAGTTGTTTTCAGCTATTCAATATACATGGAATGGTTGCCTGGTTGCCTGTCTTTTCGTTTTTTTGTGTTTAAACGGTTGATTTTCAGCTATTCAATGTACATGGAATGGTTGCCTGGTTGCCTGGTTGCCTGCTGGCTATTGCTACAAGTTTGCATGTCAGTTTTTTTTATTCCAGGGCTTGGAATAGTGACCTGACATCTATTTGTTATTCTGAGAATGATTGTCAGCTTTTTGTTGTGTTGAAATGATAAATTGTCAGCTATTTGTTTTTTGCATAGAGTGGCTGTCTGCTAGTTGTTTGTTACATTTCCATGTTAACTATTCATTTCAGTGCTAGGAAATGTTGCCTGGTTGCCTGTCCTCTATTTGTTGAGTTGGAATGGTTAATTGTCATCTGCCTGTTGCTCTAAGCATGGTTGTCTGCTATATGTTATTGAGAAGTTTGTTGCTTTTTGAATAGATGCTTGCCAGCTATCTGAATGTTGTTATCGAAATGGTTGATTGTCAGTTATTTGTTGTGGTGCTTAGAACTGTGCTTCCATTGATTCTGCCGTATTTTTTTACTATGTGAAGTGTTTTTGGCCATGCATGATTCTGCTGTATTTGTGCTTACTCTGTGAGGTGTCGGGCTGTGCTTGATTCTGCTGTATTTGTGCTCACTGTGTGAGGTGTCGGGCTGTGCTTGATTCTGCTGTATTTGTGCTTACTCTGTGAGTTGTCAAAACTGTGCTTGATGCTGTTGGTTATCTTGCTTCTAGACAGCTTTTGGCAGGTCTCTGTCAGCTGTCACGATGCCTTCTTTAGGATCAGATTTAAGAGGTCATCGAGACAGCTTTCACTGACTTTGTCTGCTACCACAAGAACACACTTGGGAAACAAATCTACTCCTGCATTCAAGGCTCTCTTCAGGTCATCAAATTTGATTTTTTCTTCTAAAATGCCTTATTTGTTACATCTTTATCTACAGTTAGGAATCTTGACTCTATGCTTTTTGTTAAGACCTGTGTTTAACAGTGGGTCCTAAAACATGTGAGATGTAGTAACACGTACCCTTTGGGCTGTTTCTCTAACACGTACCCTTTGGGCTGTTTTTCTAACTTGTAACCTTTGGTCTGTTCCTCTAACACCTACCCTTTGGGCTGTTTCTCTAACATCTTCCCTTTGGGCTGTTTCTCTAACACGTACCCTTTGGGCTGTTTCTCTAACACGTACCCTTTGGGCTGTTTCTCTAACAGGTAACCTTTGGGTTGTTTTTCTAACAGGTAACCTTTGGGCTGTTTCTCTAACACGTACCCTTTGGGCTGTTTCTCTAACACGTACCCTTTGGGCTGTTTCTCTAACACCTACCCTTTGGGCTGTTTCTCTAACACCTACCCTTTGTGCTGTTTCTCTAACACCTACCCTTTGGGCTGTTTCAATGAGATGTAAATTGTGTTACAGACTTGTAAATTTTGTACTATACAGGTGATTGTAGTTTTGAGAATGGAACATGTGGTTGGCGTAACGACAAGACGGACGGCTTTGATTGGGTGGTTCATCAAGGCCAGAGATATACATCACGACAAACACCAACTGGGGACCACACCTTCGGTACAAGGAGAGGTAAAGTTCATCAAGATCATGTTATTACAACTGATAACACGTATTTACAAACTTAAATTGATCAAATGCAATATAAAACATGGATTAACTGCATAACAACAACTTTTTGCCTACCGAGGGTATTCACTGTTAGCACACTATAGGATTCTTGAGGTTTCAGAAATATTAAAAAGCAAATAAAGATGGTGTGAAAAATTATTGTTCTGAGAGGATTGTTTAATTGATAGCATTTAAGTCAAAAGACAACAAGAAACAAAGAAAAAAATATAAGTTTATGAAAACCAACAAAACGTGACAGAAGAATATAAAATTATGATTGACTACAAAGTAACAGAGAATGAATTATGTATTTGTATTCACCGGAGTATTGTTCTTGTGGCAATGTAAATTGTAACAACTGAAAAATTATCTTTTTTAGGTCATTACTTGTACTACAATGGGCGCAGCGCCGTGACTTCAGGCTCCAAAGCTTCGTACATGTCCCAGATCATGGCCCCAACAAGTAGCACTGGCCAGTGTTTCACCTTCTTTTATACCATCACTGGTAATAATGTGGGAATGCTCAACGGCATGGTTCAACAGGTATGTCACCCCATCATTGGTTATATTGTTAGACTACTCAATATTATGGTTCTACAGGGTAAGTCCCCCCGTCATTGGTTACATTGTTAGACTACTCAATAATATGGTTCTACAGGGTAAGTCCCCCTGTCATTTGTTATATTGTTAGACTTCTCAATATTATGGTTCTACAGGGTAAGTCACCCCGTCATTGGTTACATTGTTAGACTACTCAATATTATGGTTCTACAGGGTAAGTCACCCTGTCATTTGTTATATTGTTAGACTACTCAATATTATGGTTCTACAGGGTAAGTCAACCATTTAATAATGTGGAAAAACACAAGGGTATGGTTCCACAAGTTACACATTGTCAGTCATCCCTGTAACAATGTGGGAACGCTGCATGGTATGGTTCTACTTGAGTCACACCTGTAATTATATGGCAATATTCAACAGTTACAGCAGCGCACTGTTTTGATATGTGTAATGTAACACTACAGCACTGAGATTATACATAAATTGATACGGGTTAACTCCAGCTCACTAAGGTTATATTTATTTGTTTAGGGTAACACTAGTACTCTGATGTGGCATCTATCCTTTAACCCGTCGACTGGATGGAACCAAGGTCAGTTCCCGATCAGCAGTGCCACACCCTTCAGGGTCATCCTCCAACTGGCCAAAGGCACCTATCGTGGGGGATACGTTGCCATTGATGACATTGCCTTCAGTGTTGGCACTTGCCAAGGTAAGTCTTACCTCCAAAGAACATGTATTATTGAGTGTATGTAGTTACGTGGTAAAAGTTAACTGATTCATTGATGGAAATAAATGGTTTTGTTAATTTTTGTAAAAGAAAGGATAAATATTATCTGTATTTTCAATTGTATTTGTAAAGAAAACTGATTTTTTTTAAGAATCTTTTGTACAATAAAATAATATATTTTGAAAGGTGTTTTTGAGAAGAATTAAAATGTTTAAAGTAAAATATTGTACTTTTATATATAGTGACACCAGTGGATGCAATGTCTGGAAACACCTTGCCTCCCATCTCTACTGTGTCTACAACAGCTAGCCCAACCAGTGGTAAGTGGAAACACCTTGATTCCCATATCTACCCTGTCAACAAACACCAGAGTAACCAATGTTACGGTCACCTACCATCAGTCCTAGTCACTATCACATTAGCTAATATGTTTCAGGAAGTATATTTGTTAGACATGAACAAGATTTAACAATAACAAATGTTCAGCCTAAACAACATGCTACGATCTAACACTATAATGACCTAACATAACATTTTGGTGTTTCAGCCCCAAGTCAGTATGACTGTAACTTTGATAATGGTATATGTACCTGGACTCAGAACAAGGATGACCAATTTGACTGGACACGTCACCAAGGCAGCACAGGCACAGGAGGGACTGGTCCGAGCACTGACCACACATCAGGTACTAATCTATAGAGACACTGACTACCCGTCAGCTACTGGTCTATAGAGACACTGACCATGCACACATCAGGCACTGGTCTATAGAGACACTGACCACACATCAGGTACTGGTCAATAGAGACACTGACCACACGTCAGGTACTGGTCTATAGAGATACTGACCATGCACACATCAGGCACTGGTCTATAGAGACACTGACCACACAGCAGGTACTGGTCTATAGAGACACTGACCATGCACACATCAGGTACTGGTCGATAGAGACACTGACCACACATCAGGTACTAATCTATAGAGACTCTGCCTACCCGTCAGCTACTGGTCTATAGAGACACTGACCATGCACACATCAGGCACTGATCTATAGAGACACTGACCACTCATCAGGTACTGGTCTATAGAGACACTGACAACACATCAGGTACTGGTCTATAGAGACACTGACCACACATCAGGTGCTGGTCTATAGAGACACTGACCACACGTCAGGTATTGGTCTATAGAGACACTGACCACACATCAGGTACTGGTCAATAGAGACACTGACCACACGTCAGGTACTGGTCTATAGAGACACTGACCACACGTCAGGTATTGGTCAATAGAGACACTGACCACACGTCAGGTACTGGTCTATAGAGACACTGACCACACGTCAGGTACTGGTCTATAGAGACACTGACCACACATCAGGTACTAAGCTATAGAGACACTGACCACACCTCAGGTACTGGTCTATAGAGACACTGACCACACGTCAGGTACTGGTCAATATAGACACTGACCACATGTCAGGTATTGGTCTATAGAGACACTGACCACACATCAGGTACTAATCTATAGAGACACTGACCACACCTCAGGTACTGGTCTATAGAGACACTGACCACACGTCAGGTACTGGTCAATAGAGACACTGACCACACATCAGGTACTAATCTATAGAGACACTGACCACACATCAGGTACTGGTCTATAGAGACACTGACCATGCACACATCAGGTACTGGTCTATAGAGACACTGACCACACGTCAGGTACTGGTCAATAGAGACACTGACCAAACGTCAGGTATTGGGCTAAAGAGACACTGACCACACATGTACATCAGGTACTGATCTATAGAGACACTGACCACACCTCAGGTACTGGTCTATAGAGACACTGACCACACGTCAGGTACTGGTCTATAGAGACACTGACCACACTTCAGGTACTGGTCTATAGAGACACTGACCATGCACACATCAGGGACTGGTCTATAGAGACACTGACCACACGTCAGGTCCTGGTCAATAGAGACACTGACCACACGTCAGGTATTGGGCTAAAGAGACACTGACCACACATCAGGTACTGATCTATAGAGATGATATAGGAGTTACAATGATAATGAAATGTCTTTTCTAAACCAGACATATTTTGGATTTCTTATGACATGGTCTAAGGAGGGGATCTCTCATAACTTTGTCAAAGGAGATAGAATTCTAAGATGTGACAGGGGAACATGTGCTTCCTTTTTTCAGTACTTCAGGGTTTTGATTGATTCATCTGGGAGATTTGCAACATAAACATATGAAAATATACAATTTTGAATGTTATTTTCTACCATCTAAACAATGAATGCTAACAGTAATGTGGTCATTTTCAGGTTCAGGATATTACATGTTTATCGAGGCATCCACACCGAGAAGAAGCAATGACAAGGCTAGGTTGTCGAGTGCCACAATATCCACTACTGGGCCTAAGTGTCTCAGGTTCTGGTACCACATGTACGGTACAGATGTCAACACTCTGAACGTCTACACCAAGGTTGGCCCAAGCTACGGTAGTCCAATATGGAGCCACACAGGCACTCTCAGTAACAAGTGGTACTCCACATCTGTAAACGTCCAAGCCAATTCCACCTACCAGATTGTTTTTGAGGGTGTCCGTGGAATCAGTTACCGTGGTGATATTGCCATCGACGACATCAGTTTAGCAGACGGATCCTGTCAGGGTATGATTGTCTTTGAAGTTTACTGAACCCATCTGTTCTGAGCTCAGACTTCGAAGAATAGAGACACTTATGTAGTCACCCTGCATTGACTTTGGCATTGGTATTGTCAGGTTGAAGTGTGGACCTTCATTGATATAACCTTGACAGTATTTCTACTATAATGCTGATATTTGGCATGGATGTTTCCAAGGGGGTTTACACTGATGCAGTACACTCAAAAACAGAATTGAAAAAATGATTGATCCATTTTCACAAACAATTTCTCTTACTATAAAAAGTCCCAGGGTAAATTTTTGCTTAATTTCACAAAAGGAAATCAATAAGAAATGATATCCCTCTTTTTGTAAAATATTCTAGTTACAAAACTTGATAAAACAAATGTTCATTACATCTTTGGTTTGGTGCTTCATTCAAATTGGATCAAGCCACATGCTGAATATATCTTAAAAATCTTAACCTGGAGTTGAGATTTCAGTCTTTATAACACAAGAATAATAGACTATATATAGATTATATAGATATATATAGAGAAAGCAAAAACTTGATAATTCTTTAAAAAAAGAAACATTTCTATAGGAACAGGTAGTTCGTGTACCTTTGAGGATTCCCATCTATGTGGTTACACCCAGGACAAAACAGATAACTTCAACTGGTCATGGAAGAGTGGACACACCGCATCCTCCAACACTGGACCAAGCGCAGACCATACATATGGGTCAACACGAGGTGAGGAGGACTACCTGTTGTAATGGCATAGAGATGTGTAAATGTAGAACTGTTGAGGGATCGCTACTCTCTAAGGAATAGGAATAAATCTAAATCTGTTGTTTACATATCCGGTTTTATTAATCCCTTTCACAGGAAGGGTACTTGTGAATGTGGACAGAACCCATAAATGTTACAGTTGTTAACAAGAGTGAAAAAGTTAACATGCATATTCATTGAAATGACAAGGGTTAACATTGGTAACAACATAAACATTTAATGTATGTTTTAGGCTAAGGGAAATAACAATTACATGTGTGATGAGGTAATAAAAACCATATGATAGTAAAGAGATGTAAATACATGTGCGACGCTAAATGGAGGAAACAAATACCTGTGCAAGTTTAAGAAAGGTAAAAATAAGTGTGTGAAGTCAAGAGATATAGGATACATATGTTGGATTAATAGGAGGTTGTAAACCCATTCTGAGGGTTAAGGAGGTAAAATCCACATAGCCTATTCCTATGTAAAGGAACCAACTCTCAAACTTACACAATAAAGGATTTATTCACAGGACAATGTTTGTTTCTGTTTTAGGTCACTATGTTTACATTGAATCTTCACGTCCCCAACTACCTGGTCAGAAAGCACGCCTTATGAGTACTGACAACGCCCCAACAGTCGGCAGCTGCCTACAGTTCTGGTACCACATGTATGGTGGGCAGATTGGCAACCTCACTGTGTATGCACAGCAGGCTGGCAGCCGTGGCCCACCCATCTGGTCCAAGTCTGGTAACCAAGGCAACAAGTGGCTTGAGGCTGAAGTGACTGTAACAGCACAGTCCACTTGGGAGGTCAGTGTTATTTTGGATGAAGGTCAGCAGGTTTAGATGCATAATGATAAAGATTTTGGGTCTCCCACCTGTACTTCCAGTGGGTACTATAGGTTTGTACCCTGTCAGACTGTCCATCAGTCTGTCTCTGTGTCGGGTGTATCCTATATACTCTTGACACTCGGATGGCAGTGGCACATAATGAAATGGAGCCTTACGCCAAAATATATGCAGAGTTATGGCCCCTTTTTTTTATTGTGTATCACTTTCTCAGAGCCATATCTCATGTACTATGTAATCTATAGTTACAAATTTGGCATGCGAGAGCCTCTTTTGACAGGAAGGTGACATGCACTGAAATCAGGTCTTGTCTCTTTATAAGAGTTATGGTACCTTTTTTAGGTCACCTGAGCTTTAGCTCAAGTGACCTATTGCTATCCGTTTTCGTCCGTCGTCGTCCGTCGTCCGTCGTCCGTCGTCCGTCGTCCGTCGTCCGTTAACATTTTACATTTCAAACTTAAAGTCAAGTTCTGCTGGGCCGATTGAACTGAAAGTTGGTAGGAATGATCGCCTCATGGTCCTGACAAAGTGTTGTTATTTTTCGGGTCGATCAGAAATCCAATATGGCCGCCACGGCCGCCATTTTGAAAAACTATTTCAAACTTAAAGTCAAGTTCTGCTAGGCTGATTGAACTGAAACTTTGTAGGAATGATCAGCTCATGGTCCTGACAGAGTGTTGTTATTTTTCCTGTCAATTAGAAATACAATTTGGCTGCCATGGCCGCTATTTTGCTACTAAATTCTAATAGGCCGATCTCACTTAAAATTGGTCTAGGAATGATCAGCTCATGGTCCTGACAAAGTTAAGTTAACATTATACTATTTTTTACTCAAATTGGTACATATTTCAACAACAACAAAAAATACTATAGACTCAGGTGACCGTTAAGGCCCATGGGCCTCTTGTTTTTTATACAGATCAAACTTTATTCAGAGATGGGAACTATGAATTGCTTGCACTTCTTTTTTTGTCTTTTATTAAATTGTTGAAGTATGTGTTGTGATTATAAAATGATTGTGGTTAAAATATAATTGGACAACCCACATGTACTGATGACCATTGCTTACGGCAATGTTTGTTAAAGATTATATATAACTTCTGTTGTAGGCCGTATTTTTCATAGATTATATATAAATTGTGTTGTAGGCCGTGTTTGTCATTGATTATATATAACTTGTGTTGTAGGCCGTATTTGAGGGTGTCATAGGCAGTGGCTACCACAGTGATATAGCCATCGATGATGTCAAAATAAATCCTGGAGCTTGTGCAGGCAATGGCAATTGTAACTTTGAAAAGGACATGTGTTTGTGGACCAACGTTCAAGGAGATGATTTTGATTGGCTTAGAAAGAAGGGTCGTACTCAGACCCAGTTTACTGGTCCAAGCTCAGACCACACCACTGGAGGTTTCACAGGTTAGTAGTATCAGTACTAATCATCTGTTTCATATATACATCCCTTATAAAAATAGAAATTTTAACGACAAGTTTGCAAAAACATCCCTTTCTGAATTCAAACACTTTTGACCATGTTGCTGGCTAATGCTGCAACATGTCTTGGTTTGCAGTTTCAATGTGACAATTTCTGCAGTAATGTTTTGGTTATAGAATTGCATGTGAATCAAGCTTACAGATCAGTACTGCCAATTTATTGACTCGATAATGTGATCTCAAATGTTCTCTGATACACACTTCACTTTGTTGGTCCAAATGACTGTGCAACAAGATAAGTCATGTTGGTCCAAATGGCTGTATATATACCACTACATTAAGTAAATTTACTGTATATACCAATACATAAAGTAAATTTACTATATGTACCACTACATGAAGTACATTTACTATATGTACCACTACATGAAGTACATTTACTGTATGTACCAATACATGAAGTATATTTACTGTATGTACCACTGCATTAAGTATATTTACTGTATATACCACTGCATTAAGTATATTTTCTGTATGTACCACTACATAAAGTAAATTTACTGTATATACCACTGCATTAAGTATATTTACTGTATTTACCACTACATAAAGTAAATTTACTTTATTTACCACTACGTAATGTATATTTACTGTATGGACCACTACATTAAGTATATTTACTGGATGTACCACTTCATTAAGTATATTAACTGTATTTACCACTACAAGTAAATTTACTGTATTTACCACTACGTAATGTATATTTACTGTATGGACCACTACATGAAGTATATTTACTGGATGTACCTCTTCATTAAGTATATTTACTGTATGTACCACTGCATTAAGTAAATTTACTGTATGTACCACCACATGAAGTATATTTACTGTTTGTACCACTACATTAAGTATATTTACTGTATGTACCACTGCATTAAGTATATTTACTGTATGTACCACTACATGAAGTACATTTACTGTATGTACCACTACATGAAGTATATTTACTATATGTACCACTGCATTAAGTATATTTACTGTATGTACCACTACATTAAGTATATTTACTGTATTTACCACTACATAAAGTAAATTTACTGTATTTACCACTACATAAAGTATATTTACTGTATTTACCGCTACGTAATGTATATTTACTGTATGTACCACTACATGAAGTATATTTACTGTATGTACCACTACATGAAGTATATTTACTGTTTGAACCACTACATAAAGTATATTAACAGTTTATACCACTACACAATGTATATTTACAGTATTAACTGGTTATTTTTGTATTACAGGTTACTATATGTTCATTGAGACGTCGGCACCTCGAGTGCGTGGTGACAAGGCATGGCTGGTCAGCAATCCAATGTCACCCAGCTCCACCACCACCTGTATGAGTTTCTGGTACCACATGTATGGCACAGCTGTCGGTATGTATTTACACATTTATATATCATTTGTATTTAAAGGTTTTAGATATCTAATTTTGATTGTTGCTAATATGTTTCTGGACATTTCTAATTCTATGCTACAGGAAGTCTCAATGTGTATGCCAATACAACTGGTAAACTTACCACACTTTGGACACTGTATGGCAACCAGCAGAATGCCTGGCACCAAGGACAGATACCTCTTGTCCCACAGACCAGCACCTACACTGTAAGTATATAGCTACCCTCTACCACCCTGTAAGTATATAGTTATGGTCTTCGTATACATGTAGTCCTTCAGACTAACATTTACACTGTTTAGTTACTAAATGTTCTGACTGATGATTCTGTTTTCATTACCAAGAACTTTAAGTGAAGTATTGTTAGGTATTTTCTGTTCCATTTGAAGTGAAGATTTGTGATATTTCCCAGTAACAGGTGATGTTTGAAGTGAAGAGTAATGGTATATATTGTCTTGTTACAGATTGTATTTGAAGGGGTCAGAGGAACTAGTTATCAAGGAGATATTGCACTTGATGATATCTTGTTTAAGCCATCACCATGTGGATGTAAGTTTTGAATTATCTTGATTTGATTTCTTAAATAAGTTTAAAACAAAAGATTTCTAAAATTATTATCAAATATATCAATAAAGATAACAAAGTTATATTTGTTGCATATATGATTACAGTTGGTCTGCCACTTACTGTTACAGCTTACTTACCTCCAGTAGTGTGTCTTCAATCAAGTTTATGCACAGGGACCTTATCGTGCACATATTTACTAGAATAAAAGTCCCTGATTAAGTTTTCTAGAATCAAAGTCTTTGAATATGAAGGAAATCTTTTTATTAAGAAAAATGTTTATATGTCATCATATATTTATTTTCTAGATTTACCAGCAACAGCAAATCCAGCTAATGTCAGTACGACCTCGGCTCCGGCAACCAGTCCTACACCTACACCATTTGGTGAGTACTATCAAGTCGTACACCTGTATGTACTGTGTGGTAATTGTTAGTCCAGGAAATTATTATTATTCCTCTGCCTCATTGTTTACACACATGCAAGCATGCATGCACTACACACATGCACGTCCTTAAATGACCTTAGATGTTAATAGGATGTTAAACTAAACTAAACCAGACCATACATTTGTGTTGTGTGATTGAGTGATTCATTCCAAATGTAATACTTCTTTTGCTTTTTATGTTATAGTGAACCAGTCCAAATATGACTGTTCATTCGAAACCAACCTTTGTACCTGGACTCAAGCCAAGGACGACATTTTCGATTGGACACGATCCCAGGGCCCAACGGCCTCTGTCCAGACTGGTCCAACTAATGACCATACCTTAGGAACTGGTCAGTACAAATTTCCGTCCTTCACCTGTAAAATCCAGATTAGTCCACTGTATATTTGATTACTATATTGATAATATTATTTACTAATGTTCACTGTAACGATAGAGTTGCCCTCATTATGGCAGGAGAAATAGGCGAAAATTATATTGCAACAATTTCATGGTATACAGTATGAAACTATGCTTCAGGCACATTTCATTCATGGTACTTGCTATCTAAGCCTGAGATATCTGCACAAAGCCATCAGGATGCATATGTTCATATTTGGAAACAGTTTCCCTTATACGGATGATCAGCTAGTTAGAAAAATGTTCTTGATATCTATTTTACAAACATTCATGTTTCTAAGTTATATCCTGTGGTTGATTGTTGGGAGTTGTTTTATCTAGGACAAGGCTGGTACGTGTTTATTGAATCCTCGAATCCACGTAAGATGAACGACACTGCACGCCTTGTGTCAGCGCCTGTACCCAGTGGGTCGCCGCAGTGTCTCAGTTTCTGGTACCATATGTATGGACCCAACATCAACCGGCTCAATGTCTACATCAAGGTCTGTACCTGCTACTAAACAGATGGGCAAATGACTTGTTACATGTTACTGATTATATTTGAAAATGTTACCAAGTAAATAGATAATTGAATACAGATATCATATAACCCCCTTCTGAAATGATACACACCTGTCATATGATCCAATTGAAAATATATGATTGCATCATACCTAAAAAATTAAGACAAATGTCATATGACCCCTTACTAGGTAGACTGACAAATGCCATATGACCCCCTTCTAAATAGCAAATAAAACAGCCATATGACTCTAATAAAAAGAGTGGACAAATATCATACGACCCTGCCTCGCCCACCTTACTAAATTACCAAATACATGTATGACTTGATACTAAATACATCGAAACAAGTCATATGACCACGTATCAACACCCCACCCCTTCTAATTGATAGAGTGATGTCCCTTGAGGTGTGGCCTTTGAAGCACTGTCAGTCCTTTGCTACCTAATACAATGAGTCTATTTACTTACAGAAAGGTAACAGCTATGGCACCCCTGTATGGACAAGGTATGGCACTCAGGGTAACCTCTGGATCCAGGCTCATTACCCCATCCCTAGCCAGTCAGCCCAGTACAACATTGTGTTTGAAGCACTCACTGGAGCAGGTTACCGTGGCGATATTGGACTCGATGATATCAAACTTGTTGCTGGAGCTTGTCCATCTACAGGTAAGATATTCATATTTAAGGTACAACGTTTCTGCATTTATTTTGAATGATTACTAATTTACTTACAAGGACCTGAGTAATAACAAATATTATCCCTGTGTTTATGAACATACGGGGTAAACATTTTTAAGATATATGAATTTATAAAAGAAAATTTACTCTGGAGGTTTATCATTTTGCAAATAAATTAGATCTGCGGTATTGAAGTCATTTATCAGAATAGTTTAATATATTTACAAAGTAAGCATTTAAGCTGCTGCTTTTTGTGTCTCCAACAAAAAAAATGTGAAATGAGTGGATCACTCAGTCATCATAAGCATCTGCATGAATTGTTTTCATTGATAACCCTTAAGCTTGAAGGAATGCTTTCATTTCTCACAAAACTTTCTATACATACCTGCAGCACAGAGTACCTGCTATTTTTTTTTTTTAATTAATCATAAAATCAGCGTCAATCTTGGATTTGGTGAAAACTCCAAGGATTTCCATGCAATAACCCTTGAACAATGCTTTGATTCATAAAAAATTCTACACATGTCTATAATAACAAATACCCTGTCCAGTTTGATTTTGACCAAAATCTGAGAACTAATATGGTCGCCATTGAGTGCAGGTTATAGATGATATTCAAAGACTGTTCTTACAGAACAAGTTGAGAAAACATAAATGTATTCATGTTTTAGATTAGATATAGGAGTAGCAGCTGTGATGTAAAATATATGTGAACTGTTTTTAACTGTATAGGTGGACTGCAGTGTAACTTTGAGACCTCCAGCCTTTGTGGTTGGAGCCAGGACACCAGTGATAACATGGACTGGATATCAAAGGCCGGTAGGACCTCCTCCTCAGGCACTGGGCCCTCGACAGACCACACCACAGGAACATCCTCAGGTATTCCTGAAAGTTTCTAGACACACATAATAAGCAAAATTGAAGTTGTTGGTACAACCAACATTTAAGACTGAAATAGTTGAAAATCAAGAGTTACTGTCCTTGATCTTTTGTGTCAAGAAAAAAACCCAGGAATGAGTTTGAAAGTCAAGAATTATTGCCCTCGATCTTCATCAAGGTTCAGGTTGGTAAGCTGGATGGAACCAAGACATGAGGTAGGGGCTCATTGCAAGGAAAATTTATTTTGAAGTTAGCATAAAAGTGTTGGTAAGCCAAATAAGTAATGTAGATCCAGCCTCTCACAGGTGATGGTGGTCTGTAAACAGGAATCAGAAGTGGACGCTAAAGGATTTGAAGCTCCATCCAAGAGAAGTACAAATACAATAGGGTAAATGATAGAGTTTCATCACGAAGGATCACCAGAACAATTTCACAGTGACTTCAGACAGCTTAAGTGCAATAAAGAAATCACAGTTCTAGATTTAATAATAATATAGCTAATCACAGTTATTGAGGTAAACCTTTATAGCTAGTTTAAGAACAAATCACTGTTAAGTTACTTGAAATAATGGCCGTGATAGAAGTCATGTCTTACTATTTGAGTTATTGACATTGATTAGAACCATTGGCATTAATAAATAGGCTTGCCTTAAAAAGTTCACAGAAGGTTTCTGTCAGGTTTTTGAGGCAGAATGTTTTATTTTGTACACATCTTTGACATTTTCTTATATCATTGTAGGACACTATGTCTACATTGAATCAAGCCGACCAAATGTTCCTGGCAACAAGGCCCGTCTACTGAGTCCCTCTGTAACCACGACAACAGCCATGTGTCTACAGTTTTATTATCATATGTATGGGAGACAGATGGGAACCTTGAATGTGTACCAGCGTGTAGGAACTACCCTATCTACTGCTCCAATCTGGACTAGGTCCTTCAACCAGGGCAACAAGTGGATCCCTGGCCAAGTCACTATCCAGAACAGTCAGGCCTACCAGGTAGGTTGGATATAGTTAAGGCTATAATACAGTCAGGGCTACCAGGTAGGTTGGATATAGTTAAGGCTATGATACAGTCAGGCCTACCAGGGAGGTTGGATATAGTTAAGGCTATAATACAGTCAGGGCTACCAGGTAGGTTGGATATAGTTAAGGCTATGATACAGTCAGGCCTACCAGGTAGGTTGGATATGGTTAAGGCTATAATACAGTCAGGCCTACCAGGTAGGATGGGTATAGTTAAGGCTATAATACAGGCAGGCCTACCAGGTAGGTTGGATATAGTTAAGGCTATAAGACAGTCAGGCCTACCAGGTAGGTTGGATATAGGTAAGGCTATAATACAGTCAGGCCTACCAGGTAGGGTGGATATAGTTAAGGCTATAATACAGTCATGCTTACCAGGTAGGTTGGATAAAGTTAAGGCTATAATACAGTCAGGCCTACCAGGGAGGGTGGATATAGTTAAGGCTATAATACAGTCAGGCCTACAAGGTAGGTTGGATATAGTTAAGGCTATAATACAGCCAGGCCTACCAGGTAGGTTGGATATAGTTAAGGCTATGATACAGTCAGGCCTCCCAGGTAGGTTGGATATAGTTAAGGCTATAATCCAGTCAGGCCTACCAGGTAGGTTGGATATAGGTAAGGCTATAATACAGTCAGGCCTACCAGGTAGGTTGGATATAGTTAAAGCTATAATACAGTCAGGCCTACCAGGTAGGTACTACATGATAAAGTATAGAGAAGGATACAACCAATCCAAACATACAGATTCTAGCAATGTTCAGAATAAGTTTCTTCAGTTTGACATTTACACTCCTTGCTTGACAAAGGAAACAGGTGCTTTTGAAAGCTCTAAAAAAGTTGTTCGAAACAAGCTTAGCCTTTATAGATTGCAACAATAGCTGATCTTTCCTTTGCAGGTTGTATTTGAAGGAGTTGTTGGAACTGGTTACACTAGTGACATTGCCATTGATGACATCAATGCTGTCCCCGGAGCTTGTCCAGACCCAGGTAACCTTACACTGATGTGGGATAGAACATGCTGTAATGCTTTATAACCAGTTTAGGGACTGTTTTCGTTGACATATTATTGCATTGATTTAGCATATGCACACTTTTTACTTCAAAAATAATGTTCTTATTGTTGCTTGAGTGTTAATTCAATTCCAAAGGGTGAGTGCAGAAAATGCTTATTGTGATTATGTAGATTTAAATCTAAATCAGGATAAAATATTGACTGCCATAGCATGTCTAAAGGTTTTTCCATCATGTTTACTCATGTTTCCTAATTGTTTGATGACCAGTAGAAAAACAAAATGTGCCCAACATATCAATATACCTGGTTCTATTGCCAAGAGTTCAGTAACATATACTATTCAATGTAATATCAACTAAAAGAGGTTTGGTCTCCCATGACATGCTCTTTCAGAATATCAAGATAAAATTTTGTCTTGTCTGTGTTCTCAGGAAACTGTGACTTTGAGAAGGGTCTGTGTACTTGGACAAATGTACATGATGGAACGGACCAATTTGATTGGCTGTTAAACAAGGGCCGCACATCTAGCACCATTACTGGACCGAGCAATGATCACACCAAGGGCACTCCCTCTGGTAAGTTATGTTATCACACATCTAGTACCATTAATGATCACACCCAGGGCCCTCCCTCTGGTAAATTATGTTATCACACATCTAGTACCATTAATGATCACACCAAGGGCACTCCCTCTGGTAAGTTAATGATCACACCAGGGGCACTCCCTCTGGTAAATTATGTTATAACACATCTAGTACCATTAATGATCACACCAGGGGCACTCCCTCTGGTAAGTTATATTATCACACATCTAGTACCATTAATGATCACACCCAGGGCCCTCCCTCTGGTAAGTTATGTTATCACACATCTAGTACCATTAATGATCACACCAAGGGCACTCCCTCTGATAAGTTAGTGTTTCCCACATTTTTTTTTTATCCCCCGCTTTCACCAATACGGGGGATATTCATTTGGGTTTGTCTGTCTGTCAGTCTGTCTTTCTGTCTGTTTCGCTTCGTTTCCGTGCAATAACTGCAACAAATGTTAACCGATTTTCTTCAAACTTGGTAACAGGGTTAAATGCCTTAAGGGCTCGGCCAAGTTTGATGACCACTTTTAGCAGACTTTATTTGGCAGAGTTATGGCCCCTTGAATAACGAAAAACGTCATTAGCTGCAGTTTCCGCTAAATAACTCTTAGCAAATATTAGCCAAATTCCTTCAAACTTGATGACAATGTTTGTGTTCCTCTGTCTTTCTACCCATGATGGGTACTCTTTGGTTTTCGTGTGATTATTGGTGTAGATATTGTGCAGATATTTCAACCAAACTCTGTATGCACATCCGACTCATGCTAAGTTTGCCAACCGATGTGTTTTGTGCATATTTACGGGTAAATAATGAGGTTAGTAAATTCTGATGGATTAAACGATTAATTTACACCGTAATACCTGCATGTTCAATAAAAAGTTTAACTTCTGTATTAGGCTTTTTTTTTCTTCAATCAAGTTTCAAGCTATACATTATGTCTCAACAGCACGATACTCACATGTTTAAACCTAACCTCAATAATGTTTACCTACAGTATGTCCTGCAAGCGGGGGATATAAATTCCACAAATTTCCTTGTTTTTCTTTTTTAGGATTGTTTATTGACACCATGTATGCCTCCCCTTTCCCTACCAACCACTGCCCTGGTCAGTGAAAGCCTGTCATACACAACCCCTATGTAATGACACCTAATTACTGTAGGCCAATTATCTTGTTCACTGAAGCAGGAAGATGACCAGGGTCAGTGCCCCAGGGGATGGTAGAGGCAGTTGGGATTTTCACATCTAACCTAAGGTGGTTAAATTTAGCAGAATAGATGCTATTTGCAGTCAAGAAGGACTGTTAAATTCTATGTTGCGTCTGCTAAATAAGTGGCATGATAGTAACATGGACCAAGTAATGATCACACCAGGGGCACTCCCTCTGGTAAGTAATGTTGTAACACAGCTAGGGTAGTTACTGGACCGAGATCACACCAGGGGCACTCCCTCTGGTAAGTAATGTTGTCACACAGCTAGGGTTGTTACTGCACCAAGCAATGATCACACCAGGTGCACTCCCTAGGCCTCTGGTAAGTTATGTTGTCACACAGCTAGGGTTGTTACTGCACTAAGCAATGATCACACCAGGGGCACTCCCTCTGGTAAGTAATGTTGTCACACAGCTAGGTCAGTTACTGGATCAATCAATGATCACACTTAGGGTACTTCTGCTGGCTGGTAAGTAATAGGGGAAACTAAGGAGGGAGAGTGATAAACTAGTTAGAGGAATTTGACACTGTATACAATACACATTCTGTATAAATCTTCCTCCTATATTGACATCTCTACACTGATTTAATACAAATATTAAGAATATGTGCAACAGTTGATTGACAAATTAGCAGTTCCTTCATTTTGTCATTTACAGGACAGTATGTTTTCATTGAGTCATCAGCCCCGCGGAGACAGGGAGATCGTGCAGCACTTAAGAGTCAGTTATTCCAAGCTACATCAGCCAAGTGTCTAAACTTCTGGTATAACATGTACGGGACTGATATCGGCTATCTCAATGCCTATATTCAGCAACAGAATGCTACAAATACCACACAAGGAATCAAGATCTGGTCCCTGTTCGGTCAGCAAGGCAACCAATGGAAATCTGCAAGGGCCATGTACTACAGCAGTGTGCCTTTCTATGTAAGTACACAACTATGTATACTCCTGTAGATTTAATCAGTTTGACTGAGACTCATCTCGTGTTAAACAGGTTCCTGTGGTGATAAAGATTTGATCTTGAGTGTGCCAATGCTTTCCCTACCCTGGTTCAGGGTAGGTTATGATGGTACAGATTGATGTTTAGCCTTCGGGATGCCTTCTTGATACTGCTAGTCACTGTTCAGATGTAATTAATCAGAGTTGACTGATTACAAAATTTCATTGCATTTTATAGCAGTTGTAATTGATCTAATGTGGCAAGTTTGTCAGAATGTGTTCTCCTACTTAAATAATTGTAATTAATTGAACATTGATGGTCCATCTTAAATCATATACTTAAATAAGAGGGAAACTGGGTCCTTGTGAGGGACTGAAAATTGCAATGTCAGGCATTCAGTGGAAACTGTCAACCTGCAGACCCCATGTCAATTTACTGAACTTGCCATATCTAAGGATGACCAGCAAGGTCGAAGGAGTCTCACTTTCAAAGTAAATGTTTGAGAGCTTGATCAAAACAAAGTCCTTGAAACTGTGTAATGGCCTTCACTTCTAGATCTGCTGTGATACATAAGTGAGACAGCCTTATTTGATGTTCCTGATTGTGGAACAAACTGCATTGTTTTGATAAGGCATCCAGATATCATCATTATAAAGTCATTAAAGACAAATTTGTCTCTTTTGAGTCAATAATATTTTTTTTCTTGTCAGCAGAGTTCATTAGAGTTATTTAATTATTAAATTACCATAATCTATATCTCTTGCCCTTTTGTTGTGTTTCAGTTGGTGATTGAAGGGCAGCGTGGCAGTGGTGTCCATGGCGACATTGCTGTGGACGATCTAAGTCTGACAGATGGCCCATGTACAGGTAATCAACCTTCTTCAGATCTCCCTTTTTCTTGTTTTATTCTCTTCCTCCCCTGTTTATCTGAAATACAGTGTATTGAAACTTACTTGACAAATTACTTTCCTTGATGCATTTAGGATGAGTAGTGAACATGAAGGTAACATTTAAGTATCCCTAAGCATCCAGCCAATGATGTTTTGGGTTGCATTTTATGTCCACCGACAATTATGCAAATCTGAGTATTTGACCATTGACTATGTTTTGTTGCAGTGTTTCCCAACCAGGCTGCGGCACCTTCAGAGTTAACCCCGCCCACCACCGCCATGCCCACATCCATGACTACACCGTGTAAGTACTGACGTAGGATGCACATTCCTCAGTAAATATCTATCTGTATAATCACTGAAATGTGTGTTTAAACAGACAAACTCTAATGTTTACCTTATCTCAATCGAATACATATGTTTTGGAAGTCTAAAAGTAACCTTGATGTTTTCTTTATCTGTGTTGAAGATGTATGTTTGAGGAGTTGCTAGATTAATCTGAATGGTTTTTTTTATCTCAACTGAGCATGTTTTATTGAAGATTTAACTCATTCACCCCTGAAATTTCATAATGCCGATTCCAACCTTTGAATTGGAAGAGGTCAAATGTGTCTTCAGGGGAATAAGTTAACAAACTGGAAGCTAAATCTCCTGTGTATTGTTTTGTAGTTGCTCTTTCCCCATTTGACTGTAACTTTGAGAAACAACTTTGTAAATGGACACAGGCTCATGATGACAACTTTGACTGGACACTTGCTAGTGGCCCATCCTCCACTGCTGGAACCGGCCCTGCAAATGACCACACACTTGGCACATGTATGTATAACCAGTGACTGCATAATAGGCCCTCGGATAGGTCTGAACAACATTTTGGCAATATAGATGACGTACATGATTTGTATGCTGTACATTCAAATATCTTTAGAAATAGGAATTTTATTTGCTAAGGTGACAATAATATTTTGAATGTTTTACTTGTGCTTCAGCTCAAGGTCATTATGTGTACATTGAGGCATCATCACCACGGCGACCCAATGATACAGCCAGACTAGTGTCACCGAGTATTGGTTCTACCAGTGGTGCTTGTTTACAGTTCTGGTACCACATGTACGGCACTCACATCAACACCCTTAATGTGTACATGGCTGTCAATGGGTCAAGGTCAGTCCTTTGGACACACACTGGTACTCTTGGCAACCAATGGAACTCAGCTTCTGTTAATCTTGTCAGTTCCCAGTCCTTCCAGATCTTGTTTGAGGGTGTGCGAGGGGTGAGCTACAGAGGAGACATTGCTGTGGATGATATCACTTACTCATACAAACCATGCTCAGGGGCAGCTGGTGAGTACTACATTTATTGGTAGAAGAGTGTTGATGAGAACCTGCCATCACAAACTAAGTCAAGTGTAACTTAGTAACCCAATAGGGATGTTTTCCTGTTGTAAGGGATGTCTAATGTTGTATCTCTCTACTCCAAATATTACCAGTCGTAGAGATGTTTGCTGTGTGCTGTAAAAGTTGAAATTTTTGTAATGTGAAAATATTCAAGTTTTTCTCATTGAGTTAATAAGTGCAAAAATATACACACGTGGATATTTATAAATATCGATAGATCATTTAGATTATAGAAATAAAGAATATATAAATTTCAGAACTATTGCAAATGCAGAAACTTCCATAACGTGAACAGTTTAAAGAGTAACAATAAGAACAGTTTTACAGTATATCCCTGCTGTTAACCTGACCTATAATAATATAAGACGTGTTATTCTATAACAGTCCATTCTAAACTTTACATGACAGCTTTGCTGATGTATTTCTTTAGTCCCTGGAAGGGAAAGATAACCAAGCTATTGAAGTAGTTAGTTACAGAGTTCAATAAAGACTAGTGTTTTTGAGATGTTAAAGACTACACTGATTGTGTTCATTGGTATTGAGATTGTCCACTTTATGTTTCAGTCACATCCTGTAACTTTGAGAGTTCCAATATCTGCGGCTTCAAACAAAGCAGAACAGACAATTTTGATTGGACAAGATTTGCTGGTCATACAGCAAGTTCATTTACTGGCCCGACCAATGACCACACTTATGGAACATCCAGAGGTACAAACAACATCCTCTCTCTCACCCCACCATCAGTCATGCTTATGGATTCCCTACAATTACCAAATTTGTATATCTTTATTACCTCATGAGATGGAAGTGTCGCATACTAAAATTGGGTCTTTTGCCCCAACTAAATGGATTGTTCAGAATATGTTGCATTGTTAAAATTAATTTTAATGCGATTTACACCAATTATGAAACATGATTTTATCAACACATATCAATCACTCTTGTTGACTTGGATGGTATTGCTTATAGCAAAGACAATGGTATAATTTCACTCATCATGCCTCACCGCATTATTACTTACAGAAAAAAACAGATGTACAAATTCACTGCTTTATTATCACCCCAACATCAACAATATTTACAGAATTTCCCTATTTCATCCCTTGTATATTACTACTGTCAGATCTTTGATTTTCACCTTATTTATTTTTCTACAGGTCACTATATGTACATAGAGTCTAGTCGGCCACGTGTAAGAGGACAGAAGGCTGTGATAGTGAGCCCCTCCTACCCTCAGACTAGGGGATCCTGTCTCAGTTTCTACACTCATATGTATGGCAGTGGCATTGGCACGCTCAATGTTTATGTAAAAACAAGCTCCGTCGTGAAGAGGATTTACACCAAATCTGGTAACCAAGGAAACAAGTGGTTACTTGCACAAGCTTCGGTGCCATCAGTGACAGGCAACTATTCTGTGTGGTTTGAGGGAGTAGTTGGCACATATTTGGGAGACATTGCCATTGATGACCTGAGCATTAACCCCGGACTCTGTCCGTTGGCCGGTGAGTTACGTAAACTGAATTGATAACGTTCAATAATTGTTCAGTCATTGATAAAGACCCATTACTTGATCATTAGAATTCATTAAGTTTATTGCGAAGACATACAAAAGTTAAAGTTACAATGTACAATACATATTTAAATAACTCTTTCCTTTAAGCTCACCTGGCACAAGGCCCAGTGAGCTTGTATTGTGGCATCGATTGGCCATCTGCAAACGTTTCCTTTAAAAGACTACTTGTCCAAAACAAAATTTGGTATGAAGCTGACAATATGGAGATAATTTGAAAGGTGCAAAAAAATGAAAACCATATAGTCAGATCTTCAATTCATTGGTTTGATATATAAAAAAAGAGGTAAAAGTTACAAATAATTAAAGTGTTGTATAGCCAGTGCCCCGTTCTTGGCACTAGACATTAACTCTATGGTATATTTTCTCAGAATGTGATTGGATTTAAATTGCTTCTGTGATTATTGTTTGTAGGAAACTGTGGCTTTGAGAAAGGCTTTTGTACATGGACTAACATGAAAACTGATGATTTTGATTGGCTGATTGGGAAAGGACAGACAAATAGCCAGTTCACTGGTCCATCTAATGACCACACCCAAAACACAGCTCAAGGTAACGTATTTCATCACCACACCCAAAACACAGCTCAAGGTAACATATTTCATCACCACACCCAAAACACAGCTCAAGGTAACATATTTCATCACCACACCCAAAACACAGCTCAGAGTAACATATTTCATCACCACACCCAAAACACAGCTCAGAGTAACATATTTCATCACCACACCCAAAACACACCTCGAGGTAACGTATTTCATCACCACACCCAAAACACAGCCCAGGGTAACGTATTTCATCACCACACCCAAAACACACCTCGAGGTAACGTATTTCATCACCACACCCAAAACACAGCTCAGAGTAACATATTTCATCACCACACCCAAAACACACCTCGAGGCAACGTATTACATCACCACACCCAAAACACACCTCGAGGCAACGTATTACATCACCACACCCAAAACACACCTCGAGGTAACATATTTCATCACCACACCCAAAACACACCTCGAGGTAACGTATTTCATCACCACACCCAAAACACAGCTCAGGGTAACGTATTTCATCACCACACCCAAAACACACCTCGAGGTAACGTATTTCATCACCACACCCAAAACACAGCTCAGGGTAACGTATTTCATCACCACACCCAAAACACAGCTCAAGGTAACGTATTTCATCACCACACCCAAAACACAGCTCAGGGTAACGTATTTCATCACCACACCCAAAACACAGCTCAAGGTAACATATTTCATCACCACACCCAAAACACAGCTCAGGGTAACGTATTTCATCACCACACCCAAAACACACCTCGAGGTAACGTATTTCATCACCACACCCAAAACACAGCTCAGGGTAACGTATTTCATCACCACACCCAAAACACAGCTCAGGGTAACGTATTTCATCACCACACCCAAAACACACCTCAGGGTAAGGTATTTCATCACCACACCCAAAACACAGCTCAAGGTAACGTATTTCATCACCACACCCAAAACATACCTCGAGGTAACGTATTTCATCACCACACCCAAAACACAGCTCAGGATAACGTATTTCATCACCACACCCAAAACACAGCCCAGGGCAACGTATTACATCACCACACCCAAAACACAGCTCAAGGTAACATATTTCATCACCACACCCAAAACACACCTCGAGGTAACGTATTTCATCACCACACCCAAAACACAGCTCAGGGTAACATATTTCATCACCACACCCAAAACACACAGCAAGGTAACGTCTTTTAAAAGTTGACTGATGCTGATTCTTAAGAAGTCATTCATTTATTGATGTAATTATAGCAATGATTATTTGAAAATATTGATGATGTTCCTGATTTTTCTCTTTATGATGGGTTATATGTACATAAATAATGTTTTGTTAATTATCTTTATATGATTTGATTTATGTAACACAACTATTCATACTTTCATTTCTCTTGTACAACAATTTCTCACCCCTGATAGTCATTGTACCTTTAACCATATTCAAGTTTGATTTCTCCAAAGGTAACAAATGTTTGTATTAACCTCATGATAATTAATTAATTTGTAATGTTTTTGAAACATCCTTGACAGGACACTATGCATTTCTTGAGGCCAGTTCCCCTCGCGTTCCTGGAGATGTCGCTAGGATACAAAGTCAGAATTTTGCTGCTGGGACGAGTCAATGTTTACATATTTGGTACTACCTGTTCGGTAATGGTATTGGTTCTCTCAACATATACCTGGCCACAGCAACAGGCAATAAGACCCTGTGGACACTCACTGGAAGCCAGAAGAATATGTGGGAATCGGCCCAAGTTAGCTTAAATAGTACAACACAATACACTGTAAGTTGATGTGAATTCTGTCAGTTGTTATTTCTTCTTATTAATGCTAATTAAAGCCACATATTTGCTTGGATCTTGGCTTATACATCTGGCATTTCTTTTACTTATTTCTTTCCCAGATTGCCTAAAAGATTCTGGAATGAATATTTCGACTGAGCTGAAGACACATTACTATTTTCACCCCTTCTCAAAAGATTGTCTCTAGTTTCCTATGTAAACATTTAAAAGGAAGTGGACATTTAAGCATTGCACTGCTTTCAGCTGGCATTCATAGGCAATATGAATGCCAACTGGACAAAGGCAAAGCGCTTCATGTTGAATTTGCCTTTGTCCAGTTGGAATTCATTTTTCCTATGAATGCCAACTGAAAGCAGTTTAATACTTATATTTACCATTTTCAGAATCTGTTCATCTCATAGAAAACTCAATTACATTAACTATTATTCAACATTTAGTAAAAATAATGTGTGTATCGTGTATGATTTTTCAATGAATAGAACAGCCATCGACCAGGGAGGGTCAGTGGTATCCAACGTAATAATGATGACGTCAACAATCGGTCCATGGCATTTATAGCCTGTATGAATGCCAACTGAATTTGGTAGTGTTATATAGTGGCAATGCCATACGATAGTGAATATAGACATATGATTTTCTCATCAAAGGAAAAAACACTAGTAGACATATAATATTTGGAAAGTTATTTGTATTTGCTAAGTAATATTGTACTATGTAACATTACTGTGTTCCAACAGGTGACATTAACATGTGACCTTCCTGTATCCAATCATGGGCAGCATGACCTTATTGTATTATTTTCTATCCAATTAGGTGCTAATTGAGGGTGTACGTGGTTCAAACTACCAAGGAGACATCGCCATTGACGACGTTAGCTTTACCACTTCCCCGTGTACATGTAAGCTTTTTTTCAGATACAAGAAATTGGTGAATTGGAAGAGTGTGTAGAAGTAGATCTTTTTCTTTTTTTTTAACTTTTAATAGTCAATAGCCGGAAAACAAATGTTTGAAAATTGTTATGTTATCTTTTCTCAAGTTAATAATTTTTGCTAATTATTAAAAGATTTTAATTTAAATGAAAAGGGAATGAGATGATATATTCCAATTATGCTGTAATTTCATTGCTTATCATCTCTGTCTGAATTACACTCACTAACTGTGCTTTGTACTTGATCATGAGGACTTGTGTTTATGGTGTTGCTTTTATCCTGACTGTAGTAACACCATCCTATGCTAATCCGGCAACTCAGACTACAGTCAGTCCCATGTCTACCCCAGCCTCTACTTCAGCTTCTCCAACTCCAGGTAAATGACTTTATTACCTTGACCTCATCTAGAGCCTCCCTAACTAAAGGTAAATAGCCTTGTAACCTTGACCTATTTTGGAGCTACCCCACCTCAGGTAAAAAGCCATGTTAACTTTAACTTTCCAGAGCCTCCCCAAATTCATTAAATATACATGTAAACTCTACCAGTTCTAGAGCCTCCCTAACGTCAGGTAAATAAATAGCCTTGTATTCGTGATCTCTTCTAGAGCCTCCTTGACTCCAGGTAAATACTCCTGTATTCTTGAGTTTTAATGAGCTTCCCCAACACCAGGTAAATGACCTAGGTTACCTTGAACAAGTACCTGGGTTTGACTTTAATTAATCATTCATGATTGGTCTTATAAATAGAAATCTGTTCAGTAACTTATAAAGTAAGTGTCAGCTTGTGTAGCATTGCAATCTCAACAGAAGTGTCTGTTAAATGTATTGAGACAGGAACACCTGCCTTAAACTTATTACAGCCACTTGTCTTGTTATGAGCCCTAAAAAGCTCTATTATGAGCAAAAAGAAATAAGTGTTGTAAAATTTCACTCCAGTAATCAGTTAACAACCTTTTACCTCTTGACCAATATTATGCAGTGGCCACCCAGTATGACTGTAATTTTGACACTGGACTCTGTCTGTGGAAGCAAGACACTCAAACAGACCAATTCAACTGGACTAGAGCACAAGGCCCAACAGGAACAAGCCTGACCGGTCCAACTAATGACCATACCAAGGGAACAAGTAAGTCACCAATGGCCGCAATCTAGAAACATAGAAGCCACTAAATTTACAATCACACCCTAGGAATAACTAAATTGACAAACTCATAAGCACACTTTAGGAACAAGTTTTAACCAAAATAATGAACACACCCTGTAAACAAGTAATTCACTAAACCAATAATAGCCACACTACAGAAACAAATCACAAAACCAATGGTCACACCCTTGTAACAAGTAAGTCACACAAAGTGTGCCATGGAGGCACGGTAGTATAATAATAATAATTTGAGGTTCTTATATACCGCTTTATCACAACCTAGTTTGTAGGTTGTCTCAAAGCGGTTCACAAACTATTATCCGTGGTTATAGGGCCTTTGCAGCAAGCCGATATTTTTCTCAACTCCCTGGGGAGCATACAGCTGGAGCTGCCATTTTGGTGGAGTAAAGTATCTTGCTCAAAGATACAACACAGTGCCGTGCAGTGACTCGAACCTGCAACCCTTCGGTCACATGCCCGGCGTCCTAGCACTAGACTACCATGCCTCCTTGTGGTAGGACACCAGGCTTCTGACCAAAGGGTTTCAGGTTTGAGTCACGTCACGGCACTGTGTTGTATCTTTGAGCAAGATACTTTACTCCGCTTGTTCCAGTGTACTCAGTTGTAAATGAGTTCGTGGTTGGGCAGTGCTAGAATTGGTGAATGCTAGCTGTGAGCGCCGAAATGACAGCACCAGCTATATGCTCCCCAGGGAGTTGAGAAAGATATTGTCTGGTTGCAAAGGTTAACCACGGATAATAATTCGTGAACCGCTTTGAGACGACCTAAGAACTAGGTTGTAATAAAAGTGGTATATATTATTAAAGAACCTGAAATCATTTTTATTATTAAAGTTACATTCTTGGTGATGTTTCAGATTATGTAAGAAATATTTATAGATTCTGGATCTTCATCTTCTCTTTTCTAAAGACAGAAGTAGTAAAATTTTGTGTTTGCTTTGCCATCACCTACAAATGATTTTACAAAGAAACAATATGATTTTGATCATATGAAAATCTAAACCTATATGACAGTACAAGTAACCTGGCTTTCAAGATTCAATATGCCACAATTTTCTATAAAATAGCTGTTATTGGATATGTCCAAATTTTAAGATTGATTTTGTCTTGTTTCCAAGGATATGGTTGGTACCTCTTCATTGAGGCCTCGAGTCCACGACATCCTAATGACACGGCCAGGTTAACGTCCCCTATGATCTCTGACAACAGCCAAAGATGTCTGAGTTTCTGGTATCATATGTATGGTACCCACATAAACACACTCAATGTGTACCAAGCTAGCAGTATTTCCAGTCGCGGTTCTGCTATCTGGAGCCGGCACGGCACACAGGGTAACCAATGGCGACAGGCCAAGGTTTCTCTCACACCCTCCTCACCATACATGGTAAGTCAGTCACACACTGTATATTTAATAAAATTACCTACTTATAATTTTATTAAGCAACACTTCAGAAACAGGATCCTTCCTGTAGGAGAGAAAGTTGTCTCATTCTTAGACCTATCTGGCTTCTCTGGAACTCTTGTCCTATGATAAGACTTATGACATCTGTAATATAGGTCACTTCAGACAAAGTCTCATGTGATCTATTGCAATTCTGATGCCATAAGTCTTATTATTAATTGCAACTTTTACTAAAATAACATTGAACTATTTCAAAAAAATTTGAAGGAAGATTCCGTGGCCAAAGACAAACCAGAAATGTGAATTACATATTTGTAGTTACTTCTCCCAGGGGCCAAAGGTGATCAAATTAGCTAAACCTAAAAAATGTTATTCTTCATATACTCTTTGTAAACAGATTGTGTTCGAAGGAGTCCGGGGCCTGAGCTATCGTGGCGATATCGCTTTGGATGACGTCAGAATGGCTTTAGGAAGCTGTGGTAAAGATTGTAAGTCTTAAGATATATCTGTTGTCATTATTGACAGACTCATGTCTGATGTTTAATTTATATTGATTATAGATGTTAAGATACAAGTATTGACAGTAATTACTTCTGAATAGATTTTCCATAGACAGAAGGCTAAGATTGATGTCGCTTTATATGAATGTTATGTACAATCAAATGATAAGCTGGAAAATGTTTCGTGTCCAGTGAAACAAGATAAGATGTCCTTCGTTTCATTACACATCTCGTCTATCACCCATATATCTAAACGTCAGCGTTTATTATGAGTTTTTAATACTTCGCTTTAAAACATCCCTCGTAATCTCAACAAACGCCACTTTCAGAATTTGTCTGGACAAAAAAGTGGCATTATAAGGAGACTTTATTGTATTATAATGACACTGTACAACCTCTAAAGTTCCACAGTGTATAATAAACTAAAGAAAATACTGTAGCTAAAGTTCCACAGTGTATAATAATCTAAAGAAAATACTGTAACTAAAGTTCCACAGTGCATAATAAACTAAAGAAAATACTGTAACTAAAGTTCCACAGTGCATAATAAACTAAAGAAAATACTGTAACTAAAGTTCCACAGTGGATAATAAACTAAAGAAAATACTGTAACAAAAGTTCCACAGTGTAAAATAAACTAAAGAAAATACTGTAACTAAAGCTCCACAGTGTATAATAAACTAAAGAAAATAATGTAACTAAAGTTCCACAGAGTATAATAAACTAAAGAAAATACTGTAGCTAAAGGTCCACAGTGTATAATAAACTAAAGAAAATAATGTAACTAAAGTTCCACAGAGTATAATAAACTAAAGAAAATTCTGTAACTAAAGTTCCACAGTGTATAATAAACTAAAGAAAATAGTGTAGCTAAAGTTCCACAGTGTATAATAATCTAAAGAAAATACTGTAACTAAAGTTCCACAGTGCATAATAAACTAAAGAAAATACTGTAACTAAAGTTCCACAGCGTATAATAAACTAAAGAAAATACTGTAACAAAAGTTCCACAGTGTAGAATAAACTAAAGAAAATACTGTAGCTAAAGTTCAACAGTGTATAATAAACTAAAGAAAATAATGTAACTAAAGTTCCACAGAGTATAATAAACTAAAGAAAATTCTGTAACTAAAGTTCCACAGTGTATAATAATCTAAAGAAAATACTGTAACTAAAGTTCCACAGCGTATAATAAACTAAAGAAAATACTGTAGCTAAAGTTCAACAGTGTATAATAAACTAAAGAAAATAGTGTAGCTAAAGTTCCACAGTGTATAATAATCTAAAGAAAATACTGTAGCTAAAGTTCCACAGTGTATAATAATCTAAAGAAAATACTGTAGCTAAAGTTCCACAGTGTATAATAATCTAAAGAAAATACTGTAGCTAAAGTTCCACAGTGTATAATAAACTAAAGACAATACTGTAACTAAAGTTCCACAGTGTATAATAATCTAAAGAAAATACTGTAACTAAAGTTCCACAGTGCATAATAAACTAAAGAAAATACTGTAACAAAAGTTCCACAGTGTAAAATAAACTAAAGAAAATACTGTAACTAAAGTTCCACAGTGCATAATAAACTAAAGAAAATACTGTAACAAAAGTTCCACAGTGTAGAATAAACTAAAGAAAATACTGTAGCTAAAGTTCCACAGTGTATAATAATCTAAAGAAAATACTGTAACTAAAGTTCCACAGAGTATAATAAACTAAAGAAAATACTGTAACTAAAGTTCCACAGTGCATAATAAACTAAAGAAAATACTGTAACAAAAGTTCCACAGTGTAAAATAAACTAAAGAAAATACTGTAACTAAAGTTCCACAGAGTATAATAAACTAAAGAAAATTCTGTAACTAAAGTTCCACAGTGTATAATAATCTAAAGAAAATACTGTAGCTAAAGTTCCACAGTGTATAATAAACTAAAGAAAATACTGTAACTAAAGTTCAAACATATATACTGTATATCTGGAAAGTTTTGCTGCAGTTTGGTTGTCGCCTTTTTTGCCAACTATAATGTCAGGACGAATCGATCATAACAATGAACATTAGTTAACAACATAATATGCATAGTAATTAACTCATTCACCCCTGAAGTTTCATAATGAACTATTCCAATCTTTGAATTGGAAGAGTTCAAATGTGTCTGCAGGGGTGAATGTGAAAGGTGTAATTAACACTTGGTGAATATGGATTATTCTAAGAAAGGGCGAAAGTTTGACTGGATTAAAATGTCCCTGTGTACAGTGTATGGCAAACTATCGTATGAAGGTTTTGCAATTATCTTTTAGAAAAATCAAATACATTTGTAGCTGTTTTAAGAAAAGGATGAGTAAAATTATGTTTGAAGAAAGGGAGGCATACTTTAAATATTTGAAGTTAACACAGTAAACTTAATTTGTTATGTTATTGGAGACAAGTTGGTGAGGTAAGACTGCTTGTTTATAATACACGTCCTATTTGTTTTCCATGTTATTTGCTTTTGTCAGAAATAGGATTACATCATGAGGTTGTATTTCACAGGATGTCAGAATATTTGGGTTTGATAGTTTATATATCCCCCTGTTGTATGAGGTTTATAACTGAAAGGTGGATTCAAATGTTTTGACTTCTCCATTACTTATCACATTGATACAATGATTCATGCCATGTTAATGACCTCCAGAATTTTAGGTTTAATCACTCTGTCTGTTTTCCTGACATTTAAAACTGATAGGGAGGGACTATTCCCTGGTTTACGTCCTGTCTAAATTGTGAAATTATTAATAAACATTGCCGAAAGCCTTCCGGTGTAGATACTGTCTGTTCTCATAGATGAAATCTTAATGAATTTTGCTTTTAGCAAACAACAACTTGTGTACCTTTGAGAGTGCCTCCATCTGTGGCTACAAATCGTACAGCTCCGACCAGCATCCTTTCCAGTGGCATCATGGATCAACAGCCTCCGGTGGCACTGGACCTACTATTGACCACACTCTGGGTACCACTGCCGGTCACTATGTCTACATGGAGGCCTCAAATGTACCGGTCAATATGACCACCCACTTACTGACACCAGTCATGTCTGCCACCAACGGTCCGGTCTGTGTGCAGTTCTACTACCACATGTATGGCCGCAACATTGGAGCACTTAGCGTATATGTTACGGCTTCCAACAGTGATCCTAGTCAAAAGGGTCAACCAGTGTGGACACGCAACTTCAACCAGGGCAACACCTGGCACCGTGGACAGGCCACCATCACCCCTAATGGACAGTACTATGTAAGTATCTTCATCTGCCCTTGTAGTGCACTGTGCCCGGATAACTACCACATATTTCTGAATTAAATATTTTATTTGTTGGCTCAGCTATGAAATGATTTCAATAAACTAGCTATCAAAGCTTTCAATAAATCACACTTTTCATAGATGTACTATTACCCTATTCATGTACAATTTAAAATTTCGGATTTCTTTTTTTTTAGCCTGATGAGATGACATTAACTAAAACCTATCAAAAAGTCCTTGTTTAAAAATGTTATATATGAAGACATTTGGACAACCTGTCGTGTTGTTCAGGAAATGTTCCCTTTAACAAATGACAATAAGTAAGGACAAAACGAGCTAGATGGTCTTAATTGGGACATGTCTACAATTAACACATTAAAGTAGTTTATCCGTAGGTATACAATTTTATAGAGTGATAACTAACTGATGTTGTACCTCCACAGGTTGTGTTTGAGGCGGTAAGAGGAACGAGTTACCTTGGTGACATAGCACTGGATGATGTCAGTTTCAAGAATGGACAATGTGGAAGTGCAGGTGAGAGTCACTCTATAATTCATTCTAAGATTATTGCGTGTTATACTTTGATATTCTTTATCAATCATGTGTAGCTGATCCAATAGTATATTTCTACAGGTTGTGATCTGTTTTTGATTTCTTGATGACTTGAATTTTTGAAAAATTCCAGGTTTCTGTGATTTTGAAAAGGACACATGTGCATGGACAAATGTTCAGAAAGGAGATGATTTTGATTGGCTCAGATCCCGAGGAAGTACAAACAGCCAGTTCACCGGGCCTACAACTGACCATACCCTTGGCACTCCCCAGGGGCATTACATGTTTTTGGAGACCAGTGCACCACGTGTCCCTGGTGACAAGGCTCGCCTTGCTAGTGAAATATTCCCTGCCAAACAGACAGCCTCCTGTTTCACTTTCTACTACCACATGTATGGATCTGATGTGAATAGGCTTTCTGCATACATTCTAACCAATAGGACAACTGACACTTTTACCTCAGAGGCCATGTCGTGGACCCTGCAGGGACAATCAGGCAATTCCTGGTTAATGGGACAAATAAACATTCCAACACTTTACACGGCAAGACCTTTCCAGGTATGATTTCCTTACCCTTACAATTATAGATCATACACAACATTATAAAACACTTTCTTGCTTGGTGGTGAAGGATAGGGAAATTCAACCCAAGGGGTTTTCAAATTGAATGATTTTGAGGCTTACCGAGGGTTTTGTTCAACATTTTGAAAATCTTGAGGGTGAAATTTCCCTCTCATACAATCCTGGGCTAAAAAGAGTATTTTTTCTCATTCCAATTGCCAGAATTAGCTCAGAATGTGCATGTTCCCATTTTCTTGATGTTACATCTCTCCTCAACATCATTGTTGTCCTAATGTAATATCGTGCATTTGAAATTGAGTGTAAGATAGAAATTTGTTTCTCTCCTGCCCTGACATTTTTGTCAGGAATAACATATTACCTATGATAATACACAAGACAAGGTATACTTTCTTACCCCAACAGTGATAGACCCTACCATGTACTTAAAAAAATCTACTTTTGATCGCTGCTTTAATTACCAGTTTAATTTAAATTTTGGACAATAAAATGGTTTTATCTGTTTTAGATTGTACTTGAAGGCGTCCGTGGAAAAGGCTTTAAGGGAGATATTGGTTTGGATGATTTCTCACTAAGTGACCAAGCCTGTGTGACATCACCACCATCTGCCGACCCAATTACTAATGGTAAGTCAGCTGATTGGCATTACACATGGGATTACTCGGGTTACCCAGGCAACTTGAAGAAATCATTGGTCCTCTGTAATTTATTTCTTTATTTCTTTAACAGTAGCACAGTATGGAGCGGATGCTCTTTAAATCTTCTACAAAAACTGTCAAAAGCGCAGAAACAAGCTGCAAGATTACTGTTGGATGCTCCATTTGATACACCATCAGTAGAAATGTTTTCTTCATTAGGGTGGTTACCAATTGGCGAATATTTGAAATTCAAAAGAGGTGTTATGGTGTACAAATGTATAAATAATCTAGTTCCAGGATATCTTTCTAATCAATTTAATTTGTCTAACAACAGATATACTAGATCAGCATCCCAAAACTCTGTCAAGGTACCCAAACACCGTACCACATTTTATTCCAAACACTTTTTGGTACAAGGGAGCCAGATTTGGAATAATTTACCGGTTGAAGTAAGACTCTCTTCCTCCTTGACAAAACTCAAACAAAATATGATTGGTAACATTAAGAATGCGGTTTAATTGTCTTTTATTTTTACTATTATACTTTTTAGATACAGCTTTGATTTGTTTTATTTTCGCTATATTAGCGTGTATTCTGTCAATTTTTAGCTTTTGCTACATTAGCATATATGTAAATTAGACAATTTGTCTTTTAATGAAAACCATAATGGGTTAAGCACGGAATATATTTCGTGCTTCTGTGATAATTTTATTGTAATTGTATTGAACGACCGTTTAAATTATGAAATAACTGTGATATGAATTGCTGTTTTAGTAGACCAACAATTATTTTATGTACATTTATTTGATGTGATACTACTTTGTCTTTTAACTAACCAATTTTACTAACAGAGGACCCTGTGGAAGATTAGCTTTGCTAAACAGGTTTTGTATCCTCAATGAATAAAGTTTATTATTATTATTATTATAACGAGGATTGCATACAGCCCGGAGGCTACTAGATGCTTTCCTCAACATATAACAAAACAATACAATGTGTACAATGACAAAATACGACTCAGATATGAAACAGATATGACACCCATCCACACACTTTCACTCAGACACCCACACAATAACAGAAAGGAAAGGGGAATAGAAAAGAAAGAAGATAGATAGATACGAAGACATTTAGAATCTGTTGGACTTTGGTCCTCTGTGCTAGTTCCATGTGTGCAGGTTTCTGATTTCAAATTTGAGTTATAGACAAATAACATTCCAATCAAAGTCTACTCCAGGATGACCTGTTTTTCAGAATTATTGAAATGTAAGATAGTTAACAAAGAGAAATTGCCAACAATCAGGGCTGCATGGTTTGAAATGATGAATGTGTGTGTACTTATTGAACCCGTTTTATTTCAGCTCCATCCGTGTTCTGTGAATTTGATAATGGCAATACATGTTCTTGGACCCAAAGTGTAACTGACAACTTCAATTGGACCCTAACAACAGATGGCCATGCTCCATCAACCGGTCCCTCTGGAGATCACTCTGACTCCGGAAACGGTCTGTACACTGCTGGTTTGAGCACCTGACCACAATCTTCCCTGCACTAAACCCTCTACAATATTACCCTGAACAATGTCCACCGACACCTAGTAAGTATACTGCCCTGACCAATGTCGGCCCTCACACCTAAATGTATCACTCTGACCAAGGTCTTCCATCACATGTACACCTGTATAACATGGAAAGTTTGTTGTGTGTAAACGAATATTTCTACAACTCAAAAGAATATACACAACGAGAATGGGAAAATTATATTAATTTTATTTCAATCAAAAATGTACGCTCAAAAGTAAATGCATTGCATTTTTTTGTATGTGTGCAATTATGATCAATGCTGTAAACAGACCATGAAAGTTTATATATTTTGGTGTACATGCTAACGACGAAAGTTTGTATGCACTAAATAATTTGAAAGTTTCTTAACTACGAAAGCAAATACAAACGAACATTTTATGTTATTCAGTATATCAAATAATGAAAAAAAGTCATTCCTAACATCTAAATATATCACCCTGACTTTGAGGCCTATTCTCACACCTTAATTTATAATCCCTATCAACCTGCAGTTTTCCCTTTACTTCATTTTGTTTTAATGAGATAAACACTGTCACTATTTTGTGGGAAGAAAATTATGACGATTTTGGAAGAGCTGTGTTGTCAAACAAGTGGTCCATATTCCATATTTATAAAAACGATTGTTTCAGGTCATTACCTTTATACCCAAGGGACTGCACACACACCAGGAAGTCGGGCCGTTTTGATCTCCCCTATGTTGCCCCCTTCTGTACCAGGAGGGAACTGCTTCACATTTTACTATCACATGTTTGGTCCAACGGTGGGTGCACTGAAGGTGTACACAGTAACGGGACGCTCCCGTCAGCTGCGCGGGTCGTTCACCGGTACGCAGGGCAACCGCTGGAACCTGGCTCAGTACACCCTCCAGGCGCAGTCCGACTACCAGGTATACACACTACCCTGCACCTGTAGGATCTGACCTCCCTTTCTGTGATATATAGAACAAATAAGGTGAAATCATGTTTTGTAGATTCCCTAATTAGCGCTAACTGAAATGTTTTATTTGTCAAATATTGTTGGTTGCTGTAATTTCATGGTTTGGGGTTAATTAAAGGGCAATAATTTTAACATATATTTTAGTTTTCTGCATGTGCTGTATACATTTGGATTTCATTAATTGAAGCAACATTGTTATTAAATCAACAAATCTGAAATTTTCACAGATATTTGAATAAATTGAAAACAGTATTGTACATAATTTTCAATTTTTCTGTGAGCATTTTTTTCTTTATTATGTTGATAAGAATGTTCAAGTGATATTGACCTCAAACTGGTCACTTTCTGTGTTAAATACTTTAGTTACTTACCTGGCTATAAATATCTTATTATTGCAGTAAATATTTCCTTTCATAATACAGTCGTCCCTATGACACTACTTCTTAATAGAAACAATTTCAAAATATCTTAAAACATATGATAAAACAAATCTCAATAGAATACAAGTGTTTTCAATCAATTATGCATAACAAAAAACAACGAAAAACATGAAGAAAAAAATGTATGCACTCAAGAAAAAGTCCTGTATCACACTCCAGGACGGTCTTGTAGTATTATACAACTTAACCTAATTAGTGACTTTATCACATCAGATCCAGATAGAGGCCACAACTAAGGGAACATTTGCTGGTGACATCTCAATTGATAGCCTCAACATGGACAACATCAACTGTGCTAACTCCAGTCAGGCCCATCACAGTACAGACAGTAAGTATGTGCTAACTCCAGTCAGGCCCATCACAGTACATACAGTAAGTTTGTGTGTTCTAACTCCAGTCAGGCCCATCTCAGTACAGACAGTAAGTATGTGTGTTCTAACTCGAGTCAAGCCAATCACAATACAGACAGTAAGTATATGTGTTCTAACTCCAGTCAGGCCCATCACATTACAGACAGTAAGTATGTGTGTGCTAACTCCAGGCAGGCCCATCACAGTACAGACAGTAAGTATGTGCTAACTCCTCTTGTAGTATTATACAACTTAACCTAATTAGTGACTTTAACACATCAGATCCAGATAGAGGCCACAACTAAGGGAACATTTGCTGGTGACATCTCAATTGATAGCCTCAACATGGACAACATCAACTGTGCTAACTCCAGTCAGGCCCATCACAGGACAGACAGTAAGTTTGTGTGTTCTAACTCCAGTCAGGCCAATCACAGTACAGACAGTAAGTATGTGTGTGCTAACTCCAGTCCGGCCCATCACAATACAGACAGCAAGTATGTGTGTTCTAACTCCAGTCAGGCACATCACAGTGCAGACAGTAAGTATGTGTGTGCTAATTCCAGTCAGGCCCATCACAGTACAGACAGTATGTATGTGTGTGCTAACTCCAGTCAGGCCCATCACAGTTCAGACAGTAAGTATGTGTGTGCTAACTCCAGTCAGCCCCATCACAGTACAGACAGTAAGTATATGTGTTCTTACTCCAGTCAGGCCCATCACAGTACAGACAGTATGTATGTGTGTGCTAACTCCAGTCAGGCCCCTCACAGGACAGACAGTAAGTATGAGTGTGCTAACTCAAGTCAGGCCCATCACAGTACAGACAGTAAGGATGTGTGTTCTAACTCCAGTCAGGCCCATCCCAGTACAGACAGTAAGTATATGTGTTCTTACTCCAGTCAGGCCCATCACAGTACAGACAGTATGTATGTGTGTGCTAACTCCAGTCAGGCCCCTCACAGGACAGACAGTAAGTATGAGTGTGCTAACTCAAGTCAGGCCCATCACAGTACAGACAGTAAGTATTTGTGTTCTAACTCCAGTCAAGCCCATCACAGTACAGACAGTAAGTATATGTGTTCTTACTCCAGTCAGGCCCATTACAGTACAGACAGTAAGTTTGTGTGTTCTAACTCCAGTCAGGCACATCACAGTGCAGACAGTAAGTATGTGTGTGCTAATTCCAGTCAGGCCCATCACAGTACAGACAGTATGTATGTGTGTGCTAACTCCAGTCAGGCCCATCACAGTACATACAGTAAGTTTGTGTGTTCTAACTCCAGTCAGGCCAATCACAGTACAGACAGTAAGTATGTGTGTTATAACTCCAGTCAGGCCCATCACAGTACAGACAGTAAGTTTGTGCGTTCTAACTCCAGTCAGGCCCATCACAGTTCAGACAGTAAGTATGTGTGTGCTAACTCCAGGCAGGCCCATCACAGTACAGACAGTAAGTATGGGGGTTCTAACTCCAGTCAGGCCCATCACAGTACAGACAGTAAGTATATGTGTTCTTACTCCAGTCAGGCCCATCACAGTACAGACAGTAAGTTTGTGTGTTCTAACTCCAGTCAGGCCCATCACAGTACAGACAGTAAGTATGTGTGTTCTAACTCCAGTCAGGCCCATCACTATATGTGCACTTCAATATATGCACTTCAAGAAAATCTGGATTTCTTAAAGATTGTCACAATCTAACATTCTGACCAAGATTTGTGTAACATTAGTGCTTTACTTGAAATGGTATCTTGTGCTATAGATTTTATTTATGTATCAGATCAATTTGCTAAAAACATCATTGTTAATTATTGCTTTACATTAAAACCTGTATGTCATCTGATCTTTGTTTCCACTACAGTTTCATGTAACTTTGAGACGGGCCTTTGTGGGTGGAGCCAGGATCACATGGACAATTTTGACTGGAGGACTGCAAGAGGTTCAAACAGTTCGGGTATAACAACTGACCACACCACTAATACTGCATCAGGTACAACTGTCATAAAGGCAGCAGCTCCTTCTCCTTCATGTCAGATAGGTTAAGGATATGTATATGTGTGTAGGACTGATGTTTTTATTGTGTTATCGCTTTATCAATAGCATTAAGTAATTTTGATTATTGACTTCTTTTTCTTACTTTAATAGTTATTCCACATCTTTGTATCAACCAATCTTTTGTTGGGACAGACAAACCACTTCTGGTTAGGTTGTATATCTTTATGGATCAGTTTTTAGTTGAAAGCTTGTAATTTCCTATTTGTATAATTAATCTGTTGTGTAAATGAGACACCACTTCCTGTTTGTATGATTATGGGTCTGTTGTTTTGGTAACAGGTCACTTCCTGTTTGTATGATTGTCTGTTGTTTTGGTAACAGGTCACTTCCTGTTTGTATGATTATGGGTCTGTTGTTTTGGTAACAGGTCACTTCCTGTTCATGGATGCATCTGCCCCAGCCAGACAGGGCTGGAAGGCTCGCCTCATCAGCCCTCAGTTCCCACCATCTACTGGAGAGTGTCTGCGCTTCTATATGTTCATGACAGGAACACCACATGCCAGTCTCAGTGTGTACACCCGCTCTGCCTCCGGTACTGACAGTTCAGTTTGGACCAGGACAGACAATGTACAGGGACAAGCCTGGGTACTAGGGGAGGTCACTCTAACAAGCCAATCAAAGTTTCAGGTAAGTTTGGAAGACAACTAGGTACCATGTTGTCTTTAGGCCTCTAAATGTTTGTTATTTGAGGCCATAACTTCTAACATTAATTTATCAGCTAGTTTGTTAATGTCCTGTTATAGTAATTAATGTGATGACTTAAAATGAAACTTTGCAATATGAGACAAATTATATCGGAATGCATCTGTAAAGTCACATGATGTAGACATATTAATTTTTGACATGTCTGTATGCATTAAGTAACAATGCTTATTTTCATTAGGTGATCATTGAGGCCTTGCGGGGGTCCTCCTCCACAAGTGATATTGCCGTTGATGACCTGACTATCAGCCCCGGATCCTGTAGAAGGGCAGGTGCATGTAGCTTTGAGCAGGGTGTTTGTGGCTACACCAACATGCAGGGTGACCAGTTCGATTGGACACGTGGTCAGGGGAAATCCCCATCTTCCTACACTGGCCCCACAGTAGACCACACCTTAGGGACCACCAATGGTAAGTCAAATTTATTGTTTTTAAGGGTAAAAGTTTGGACAGATGATACATGTATGATTCCACAGAATTCTTGTTATTGAAACTTACTGAAGTTAATGTTGTAAAAGTTGTAGAAGGAACTCAACTGGGATCCTTTAAAGCAACGATGGTGTGATATCAGTAAATTTTTCAGAAATAAGGAAACTAATGTTAATTCTTACAGGTCACTACATGTTCATCGAGAGCAGCAGTCCCCAGCGTCTTGGAGACAAGGCATGGCTTCTCAGTGACCCCATACAGCCCACCACTGGGTCATGTCTCACATTCTGGTACAACATGAACGGTGCAGGTTTGTACTTTCTCAAAATATCAAGGTCATAATGTTTTAAATAGTGCATCAAGGTCTTAATGATATCTAACTGTGTCGAGGTCAAACACTGTTACAGCTCTGTGTACATTTCATACAAATTTATTTTTACAAAGTGTAACAATAAATTTTGTGGTTTAAAAGTACATGCAAAAAATACAAAGATTCTATGAGGATAGTGATTTTATCAGTATATGAGAACTATGATATGGTAAATGCTGTATCCAGTTTAATTATGTGTTTATAATTTAAATTATTAAATTAAAAGTATTGTCAGTTTTGTTAATAGATTTAATGTAAGAATGATAATGTTTTGTAGGAATTGGCACACTAAATGTGTACTACACGAACTCCACAAATAACAAAGTGTTCACTATGAGTGGTAACCATGGTAACGTGTGGATGGAGGGAAATGTAACCCTTGTGTCCACCCAGCCTTTCAGGATTATGTTTGAGGCAATCAGAGGACAGAATTACAGAGGGGACATTGCTCTTGATGATATTGATGTGGCACCAGGTTACTGTTCTCTGCAGACTACGGTATCACCAGTTACTACCCCACAACCCACTCAAGGTAAGTTACTACCCCACAATCCACCCTAGGTAAGTTATTACCCCACAATCCACCCTAGGCAAGTTTCTACCCCACAACCCACCCTAGGTAAGTTACTACCCCACAATCCACTCAAGGTAATTTACTACCCACAACTCACCCAAGGTAAGTTACTACCCCACAACCCACTCAAGGTAAGTTACTACCCCACAACCCACCCAAGGTAAGTTACTACCCCACAACCCACTCAAGGTAAGTTACTACCCACAACTCTCTCAAGGTAAGTTACTACCCCACAACTCACTCAAGGTAAGTTACTACCCCACAACCCACTCAAGGTAAGTTACTACCCCACAATCCACTCTAGATAAGTCGCCACCCACAACCGTCTCAAGGTAAGTCACCACCCTTCAACCCTCTATTGATAAGTCATTAATAACTTCTACTTAAATTAATTTTAAGTCATCAAGAATACCAAAATTGATTGGTAAATTTGTTGTCTTACAGCTACCCTCATTGGCTGTGACTTTGAGTCTGATTTCTGTAACTGGAGTCAGGACCATTCAGACACTTTTGATTGGACGAGAGATACATCTGGCACTTCCAGTGTAGGAACAGGCCCCCAGTTTGACCACACACTCCAAAACAGAAATGGCCACTACATTTACATAGAGGCATCAGGAAAGCGTGCTAATTCCACAGCACGTCTCATCAGTCCATCGTTGACCACTACAGGTAAACTTTGTGTCCAGTTCTGGTACAACATGTATGGCCAACACATCAACAAACTCAACCTCTACACTAAATCCAACAACCTACTCAGTCCTGTCCTGTGGACCAAGGCTGGTAACCAGGGCAACATGTGGATTCAAGGACAAGTGGACATTGTATCATCTTCATCTGGAAACCAGGTAAAAAATTGTCTTGATTATTATTTATACATGTATTCATGCTGTTTGTTACCAAGGATCATTGTTTTTAATGAAGGATCATTAAGAGATTTTTGGGAATGCTTTTCATGTCAATGCTGTTTGTTACCAAAACTTGTCAACAGTTCTGCAGGAAATGCTTTTGATATAAATGATTACCTAGGATCTTTAATGACTTTCTATAGAATGCTTTAAGTATCTATGGTCTTTATTATTAGATTGATTTTGGTAGCCATGTTGTTTATTACGGGCCTTAATTTCACCCAGGCAAATGGGAGATCGGGAAAAGAATACACCTGCGGTTACCCACTGCATGTATTGTAGGTGGCGACTAATGTGGAACCCCTGCAGAATTGAGGATTTGCTTTGGTGTCCTCTATTTGGGGACACAAAAGCGACCAAAATAAATCTGCTGCACCCATTGTAATATTTGGGATCTTTATCTTCCTTTCTACTTCTAACTACCTTTTATTTCCTAGTGCCTTGCTTGGCAACACCTCACTTTTGGCTTTAACGCTGAAAGTTGGCCCAGGTGAGGTAGGCAATGGGTTCTGTTCCCAGGCCAGGACATATCAAAATCCTTAAAAATGCTAGTTGTTATTCCCTGCTTAACGTTCAGCATTAAGGGAATTGCAACAACTTGTTCACCCGTTGTCAGTTTAATATGACCGGGCGGAATGCTGTGCTTGGTGCCTTCGTCATGGCATTTCAGTGAGATAGCACTATAAAGTCGGCATTAGATTCGCACTGTCACAAAGAGGCAAGCTTACCAACATACCCTGTCTCCTGCATACACACGCAACCACGCATACACTACACACATAGAGGCATGTCCTTAAATGACCTTAGCTGTTAGTAGGATGTTAAATAAAATTAAACCAAACCAAATCATGTTAATTTATTTTCTTTTGCTTCTGTCTAGGTTGTTTTTGAGGGCACGGCAGGTTTGGGATACCAAGGAGATATATCCCTGGACGACATCAAAATCTTGAGCGGTGCTTGTTCAGGGTCAGCTAGTAAGTATTTAGTCCTCAACAGTGTCATAATCAGCGGCAATCTGAGTGAGAAGCCCAGAACTCTGCTTAAACAAGAGTCGCTATATGTACTAAGTCCTGATCAGTGCTGAAACAAGGGTCATTCTATGTATTAAGATCTAATCAGTGCTTAAACAAGGGTTGTTCTATGTTTTAAGTTCTGATCAGTGCTTAAACAAGGGTCGTTCTTTGTATTAAGATCTGATCAGTGCTGAAACAAGGGTCGTTCTATGTACTAAGTCCTGATCAGTGCTGAAATAAGGGTCGTTCTATGTATTAAGATCTGATCAGTGCTGAAACAAGGGTCGTTCTATGTACTAAGTCCTGATCAGTGCTTAAATAAGGGTCGTTCTATGTACTAAGATCTGATCAGTGCTGAAACAAGGGTCGTTCTATGTATTAAGATCTGATCAGTGCTGAAACAAGTAGGCCTATAAAGTCCTGATCAAATAAATGTCTGCTTAAAAATATTTTTTTGTAATAACTAACAAAAGGAAAATTGCAGCTTTTCTTTTTTTTTTAATTTAAAAAGGATTGTTCATTTCAACTTTTTTAATCAAAAGATTGATCACACAAATCTCAGACTTTGTCTGTGAGTTGTCTTAGAGAAGAAGAAAACCGTTTTGATTTTAGGCATGATCAGCCAAAGGTCACAGTAACTTAAAATAGAGTTTCATGTAATAAACCTGTCTGGATACTAAATTAAGAACAAATGATCCCACATTGCTAAAACTTAGTATGTGAGTTCTTCAAGTGAACATGTAAGAGTCCTATTGATCTTGAGCATGATTTGTCAAAGGTCAAGGTCACTGTGGTAAAAAGTGTAATTTTCTTGGCATATCCTAACTTCAGAACACTACAGTAAGCTTAGATTGGTGTATACATTCACCTAGAGAAGAAGAACCTCGTAATTTTTAAGAGAAAGGTGAAAGTCAGTGTTACTCTTACATTCTAAAACCTCTTTCACCAAGATAGCTGGGGTTTGATTTTCCGATGGTATGTGAACAAGTCTTTAGTGCCAGTGCCAGGTCCAATGATTTGAATGTTTTTGGTGTTTGTTTTGCCTACAGCATGTGATTTTGAACAAAGCAGCATTTGTGGATACCAACAAGATCTGAATGACAACTTTGACTGGACATGGGGACACGGAAGCACTGGATCTACAGGGACTGGTCCCACTAATGACCACACATACGCCACTTCTGTAGGTGAGTCGGTGTACCTTATGTCCCAGGCTGGGCTCTCACTGATGATTACATATTGATGAACAGTTGTGTTCCTTCTCCAGTAAAAATGTGTGCATACAAAACTTTCATCAAGTAATAAAGAGAGGAAAACTCAATGTATTAAATCTCACCCTGACAGTGTAGAACGATGTTTTGTGGTCATTGTTTTTATTTGACTTATACGGTGTCAACTTTTTAGTGTTGATAAGTTATTAAAGGATTTAGCATTAATATATTTCTGGAATGTTTAAGTGTATGGAAAACTTTTTATAATAAAATGAAACAATCAAGTTAGTTTTTCTGAAATCAGAAACTGGACTTGATTAATCATTTAGGACCTTACAGGAAATACATATTAAGTATAATGTCACTTTCAGGCCACTACATGTACACGGAGACCTCTTCGCCACGTGTCCAGGGCGACAAAGCTAACCTGCGCTCCCCATCCTACCCAGCTGCCCAACAGAAATGTCTCTCATTCTGGTATCACATGTATGGTCAGGACATCGGCACACTCGACATCTACATCAGTACCTACAACCATCTAGGAAATGCTGTGTGGACCATGTATGGTAGCCAGGGAAACAGCTGGCACAAAGGCCAGGTGACCATATCCAGTCGTTCCAGTTACCAGGTCAGTAGATTCATTCTCTTGATTTTAAATGTTTTTTCATAATTGTTGCAGTATATGGATTATCTTGCACTGATGTTTGATGTTAATGTGTTTTATAATGATAAAACGAGAAGGATTTTTTCTGGAATCAGATAATAACTTTCTGAAATGGTAAAATTTAGGTGGTATTTTCGGGGATCAGAGGAAGTGGTTTCCATGGAGACATAGCCATTGATGACATCTCTATGAATGATGGTGCCTGCGCTGGCCCAGGAACTTGCAACTTTGAAAGGGACCTGTGCAGCTGGACACAACGCCAGGACGACAGTTTTGATTGGTTAAGGCGTAAAGGACCAACCGCTTCTGTCGGTACTGGACCATCCTCAGATCATACTCTTGGCACATCAGCAGGTTAGCTTGGTTTCTATTGATTTTCTTGAGTAAAATATTTAATATTCTGATCAAATTCTACATTTCAAATGTTTAAATACAATAGAAAATTGTCCCAGTTTCATTTTTTTATTTGCACTTTTGAAATTAAAAGGGCAAATTCTACAAGCCAACAGGGTCGATACTCAAAACTAGAGGGAAAAAATCCATCAAGGTGTGATAACATACACTCAATCCTGGCTGAATGACAATGTTAAATGTCACCTGCTATAAACAGTCAGTCACAGGTCCACCCTTCATTAAATACATATTCCAGTCTGATCAGGTGTTATGTATTACATTTAAACAAGGTAATTACTGTATTATCTAGTTCAGATCTTTCAGTAATTAGCAGAAAATGTTATAGGCCAGTTGGACATACAGCATCAATGATGGATTTAATCAAATTTGTAGTTTAGAATTGATTCCATAAATGGATACATATTAACTCTCCACCCATATTTATGAAATAAAAGACTAAAAAGTGTTGATATTAACCCTTTCAACCCTGTGTAACTTAAGTAAACTCTACCATGCATTGATCTGGATGAGTCCATTATGGTCTACAGTGGTGAAAGAGTTCAGTTTATGAGAGTATATGGGTAATTAGTGAAAGTCTAATATGGGTATTCCATGCCTTGAAATCCCCATGCAACAGTTATAAGTAGTGAGTTTTGCCCACCTTGTAATCCACAGGTTACTACCTTTTCATCGAGACGAGCCGACCGCGTCATTTAGGAGACAATGCGGTGATCCAGTCACAGCTGATTCCCACCCAACCACAGCATTGCTTCAGTTTCTGGTACAACATGCACGGACAGAGTGTCGGTAACCTTAATATTTCCATGCAGATCAAGGGTGGCTCAAAGACCCAAAAATTGTCACTCGCAGGCGACCAAGGTACAGGCTGGAAACAAGGGCAGGTTGACATGAGTGATGCCTATGATGACTTCACGGTAACTCCCTATCTCACAGCCTGGTTAGGCAATTACTTTATAGCAATAATAGGTGATACACGCTACACCACTTCATAATAAAGAGGCATAAGTTTTATACATACCCATTGTGTTTGGTATACATTGAAGTAAATGGCTCAGTGTAGTTGTTTTTGATTTAAATTAAATTCAAGAAATGAATAATGAAAACACACTCTATGTTTAAATTTAAATACATTTCGCCACACATTATCATTTTATCTTTTGCTCTCTTGTAGATTTTTGTTGAAGCTGGTGTTGGATCTGGTTACCAGGGAGACATAGCCATTGACGACTTGAGATTGGACCCCACTCCCTGTGGTGGCTCTAGTGGTAGGTTAAAGAATGATTTCATTTTCATGAAACTTTCTACACTTACCTTTAATATATATTACATCCTTAAACTCAAAATATGACAATCAACACTGTAGTTAGCAGCCCTCTTGGATTTAGTGAAAGTCACATGGTTTGCATCTGATAAATCTTGAAGGATTTTGTGAACGTTACATGGTTTGTATCTGATAAATCTTGAAGTAATGCTTTGATTTTCACGACATTTTTGATCAATTACCTGCTCAAGTTAACATCAGAAAATATAACTATTTAACTCCCTCATTGCGGGTTACCATCATCAGCCATCATTCCACCTAATCTTGGGCAAGCGATACATTCACTTCCATGGATGTCTTGTCTTACCTATAACTATGGTGTTCATGATAAACAGATAATGTGTTTTGATTGTGTGTGACGTTGATTTTTTTAAGCACAATCTAACGGGACATTTAACTGTACGGGAGGTCGAGGCACTAGTAAAGTGATTCCCCTCAACAAGGTGTGCAACTTCATGGTGGACTGTCCATATGCCTCAGACGAATCTAACTGTGGTGGGTACAATAGCTTTTTAAACTTTTAATTATAGTTGCTTTAAATAAAAGGTCCAGGATGAAAAAATAAGCCAGAATGAGTTGTAGTTGGTAAATGTTGAAATCAACATTTCCAAAGCTTTATGTATTGTATTTCATTACAGTAACACATTGATTAGAAGTTTTATGTTAGCAGGCTTATAAGTAACACGGAATTATGACACAGAATACCACCTGAAAGCAGTTGAATGTTTATATTTTCATTGTGTATGTCAAAAGAGCGTTTGTTGTTACAGGTTCCTGCAGTTTTGACCAGAATTTCTGTAGTTGGCAACCAAATTTGCAGGGAGTGTTTACCTGGAAACGAGGCAACAAGAATTCTAGTGCCAACACAGGTCCCGCCTTCGATCACACACAGGGTAACCAGTATGGTGAGTGTCCCACATCTGGGTATATCTGGGCAGTTCCAGCAAGTCTCCCTCACCAAACAGGGATCCAGAAACATTGGGTTACAAAATCTCACAAAAGGGTATCCAGGGGGTTATAGGGAGTCTTCCACGTCAGGGTGTATCTGGGCAGTTCCAGCAAGTCTCCCTCACCAAACAGGGATCCAGAAACATTGGGTTACAAAAACTCACAAAAGGGTGTCCAGGGGGTTATAGGGAGTCTCCCACGTCAGGGTGGATGCACTACGTGACAGTCTTCCAAAGCAAGGGGGATCCAGGAAGTTTTGGCTACCATACACTAGATCAGCAATTGATTTAATTTGTATCTTCTACATCTGATGTCCACCTTACTTTGACAATTTAACTAAATGTTTTGAGAAAATATAAAATGTGAGAAAGAATATTTAATGACCAATATTCTACTGTTACTTTGTTACAGGTTACTATGCATATGTAGATGCAACACTTGGGACCTCAAGGAGCATAGCAACCCTAACAGGACCACTTCTGCAGCCATGTAGTTCCACCTGTCAGATTCAGTTCTGGTATAGCATGTACGGCCGAGGTAAGTCTTTGTCAAATACACATGTACGGCCGAGGTAAGTCTTTGTCAAATACACATGTATGGGCGAGGTAAGTCTTTGTCAAATACACATGTACGGCAGAGGTAAGTCTTTGTCAAATACACATGTACGGCCGAGGTAAGTCTTTGTCAAATACACATGTACGGCAAAGATACAGCAGTGGTGGGTCACTGAAATAAGCATGTCAGGTTCAGTTCTGGTATGTACAGCTGAGAAAGGTTGTCTAAGTCGGCAGATTCAGTTATTTTTAAGTGTTTACAGCTGATATCTCTCGCTAGCATCAAATACTCCATGTTTGGAAGCTGTATGCAAGTAGGAATATACTATGTGTGATTATGTATTACTCAGCTGTATGACAAAGGTAGATCTGCATCAAATACAAACATATACAGCAGATGTTTATAAGTGGAAAGGAGACACATGTTACAGCAGTGTTTGGTTTGAAACTGGTGATTAGGTGTAAAGGATGTGCTTTGTTCTGTTAAAATTATGGGTATCATTTACAACAATGTTGACTTTTCTGTAGGTATTGGTACTCTCAGTGTGGTCATCACTGAAGGGGGCCAGAATACAACCATCTGGACACAGCGAGGTAACCAAGGTAACCGCTGGAACAAGGCTACTGTGGACATAGGTCGTGTGGGACGACAATTCCAGGTACAGAGTTATATTATTACATCAGTCTCAGACCTTTCACTTTTACAGTTGTTTTACAGGGTAACATGGAAATATTGCTGTGTATTTAATTTTTGCCTTTTTTTGGTTACAGTGGAACTTGAATAATTATAACAAAGCATAAAGATGATTGATATTAATTTAACTTACTCAAATGGACTGAACAAATGCAAAATTATTTCTCATCTGTAGTTTATAATTGTAAGATTTTGCAAGAAATTAAACATTGATGTTTTCAAATCCAAATAAAAGTTATGTTTACAGATAAATTGACAAAATCGAATCCAGCATAATTTTCACCGGAATAATGTCCTTATGCTCTTGTTAAATAGCCTTCATCACGACTGAAATAAGCTTGATACCAGTCATAATTGGTTTGCTACATGATTTATTTCGATGCAGCTCATGTACAAGGCAACACGTACCTTCACTACCTTGGGGAACATTGCTATCGACGATTTGCAGCTTATCAACTGTAACTTTCCAGGTGAGTATATTGGGCTGTCCGACTTTAAACAGCAAGAATAAGAGCATAGTCAAAGTTTGATAAATTAAAGTAAAGGGAATTTCTGATTTTGTTTGGTTGTGCAAACGGATTTTTTTATGTTTTCATGTTCATGTTTTTTTCCTAATGACAATTTTGTTTATACAAAGATACATAGATACATAGATTTATCATTTATGCCAAACTGCTACCTTGATTTGTACTGAAGACTGCTATTGTACCCTTGTTTGGTTACAGCGGTCCAAAATACCTGTCCCGTTGGTCAGTTCAGATGTAATCGTGGTGCTTGTGTACCCAAGACTGAGCTGTGTGACTTCACAGACGATTGTGGCGATTCCTCAGATGAGCAGTCCTGTTGTAAGTTTCACAAATCACACACAGATATAGGTCAATAAGGTGAAATACACAAATCACACACAGATATAGGTCAATAAGGTGAAATACACAAATCACACACAGATATAGGTCAATAAGGTGAAATACACAAATCACACACAGATATAGGTCAATAAGGTGAAATACACAAATCACACACAGATATAGGTCAATAAGGTGAAATACACAAATCACACACAGATATAGGTCAATAAGGTGAAATACACAAATCACACACAGATATAGGTCAATAAGGTGAAATACGGTTTGAATTATATTACCAGTTGTTAACAGGACATTGGGGACAAAGTAAATAAGTTATATGTTTACTTTTATCTCCCCTTGTCATCTACAATTGACAATAGTGGATGTAAATGTGATGTAATAAAATTTGATATTAGTGACAATAAGGGAGATAAATATGATAGTAGAGTAAACAAGGGCAGGTACTGATATATGACATCACACTATTCATGAAAACAAGGGAGGTAAATGATCATTGAGTAATGTAATAGTATACTTTTGTTCAATTTTCTTGTAACAGCTTCCTACCCAGCCCGTTGTGACTTTGAGACTAGTCTCTGTTCATGGACACAAGACAAATCTGACACTTTTGATTGGACAAGAGCAACAGACCACACAGCCTCATATGGTACAGGACCTTCCCGGGACCACACCCGAGGAACTGCTGCAGGTACTTGGCTACACAGCAGTGTCACCCCACATTGTCCTGTTATTGCATTACCACTTAACAGTTTATGTAAAAGCATGTACATGTGCATTGGCTTTTCTGTCAATCACTTCTTACATGTGTACTAAAAGTTAAATCATACTAATTACATCTTAGTTAGAATTAAGAAAAGGCACAATTTTAACAACGGAGGTATATTGCAATTGGTAAATTTTACACAAAATTGCACATAGTAAATTCTGAATGACAAAACTATTTGATAAAAGTGGAAAACTGCAAACATCAGAAATCAAGCAAAATACAGAGTTTGTGACTTTGAAATGTAGAAAACACATGGTTAAAAAAATACTGTCTTTGTGTTAAATAGTGTGTATACCCTAACTATATGTCATATTCCCAATTAAAAAACAAAATTTTTGTCACTAAAAAAAAAAGTAAAATTTTCGAGGCACCCAAATTTTGATAATTGCCCTTAAATTTGCTCAGTATGTTTAAGTTACATAACCCTTTAACAACTTAAATTGTTGATGGGCCGTAAAACAATAAAAAACAATATGAAAAATGGATTTGTCTGGCTATTGTAGGTTACTATATGTACATTGAGTCTTCACGGCCAAGGAAACCAGGAGATAAGGCAAGACTTCTCAGCCCAGCCTTTAATGGAGTGGTGACCAGTACTACCGGTCAGAGTCAGACATGCACGGTGAGTAACTTTAATAGAGACGTAACCAGTGCTACTGGACAAATTCGGTCAGATAGATTATATTAATTTTCAATCTTTTTTATTGCTGACTTTTGTAATATTGCTTCTGGAATGTATAGCTTTGTTGAAAAGTGACAAATCTTGTTACATCTGTGTAACCATGAGTTGATAAAATTATACTTTGTCTAATAGAGTACTCTTTGGCTATTAAATCGTGCTTTGTTATAATGCTCTATGATTGTGTTGGCCAGCTTCGCCTGTATTACCACATGTTCGGGAGGACCATTGGAGCGTTAAATGTGTACACACGTACCTCTGTGGGTGGACCCATGAAAATCATCTGGCAGAAAGCTGGCAATGTGGGAGACTTTTTTGAGCGAGTGGACATCCCCATATTTGAAACAAATCCATTCCAAGTAAGGACAGGGGATTACAGACTGCAGAAAATAGAAATCTAAACAGGCAAATGCTTGGGGAAGGATGTTCATAATAGTTACATCATAAACAAATTAACTTTACAGTATACTTTTATTCGATTCAATAATAATAAATATGGTATTATTTGATTCATAAATCAAAATTTTGAGTATTTTTTTTAATTTCATTATTTCTGAGATGTTAATGAAAAGAAAGAAGTATCTATCAGTTTGTGATATTTGTCCCAATTATTTACATCAGACTTTTTATCTATTAAGATCTGTGTTTGTGTGAAATATGTGTATAGGAGATGCTTAAGGCATGTAACTATGTGTACAAGATTTTGGGTATATACAAGATACTTGTGGTTGTTTTTGTGAGGTTTTAGGAAGATATTTGTAAAAACTTGAAATATAGATCTCTCACTACTGCTGTTGTCAGGTTGTGATAGAAGGTTTGACATATAGATCTCTCACTACTGCTGTTGTCAGGTTGTGATAGAAGGTGACATATAGATCTCTTACTACTGCTGTTGTCAGGTTGTGATAGAAGGTTTGACATATAGATCTCTCACTTCTGCTGTTGTCAGGTTGTGATAGAAGGTTACATATAGATGTCTCACTACTGCTGTTGTCAGGTTGTGGTAGAAGGTAACATGGAGATCTCTCACTACCGCTGTTGTCAGGTTGTGATAGAAGGTGTGACATATAGATCTCTCACTACTGCTCGTGTCAGGTTGTGATAGAAGGTGACATAAAAATCTCTCACTACTGCTGTTGTCAGGTTGTGAAAGAAGGTGTGACATATATATCTCTCACTACTGCTGTTGTCAGGTTGTGAAAGAAGGTGTGACATATATATCTCTCACTACTGCTGTTGTCAGTTTGTGATAGAAGGTGACATATAGATCTGTCACTACTGCTGGTGTCAGGTTGTGATAGAAGGTGTGACATATAGAACTCTCACTACTGCTGTTGTCAGGTTGTGAAAGAAGGTGTGTCATATAGATCTCTCACTACTGCTGTTGTCAGGTAGTGATAGAAGGTGTGACATATAGATCTGTCACTACTGCTGGTGTCAGGTTGTGATAGAAGGTGTGACATATAGAACTCTCACTACTGCTGTTGTCAGGTTGTGGTAGAAGGTAACATGGAGATCTCTCACTACCGCTGTTGTCAGGTTGTGATAGAAGGTAACATATATATCTCTCACTACTGCTGTTGTCAGTTTGTGATAGAAGGTGACATATAGATCTGTCACTACTGCTGGTGTCAGGTTGTGATAGAAGGTGTGACATATAGATCTCTCTCTACTGCTGTTGTCAGGTTGTGATAGAAGGTGACATGTAGATCTCTCACTACCGCTGTTGTCAGGTTGTGATAGAAGGTGTGAACTATAGATCTCTCACTACTGCTGTTGTCAGGTTGTGATAGAAGGTGTAACAGGACAGGGTTACCAGGGTGACATCGCTGTTGATGACTTGTCCATGACACCCGGGTGTAAACTAGCCAACAGTAAGTACCACCTAATTCTCATTCAATACCTGAATTCCAGTATGATTGCAAGAGAATTTGCATAAAAATCCCAGAGCATTCTTGCTTCTTGTTGTATTTGCTATTGTGTGGACATTGAGAGATTTTAATTAGATTGACCTTTATTATATGAATAAAATATTTACTAAATTAGCTTCAGTTTTATACATTTCAAAACATTAAATGAATTATTTATTTGTTTAGATTTCAGTGCATTATGAGGTAAACATTAAATCCCGTTTGCTTGTTTACTAGCACCCCTTGTGACGGGTACACCAGGACCTGTTACCACGCCCGGACCCTGTGGTAATGGCAGCTTCTCTTGTTCTGGACGCTGTATCAATCAGAACCAGGTCTGTGACTTCAGTCCACAGTGTGCGGACAAGTCTGACGAGGCCAACTGTGGTATGTACACTCACACCTATCATTGTTAAGTGATTGTTTAATACTCTGATAATGTATTTGATGTATGTCTTCCATTGATTTATATGATTGACATTGTCTGTGATATAGCTGATATAACAATGATTATGTTACGACAGGAACATGTACCTTTGAGACTAACCAGTGTGGCTGGACTGATGTTAGTTCTGGCCGCTACAACTGGCACAGGTTCCAAGGAGCCTCACCAGGCACAGGGGGACCAAACAGTGACCACACCACGAACTCAGCAAATGGTAAGTATGATAAATGGGGCCTAGAGAGAACTCCACATAGAGGACTGGAGTGTCCATACAAGTGCCTCACTACTATAGTGTTCTTACAGTGGAGCTGGTTGAAGATTAATATTCAAATACTCCTCTTTTCAGACAATATTTTCAGATTCTGAATGAACCAGTTTTTTGTCTGTCTCAGAATTGGTATTATTTCAGTTAGAGTGAAGCTTATATGTTTTATTTGATAATACCTCATACTCAAGATTGCAGACAACTGAGTTATCTCCCTTGATCTTTTTCATCCGCCAGAGATGTACAATGTTTCCATGTGTAATAATGGTGATAGTAAATGCTTGATTAACCCTGTAGGTCACTACATGCTTGTGGAGGGATCATCAGGTACATTCTTCAGCCGTGCAAGGATGAGCACAGTGGCCCTAGGACCAACTGCACCAAGCTGTCAAGTCCAGTTCTTCTACCACATGTACGGTATAGCAGCAGGTAAGCCATCCAGTAGTGTTGTATACAGGTAAACATCCTATAGTCTTGTAATTAGATAGCATATATTATAGTGATTTGACTGTATGTATAATATCCGGGTCTGTATTGCTGTACTTATAAGATATCTTACCTTTACATATGTAGTAGGAAGAGGTTAGAGGTTATCACTGAGGATCAAACCAGCGACTCCCACCTTTCCAGCATGCTGCTTCACCAATTAAACTATAGGGAAATTCCCTCTGGCAGAAAGCTAGAAATAAGGCAATTAAAACCTACCACATACACCTGTTATATGCATGCTAAAAATACAAAAATATGCTTTTTACTCTAATTACCAATACATGACAGTCTTTTTACATAATTATCCCATGTATACAAAAAGTAATAAAGATCTAATATCTGCTGCAGGTAACATTCAGCTGAGTGTGACCAACGCCAATAATCCCACAGACTCCACAGTGATCTGGTACAAGACTGGAAACCAAGGCAACGGATGGAAGCAGGCCACTGCTGACATCGGCACCCTCCCTGCTGGCTACAAGGTCTCCCCAACTAATTTGAACTCATAAGACTGTTAATTATTATGAAAAGTTCTTTTTACACAACCAATAATATTTTCTATGTGACGTTTCGATGACTAGTACGATATGTACATTGTCACCTTCATCAGACAAATGACCAGTGAAGCGTACACACACAAAGGTGTAAAATGTGTATGAGTTGTCCACAAAATCAATGTCGATGAACCAAATGCTTAATGAATAGATGTTATTTCCCCACAGTCATCCATTCAAAGTGTGTTATTTACCCACATTGATTCTGTCCTGTTGTTACCAGTATTTCCCCTTCTTGCCAAAGTTTGATTTCTGTATATTGATTCTGTCCAAGTAATATTCTAAACATTAATTGTGTATTTGTATGATTGCTACCATGATTTCAGTCAATGTATAGTTCTGCTCATAAAATGATGTTTGAAACTGAACATACATTAATTAGGGTACGTGCACTTTTAACTTTATATGGATTTTGGCAAATTGGTTTCTTCAGCTCCAATTTGATGCTCTGCCCTCCAAGTCATTCCAAGCCTCAGGCATTCCCCAGTCAGACATGGCCATCGATGATGTGCAGTTTGTGGCATGTAATCCAACACAGATTGTCAACAACACAGGTAGGTTATAAACACTTGGTGGATGCTGTCTTTTGAAGTTCTCTACACATATTAATTTTTGACTGCTGTAGGTTGTGTGTATGTTCAATAAGAGAGAGGACGTCCAAAGAAGTTGGTAGTTAATCTCATATCAGATAAAGTACCTGAAGCTCTCTCAGATTGTGCTCGAGATGTTGGGAGTTGGTTGATAACATTTTGATGATAATATTTGATATGACGCTATCTTCAGCAATAATTCTAGCAAATAAGAGATGATCCAACTAGATTGATAGCATTAGCAATGATATATAAGAGATACCCTGACATCATATTGCGTTAGTTAGGGTGCATAATGGTGACCTGATTGTATTAGCATTAAGGATGAAATACAAATTCTAGTGACAGTACTGTATCCAAAAAGAATGATCTAACTTAACCAGTAGCATGAGTTTAAATACAAAACTGATGATTGTTCTTGCAGCATATAGAGTGTGTAAGTCCATGACAGATGTAGACGGTAACTCTATAGGTAAAGCAACAAGCTAATTTCTATATAAAAGGAAGAGCTTATTTACCTCGCATGCTTTCACTCAATATTCTGTCATGTATTTCAGAGTTTGCTTTTGTAATGTATAACTGAAATGTTTTAAGGACCACAGCGGAAATAAGTCTGTGAATATTCTGTTTGGTAAAATATGTCTTGTTATTTACCATAGGTTGTATTTTATCAAATAGATCTATCTATAATGTCCACTGTTAAACCAGTAGGATTATAATGATCTGTCATGTGATCCTCCTAATGTCACCGACAACTTTGTTAAAGTTTGAAGTATGTTGAGAGTATACCTAGTCTCCCCTTGATACTAAATCCCAGCTGGTGGGCAACTACCTGCTCATCCCTAGGTTACCGTTGTCCGGTAAATTTCGCTATCGGTATAAAAATGTTAGTAATGACCTTCTCTACCTAGTCAAGTAAATGTGATCTTTAGTCTATAGTGATGTAGGGGATCCACCTGGTATGTCCTTGCCTCAGTTACACATCCCGTCTGACTTGTAGCAAGCATTATTCTGGATCTAGCCTTAACATTGATTGTAAAAAACATTGATTTATAATGACTTACATTGATTTTGATAATCGTTATTATGGATCTAATATTAACATTTATTGCGATATAGTCATTATTTATGATTGCCTTGGTTTTATATTCAGGGAAAGATTTTGAGTTGTTAGCTTTACAACTTTATTAATTTACATTTTCAACTATTACAAATGAAAATATTTGTTACATGAAAACTACCTAGATATGAAAATTTTTAATTTTGAATTATTCAATTTTTTAAATTTTTTTTATTACCTGCAGTCTATAGTCTTATCTTTATAATAGAAAAGAAGTGCAATAATTGGATAGATATCATTAAATCTACAGAACAGATTAGAAAATACAGCACTTGTGTCAGGGTCTGTCCATTAACAAGTAAAGACGTCTGTCACTACTACCCAATACAAACGCAACCAATGAGAAGACAAAACTAGATAATGTAACACAGCCTCAAAAAATACCTGCGCAAATTACACAGGTGCGCAAATTACATGGGTTTTTACGGTACGACTAACCACTCAGAAAACTGAAAATGAATACAGACATGAGTTTTCATTTCATATGAGATTTATGAAACAAGTCTAAGAATTTTTCAATTAACAAGCCTCTGGCGAGCTAAAATGAAAAGTTTGTGACTAGTTTTATGAATTTCATATGGAACGAAAACAGGTGTAAGATCCTTTTTATCACATAATCAAGATTTGTGGCATATATTTGTGTAAAACGACAATTTTCATGCAATCTTGAAATGTAAAAAGCCGCTATTTTGACTCCAGTGTGTAAGTCTGTCACGTCATGTACTTGTCCTAGGCGTGATGTCACAATTGAAACAATTGAAACTTTACAACCAATCACACGGCTGATAGGTCATATTACATGGGTTAATACGCTAAACATAAGACATGGGTATATTAACTGGTTAACACAGTGCAATATGTGATAAAAAGCATGTACACATTAAACTATAGCATTATGGACAATACATGTTACAGATGACACATGTTACAAACCTGTTAAAGTATATGTTGAGCAATCAGCCTAATATTATTAAATGTAAAAGAATACATAATTTAATGAAAACATAAGCACACTAACCTATGTGCCTGCTACACTCCGGTGTAGTTAATGTATACAGTCGGTTCTAGGTTTTATACAGTTCAATATGCACTTCTTTTTAAATAATCTACATGTAGGGAATGTACATAGGTAAAACATGTGTCAATAGTCTTATGTTCACCTAAATAGGCAGATGAATCGTCCACATACATGTATATATGAGGTATATGGCTGGTAACTTTTGATTTTCAGTGTTTAATCTCAACTGTACTTTTGAATCTGGACTATGTGGCTACTTCCAAGAAACAGCTGATGATTTTGATTGGACGCTGACCAATCAATCATCTCCCACGATTGGAACAGGCCCAGACAGGGACCATACTACTGGAACAGGTAAGACTTGGTTCAGGATTGGTAGGAGGGAGGGTGTAGACAAATGCACTGGGGAGGAGATGGGGGAATGACAGAATAAATGGTAAGCAGGTAGTGTTGGTTACCATTATATTATGCCCCTGCAATCAGTTATGGAGCCAAATATAGGTTTTTATACCCAATAAACCTCAACAGAATAGGATTCAATCCTTAAAAGGATTATTATTTGAGTCATATTTCAGGTCTCCAAGGTCAAGGCTAAAGTCATCATATCTGTGACTTTGTCAACTGATTCAGTAATATCACTGTTGCAATTCATTTCTTACCACATGCTTATCAAATTTATATAAAGGTCAAATATGAGAATTTCTCAAATGAGTGTATTTCAAGGTTTCAAGACCAAGGTCACAATTGCTATTTATAGTAAGTTGTGAAACAATGACACTTATTTGCATGTGAGAAGGGGCATTGTTTTATTACAAGTATTTTGTAGTTTTCTCAATGAGGTACAAACTCAGAGTTGGACAAATTCAAGAGGTATAATTGTTTTCTGTGTGCAGGATTTTACATCTACATTGAGACTTCAGCACCTCGCCATGCTGGTCAGAAGGCACGCATTACATCAGGCATCCAGAAGCCGGCCCCATCCCAGGGTGTGTGTCTTACCTTCTGGTACCATATGTTCGGGGCCCATGTCAACACTCTCAATGTATACATGCAGCACCCCCAATCTAGCAACCTCACCCAGGTCTGGTCACGCTCAAAGACACAGGGAAATGTCTGGCGCAAGGGACAAAGGACAATCATCAGTAAGCTGCCGTTCCAGGTAAGAAGGTCACCCAGACATTTTGTTTGTAAGGTTTGGGGCTGAGAATGTCCATTATTTCTATTTTTGCATGTTTCTATTGTCAGCCTATGTATTATGTTCGAAGTTTGTGTTAGAGCATTGTCTGCCAGAGCTCCTTTCGTCATTTGTCTAATTCAAGCCTACCGACTGATGAATGATAAGGGCGAGGGTTTTATTTTGCCAGAATTCTTTTGATCATTTTTCTTAAGTAAGCCTACAGACTTTATTAAGAGTTTGAGCTGGAGATATTTTGCCTGTACTTCTCCTTATTATTTATATATACCTTCTCACTGCATTATGATGGTTAGGGTTTTTTGGCCCTGGATTCTACATGTTTCTACCTTTTGCCTACAGATTGTGTTTGAAGGCTTGGTTGGAGTGAGCTGGCAAGGAGACATTGCTTTGGACGATATTTCTGTGGTCGATGGACCATGCCCAGCACCAGGTACAGCATCACAATAACTAAATCAGCTTGTATATAATCTTATAACTTAACATCCTGTTGACATATAAATAATTGAGAACAGTTCTCAACAAATAGCCTTTAATTGCACTTTTATGAGAGACATGACTTTGTATAGAATTTCCTTGATAAGATGTAAGTGCTAAAGCCTTTTTGTTGTGAACTTCATTGTTTCCAACAATTTCTTTGTTATGCATCATACTTTTCAATATAAAAACATTTTTCTCAACAACTCTGAAGTGGCTATAATAGTAAGTAAAGGACAGGTATTAATTGTAAAAGAGTTTGTGGGGGGATATAGAAATTAGGTCCGTCCGTGCGTCATTCTGTGCGTCCATCCATGCACCAAAAATTGCTCTCATCTACATCTTGCCTACTACAACTGCTATGTTGATTATACTTTCATCAATTGTGTAACTAAGGTTGCTCTACTGAATGCATATTGTGGATGCTGATTTTGACCTATATTTTACGCTTCATTGACTTGGTTAATAAGAATTGATCTTCTATGTATTTTAGATGAAGAAAAATTGTTGGCATAACTCAGATCTTAGTTACTATAAGTGATACATAGATTATACTTGCATGAATGATCACTCTATAAAGGTTCATCTACTTATTGCATGTTGTATGTTTTAGTGACTTGCATAATAAAAATGCATTGAGTTGGTTAAAAAGTACTTGTTGTCATATACAGTATCATGTTTTTAATGACTTTTTCACTGCGAGTGGGAGATATCGATGACAGCCCCTTTTTTGTTTTTATTGTAACATGCATGTTTTATAATTGAAAAAAATACATGTTTCTTTCATCTATGCATTATATTCACTTATGTCAAACGTTTTGGTCAGGGTACCAACTGACACAATTCTAGAGACATGCTGTCCATCCATTTTCATTTGCTGTGTTTACAGTTATTGTTCGATAGTTTAGTTTCGGTTTTGATATGGTCTAACATTCCATCGATTCTGTACAACTGGTGATACTTTGTCCACAGCTGTCTGTGATTTTGAAGCTGACTTTTGTGGATGGACTCAAGATACCACAGATGATTATGATTGGACGAGGAATAGGAATGGGACAGCCTCAACAGGAACTGGACCTACCTATGATCACACAACAGAGAGTCAGTACGGTAGGTAATATTCTCTGAACACTGGTCTGACCTATGACATCGACATAAAAAATCAACATGGTAGATAACAACCCCCAAACCTATGTGATATTTTGTTCCTGATAACAAAATAATGTGTGTTAATATATTATAGGTTACTACATCTACACCGAGGCTTCTTCACCATTGGTGATGGGTAACAAGGCTCGCCTCATCAGCCCCAACTTCACTCCCCTCGGATCATTAGAGTGTCTGCACTTCTGGTACCACATGTTCGGACAAAATGTCGGCACTCTAAACATGTATGTCCAACCAAGCAGTGGGTCTGCTAAGTTTACCATCTTCTCCCGGACTGGAAACCAAGTCAACTTGTGGCTTTACGCCACAGTCCAGCTAGCTCAGACAATTGACTATCACGTATGTAAACAGTGAGAAATTCTATATGCAGTTCAATTTACTCAGACTTACAAAAATAGTGAAAGACTCTTGATTAGTTACATACCCACACAGATATTGTGTATGGTCATACTGTTGTCTTATCATTTCAATACAGTGATATTTTACATTTGACCTTACAATATCATTTATCCTTATGATCAGATTACATTACATATACAGTGAAATGCAACAATATCATATTAGATCAATTTTTTCTAGTTTGATAAACAAGATCTATTGTATTTTGTTTTAGATTATTTCAGAAGGAGTTCGGGGTAACGGTTACCAGGGAGACATTGCTGTTGATGACATCAGGATTACCCCTGGAAAGTGTAAGCCTGTGGGCATGTGTGACTTTGAGCTGGACACATGTGGCTATGGTAACACACGCACAGGTGATCAGTTTGATTGGCTGAGGTCAGCAGGTGGGACCATCAGTCGTAACACTGGACCTTCCGTGGATCATACCACTAACTCTGACAAAGGTAAGTCAGGTCAAACCAGGAAACAGGAAATATGTTTTTAGGGCTGTACTTTCCAGAGTATTGTTTTATGAGGTCAAGTCGTCGTTTTTAGCTCACCTGGCACGAAGTGCCAAGTGAGCTTATGCCGTGGCGCGGTGTCTGTCGGCTGTCCGTCGTCCGGCCGTCCGGCGTCAATATTGTACTTTAAACAACTTCTTCTTAATAACCAAAAGGCCTAGGGTGTGGATATTTGGCCAGAAGCAAACTGGGATGAAGGGCTCCAAAGTTTGTAAAATTTAATGACCTTCACCCATTTTCAAGGTCACAGGGGTCAAATATGTTAAAAACTTTAAACATCTTCTCAATAACCAAACTGCCCAGGGAGATGATATTTGGCCAGTAGCATGCTTGGGTGAAGGGCTACCAANCTATATTCAAGGTCACAGGGGTCAAATATGTGAAAAACATTAAACAACTTCTTCTGAATAACCAAAATGCACAGGGTGATGATATTTGGCCAGTAGCATGATGGGGTAAAGGGCTATCAAGTTTGTTCAAATGAATGACCTTCACTTATATTCAAGGTCACATGGGTCAAATATGTTAAAAACATTAAACAACTTCTTCTGAATAACGAAAATGCAAAGGGTGATGATATTTGGCCAGTAGCATGCTGAGATGAAGGGCTACAAAGTTTGTTCAAATGCATGACCTTCACCCATATTCAAGGTCACAGGGGTCAAATATGTTAAAAACTTTAAACAACTTCTTCTCAATAACTAAAATGCCCAGGGTGATGATATTTAGTCAGTAGCATACTAGGATCAAGGGCTACCAAGTTTTTTTAAATGAATGACCTTGAATCATATTCAAGGTCACAAGGAGCAAATAAGTTCAAAATATTTAAACAACTTGTTCTGAATAATCAAATGGCTCAGGATGTTGATATTTAGCCAGTAGCATGCTGGGATCAAGGACTTTGTTTGTTAAATTGAATGACTTTGACTTATATTCAAGGTCACAGGGGTCAAATTTGTTAAAATTTTTAAACGTCCTCTTCTGAATAACCATGGGTCCCAGGATGTTGATACTTCGAAGTTGCATCCTGAGATGAAAGGCTATAAAATTTGTTCAACATAATGACTTTGTTCGACTTTCAATCACAGGGGTGAAATGTTTTAAAAAGAATTAACAGGTTCTTTTGAATGAATCTTAATCATAAATACTGATATTTTGCCTGTAGCTTTATTTTAGATCACTTTTAAGGTTACAAGTGTGAGATTTATACCAGGTGAGTGATGCAGGCCCATTGGGCCTCTTGTTTATAATAAAGCTTGATAAAATTAAATTTAAAATTGTTTTACTTGTGTAACAAGACGTGGTCCATACTGCTGCTATGTGATGGATTTTTGTGAAACCTACCTTATTAAACCATTGCATGTGTAAAAGCCATGTTGTTTCCACTTGTTTTAGAGAGCTATGTCACTTGTAGTAATATAAAGGTCGACTGGTCTTCAGAATAAATTTAGTTCAAATCAACCCCATGGGAATAAAAAAAAATGCCTACTATAGAGTCAAAGGTCACTGTAGTCATTATAATGCTCTAATTTTCAACCATTGAATTGAAATAGGGACAATAAGGTATTGTAAACGTAAACTGTTATTATATATATTATAATAGTATTAGCATCAGGAGAAGGGGATGTTAAGGTGTATGAGGTCTCTGGGTAAGGGTCCTGGTTTAAATATGGACGTTCTACCATACCTCCTCTGATATCTTATTCTGGTGGATAAAAAGGAATCTGCAGTTTGTAAAAGTGCAATCATAATAATAATCATGGTAACATTATATTTGGAAGGTCCAAGTATACTATATATACAATGTACAAAATATTTAGTGTACACAAGGGATGAAAATACATTATAGAAAACAATTGATGAACTCCAGCTTTTGTGTCATTGCAGGATTCTACATGCTGGTAAGGGCCAATGGACGCCAAGCAGGGGACCGAGCCTGGTTATACAGCCAATACTTCCCTGCGAGTTCTGCCTCCTGTCTCAGTTTCTGGTACCACATGTATGGCACAGGTAAGTAATACAGTGTATGGTTTGTAAGAATAATTCAAGTCCTGCCTCCTGTCTCATTTTTTGGTACCACATGTCTGGCAGGGGTAAGTAATACACTGAAATTTTGTATTATTGTAATTTCATAATTCCTGTTAAAAGATACTGTCACTTCTGATATTGTATGCCATATAGTTGTGGATACATTTGACTGGTTATTCACTAGATATTGGCTTCCTCCGTGTGTACCAACCCACATCCAATGGAACGCTGTTAGTGTGGAATGCCACTCACAACCAGGGAAATGTTTGGAGACATGCAAAAGTGGATCTTAACAGCACAGTCAGCTATCAGGTGTGTGATCATACGTTTATAAGGAATTCTGGGGAATTTCTTCAATACAATATTGTTAAACAGGGTTGATTACATAATACAGTAATGTATGTCTATATGTCTTCAATAAAACCTAGTGCATTTTTATGGTCATTCTCTTATAAATCTGGGTGGTCTGCTTTATACAAAAATGTCTGTGATCATACTCTATATAAAAAATGTTGGACTGCTTAGTATATGTAAACAATTATTGTATTGCTTAAGATACCGGTGTTAACGAGAGATAACTGTTTTAACAGGTGACATTTGATGGAGAGGTTGGTTCTGGTTACCAAGGTGACATGGCCCTCGATGACATTGCACTTTATCCAGGACACTGCAGTGATCTGACTACAACAGTACCTACTACCGCTGTCGTTAGCACTGTCACTTACGGTAAGTGAAAAGTAACATGTTACACTGTAAGTACCATTGTGGTAGATTTGAGTGGTATACATAGGGGTTACAGTCACCTTCAGGCTAGAGGGAATCCCCGGTAACTCAATCAGTAGAGCATCAGACTCTCTATCCTGTTACACAATGTTCTACCATAAGCTTAAAGTAATGTCACATACAACACATGTTAGTTATCACCTACACATGTCTGTTTTTTATAGCCCAACTATTTACAGTGTAGTCCAATAATGTACAACTCAACTTCCACAAACACTTTTCTTTCGGTCGTAGTTCCTACTATGTATGACTAATCTTTTCCCAGCCTCCCTCTGTGTTTTGTAGCCTCAATTTCATATGTGTGTGCCACAGTTATTTTGACCCTAACTCCCCCTTGCTGTAGGAGCTTGATTGTGTATGAATGACATTTTGACCAAAACAACCCTGTTGCTGTTGTTTGTTTCAGCCCCAACTGTGTATGACTGTAACTTTGACCAGAACACTCTATGTCAGTGGACCCAGGACCAAACAGACATATTTGATTGGACACTCCACCGGGGTCATACAACCTCCTTTGACACCGGGCCTTCTGCTGATCACACCACAGGAAGTGCCAATGGTAAGATTATTTAACTATGAAGCATCAATGATAAGCTTGTATGAATAGCGGTCAAACCACAGGAAGCGTCAACGGTAAGCTTGTTAATATCAGCCATATCACAGGAAGTGTAAACGGTAAGCTTGTTAATATCAGCCATATCACAGGAAATGTCAGCGGTAAGCTTGTCAATATCAGTCACATCACAGGAAGTATCAATGGCTAGCTTGTCAATATCAGTCACATCACAGGAAGTATCAATGGCTAGCTTGTCAATATCAGTCACATCACAGGAAGTATCAATGGCTAGCTTGTCAATATCAGTCACATCACAGGAAGTATCAATGGCTAGCTTGTCAATATCAGTCACATCACAGGAAGTGTAAACAGTAAGCTTGTCAATACCAGTCACACAACGTGATAGTATAAATACTTTAAAATCACATTTTGTTGAAAAAAATGTACTTTACAAACTGTTGGTATGTTGCCAGAACTTAAGTCATTGTGTAACTTATTAGTATGATGTTTGAATTCTGTCGGTTCTTTCTTCAAACAGGCTATTATGCTTACATCGAATCCTCCAGCCGCCATAGCAATGACACAGCACGCTTGATCAGTCAGAATATGGTACTTATGACCAGCGGTAAATGCTTCAAGTTCTGGTACCACATGTACGGAGCAGATGTATACAAGCTGAACTTGTACGCAAAACAAGGTCAGTAGTCGATTGTTAAATTGGTATCATGTTACTTTTGACAAATAGAAATGAAAAAATGATTAAGCAAATTAAGAGGATGTTTCAGCAGATTTAGAAATGTTGGACATGGAACAGGAAAATAATAACAAGTATGATCTCTGATGATGTGTTAAAAAGATCAACCTTCCTGAATTCTGACAACCATCGATTATTTGATAAAGAATTACTTTTAGAACTGATGATTTGCTTTGTTAATACCTTATTTGTAAACATGTAGGTGGAAATATAGGAAATGCGGTGTGGACAAAGATTGGTTACCAGGGTAACTACTGGAAATTTGCATCCGTGTACCTGACTCCTGAAAATCTGCCTACACCATCACCACAAGCCAACATTCAGGTGAACCATTTATCATGATACAATATCAAATAATATCTAAAAGCACATTTCAGTACACTTTTAAATTTAATTTAAGTGCATATAACTTAAGGTCTCTGAATTTCCAGTTTAATTTGTGCAACATAATATGATATTTGTCTAAATGTTTTTTTGTTATCACTTTTAGGTTGTTATAGAAGGAGTTGTTGGAAAGGGTTACCTTGGAGACATCGCTATAGATGACATCTCAGTGAATGATGGCCCCTGTCCTCCTTCTAGTAAGATATATACACACCACTAACACACAAAGTCTAACAAGAATCTCCATCATAGGCAATGCTAATTGGGAGTAAATACTTTGCAAAGTCTCTGACACATAAATTGATACTTAAGATTACTCCCACTCTTGCAGGAAATATTGTACTTCTTGTCAAGTTGAACAATGATATATTTCCAACCCAGGAAAAGACCAGTCTTTTATTCCATGTCCAGTATGACACATTTGATTAAAGCCCAAGTAAGACCTTTGCACTCATCGTCAAATAAGACACCCTGGTTTTCCAGTAAGAAAGTTTTATTTCCTATTAAGTATATACCACCAAATTATCCTGTTAAGTAATGTCAACCTTCCAGTAAGACACAGTTTTGTTCCTGCCCCACTAAAACGCCTTTGTTAACCTTCCAGTAACCTTTCTAGCCAGCTGGACAATTTAGCTCGTCCTCAATTAACACACTCCCCCTCCAATAAGACATTTTTACCTGTCCTCTTGTAAAACTCTTTTACTTTTTACTTTTGTCAGTTTAACAGGCCCAGAACACTCAATGTCAGTGATGTTAATAGTTTTGTATTTACTGGTTACATATGTTTGTCAGTTTAACAGGCCCAGAACATTCAATGTCAGTGATGTAAATAGGTTTGTATTTACTGGTTACATACGTTTGTCAGTTTAACAGGCTCAGAACACTCAATGTCAGTGATTTTAATAGTTTTGTATTTACTGGTTACATATGTTTGAGATGTTTTGTAGATTAGATTTATACAAACACTTGTTACCGTTTCAGGTGTGTGTGATTTCCAGTCTTCCGACATATGCCAATATTCACAAGACACAACAGACAACTTTGATTGGGTGAGAAGATCAGGTGCGACAGAGTCTGTCAGGACGGGTCCACAGGCTGATCACACATATGGCACTAATGAAGGTTTGTACTCAGAAAAAATTGTGTAATTATATGGGGTTTTATTTTATAAAACATCTTAAATGATTGATAAAGAAATTAAATAGTAAACTTGAAGCTATCAAAGATCTCTTGCATTTGTGTTGATTCACTCTATCCCATAACTGTGCCATATAGTGGATGGCTGAATTGACATCGTCAACAATGACGCTTACTCATACATTTATAGAAATGATGAATGTCTGCAGGAATCCTGTTTTTCAGACCACAATGTCCATCCACTATGATACAAATTCAACGTAATGTCATAAATTATGTCACATTATTACTTTGTCCTGAAGATGGCAGACTGAAATATTGTTGACACAAGTGCATATTGTCAAACTGTTCTTGAGGTGTTGAATATCTTTATTCATCATTATACATATTTAAAAATTTTGGAATGAAAATCGGTGATTTAACCTTTTTAATTCAATTAATATCATGTGAATTTAATTGTTTGTCCTTTTGATTTTACACCTAGGTTACTACATGTACATGGAGTCATCTGCACCGCGTGTTCCTGGAGATAAGACAAGGTTGCTGAGTCCAACCTATCCTGCCACCACTGGTCAGTGTCTGACCTGGTACTACCACATGTATGGTACTGGCACAGGTACTCTGGACATCCGACTCTTCTCCCAGGGTCAGCTCAAACCAGCACTATGGAAAAGGGCTGGTAGCCTAGGAAATATGTGGAGAGTAGCCCAGACAACGATCAACAGTGACTCACCATTTCAGGTAATGAGTAGCTCAATCAATGCTCAATAGCAACTCACAAATTGGCTAACCTGTAGCTAGTAGCTCTAATCAATGGTGATACACTACTTTGGGTTACAGTTTATAAGAAGCTCAAAAAAACTCTATGATGGCTCGCTATTCTTTAATCTTTAGACTTGTAATAGTATAAACAACACTCATTAGTTACTATTCCAGGTTAAGATTTGCTCAAACAAAATTGAAAAGTGACTCATAATATATTTAAAGAATTACTCAAACAATACTCCAAAGTAACTCAGTATTCCAGGAAAGGTGTAACTCAAACAATACTCAGTAGTGACTCATTTTCAAGGTAGAGAGTATGTCACAGCACTCAATGGTTGCTGAAGAATTGCTCAGCCCACTAGTAATAGACGCCACTATTCCATCAAGATTAGCTCTAGCAACACTTAATGACTCACAATTCTAGATACAAAGGTAGTTCAGATAACATATCATAATTTATAGTGGTTCACATTAGACGAATTGTATTTGGGATTTCCTCTTCTTTAATATGAAACTTGGGCCCCTTTCGCATATCTGCTTCAACCAGTTGAAACGGTTGAACCTAGAAAGAAAATGACAGGTGCAGATCTGAACCGACGCTGACCTCAGGAAAAGGCATGTGTACTGTGAAGATTAATTGAGGGGTCCAGACATGCCTGACCGAAAGTAAAATGCTGACTGATGCTAGTTTGCATTATTTCTTTATAAAACAAGGTCAATTGCAATCCACATGTACATTTTAAGATAAGTTATATATTTTAGTGGATGCATGAAAGAAGTGCATAATATTCTTGATACATTGTTATTTATTCTCCGAAACTGCATTTTTTGCTCTGCCTATAGTTTGGTGGAAGTGCGTTTGTTTATCGTGGAATATTTCTACACCACCTGAACTGTTTCAACTGGGATACGCGAATGTACCTTTATTTTCAGTTCAACACTTGTAAAATTTGATCAAGTTTTGTGATTATATTGGTTTTAACATTTGATTTTCTGATTTAACCAGATTGTGTTTGAGGCAATAAGAAGACAGCAAAATGGAGATATTGCCATTGATGACATTTCCATAAGGAATGGACCCTGTGCCGGACCTGCAGATTGTGACTTTGAATCAAATCTCTGTGCGTGGAGCAATGAGCAAGGATCTGCTGATGATTTTGATTGGCTGAGGAACAAAGGCGACACAACAAGTACACAAACAGGACCGTCTGTAGATCATACCCTGGGTACCAGAGAAGGTACAGCTATACTATAGATCACATTGGATAACAATAGATACTACTAGTACTATTTATTATCCCCCGCTTTCACCGCAAAACGGGGGATATTAATTTAGGTTTGTCCGTCTGTCTGTCACGCTTCGTTTCTGTGCAAGAACAGCAACAAATGTTAACCGATTTTCTTCAAACTTGGTAACAGGGTTAAATGCCTTAAGGGCTTGGCCAAGTTTGATGACCACTTTTAGCAGACTTTATTCGCAGAGTTGTGCCCCTTGAATAATGAAAAACGTCATTATCTGCCGTTTCTGTGCAATAACTGAAACAAATAATAACCGATTTTCTTCAAACTTGATACCAGGGTTAAATGCCTTAAGGGCTCGTCCAAGTTGAGTGACCACTTTCAGCGAACTTTATTTAGCGGAGTTATGGCCCCCTTTAATAACAAAAAGTGTCATTATCTGCCATTTCTGTTCATTAACTTGCAAATATTATCTGATTGTCTTCAAACTTAGTAACGGGGTTAAATGTCTCAAGAGCTTGACCAAGTTCGATGACCACTTTCAACTCACTTTATTTGGCGTAGTTATGGCCCCATGATTAACCAAAAACATCATTATCTGCAGTTTCTGCTTAATAACTCTAGCAAATATTAGCCAAGTTCCTTCAAACTTGATAACAATGTTTGTGTTCCTCTGTCTTTCCATGCACCCATCTTGGGCATTCTTTGGTTTTCGTGTGATAATTGCTGTAGATATTGTGCAGATATTTCAACCAAATTCCGTATGCACATCCGACTCATGCTAAGTTTGTCAACAGAAGTGATTTGTGCATATTTACGGATAATTAATGATGTTAGTAAATTCTGATGGATTAAACGATTAATTTACACTGTAATACCTACATGTTCAAGAAAAAGTCAAACATCTGTATAACGCTATTTTTGTCTTCCAGTTTCAAGCTATACATATTATGTCTCAACAGCCTATACTCACATGTTTAAACATAATCTCAATAATGTTTACCTACAATATGTCCTGCAAGCGGATATATAAATTCCACAAATTTGCTTGTACTATCTCATTATGAAAAAACACTTGGAAAAAGGTTATTAAAGATCACACTGGATAAAAATAGATACTTCTATATATACTATTTTATTATGTAAAAAAAAACTTGGAACAGAAGGATGGTTGATTACATTTTGGCACAAACTATGAGTGATATTCCATGTTTTGACCAAAAGTGAAGCATTTGATCATTTTCACTTAAAAACTTCTTTATATCATAGCCCTATTTTTGAGATATATCCTTCATTCCTCAGATATAAATAGCAATATTTCATTTTGTAGGATGGTATGTGTACATGGAGGCCTCTGCACCCCAGAGGAATGGTGACAAGACTCGCCTTACTTCAAGTCTCCTTCGACCTACTAGAGCCTCATGTTTCTCTTTCTGGTACTTAATGCATGGCAAACAAATTGGGAATCTGAATTTGTACCTAGATGCCTCAACATTACACACCAAAATCTTCAGCGTTAGTGGAGACCAGGGCACCAGCTGGCTACAGGCCAAGATCAATGTGACCAGCTTACGCTACTTCTCCCTAATTCTGGAAGGCATTGTTGGAGCAGGCGTCAATGGGGATATTGCTCTGGACGACCTGCTGCTGACCAGTGGGGCCTGCCCCCCTGCTGCTGCCACCGCCCAACCTTTCCACTGTGGTAATCAACAAATTGCAGCCACAAAGGTGTGTGACTTTGTCACTGACTGCTCTGATGGCACAGATGAAAAGCTATGTGGAAATTGTACTTTTGAACATAATTTATGTGGCTGGACAGACAACAGCATGGGATCATATCGTTGGGAGGTTCAACAAAATGGGACTGAGACAGCCAACACGGGGCCATCTAGTGACCACACTCTTGGGTCTTCCAAGGGACACTATATATATGTGGATGCCAGCAATGGTAGACTGAACAGCAGGGCATACTTTATCAGCCCCACTCTACAGCGCTCAGCAGCTACCTGCCAGCTGTCCTTCTATTACCACATGTACGGCTCTGGCATCGGAACGCTGTCTGTTGATCTCAACCTCAACGGTCGCAGAACCATGTTATGGCAGACAAGAGGTGGCCAAGGCAACAAGTGGATTCAACATACTGTGAATATTGGCCACATCAACTCTCCTTTCCAGGTAGAGTTTGGAGCCACTAGACGGTTTTCTGTACTAGGAGATGTTGCCATTGACGATGTGTCTATGATAAATTGTGCTCTTCCCCCAGCTCAGGCAACTTGTGACCCTGTAACCCAGTTCCGTTGTACACGGGGAGCATGCGTAGACAAAAGTCAAGTTTGTGACTACACTGATGACTGTGGAGATGGTAGTGATGAATCATTGACTGCATGCAAGAACGTTACATCAAGGTGTTCCTTTGACTCTAATATATGCGATTGGAAGCAGGATAAACAGGACGTTTTTGACTGGACTATTCATCGGTCAAGACTCCCTATATCATCTGCAACCGGGCCAACATTTGACCACACCACTGGAACTGCGTCAGGTGGTTACATGTACATCAGAACATTCTACCCTCGTCGACCAAATGACAATGCTGTCCTGATGAGCCCTGTGTGGCACTCTAGTCCTAACTGTATCTTTACGTTCTACTTCAACATGAATGGCAGAAACATGGGGAGTCTCAATGTGTATCTCAGAGACAATTCTAATAACTTATCAAAGATTTGGTCAAGAAGTGGGAACCGTGGCAATATTTGGGAGAAGGCTGTGATTCACGTACAGGGTATGTCTGATCTCCAAGTACTTGTGGAGGGAGTAACAGGCAGGGGCAATTTTGGTGTAATTGGTATAGATGACGCTGTGTTTAGTTCAGGATGTCAAAAGTCCAGTCAAACCTTCCCTAATGGAGTCACCATCCCACCAACCATTCCCACCGTCAGTCCTTGTGGAGTTGGAATGTTCATGTGTACCAAGGACAAATCCTGCATCACCCAGGCAAAGGTATGTGACTTCAGCCAAGACTGTAGTGACGGGTCAGATGAGGGCTTCTGTGGGCCGTGTAACTTTGAAGCAGGCAGCTGTGGCTGGCTTGATATCAGCACAGGCAAATACAACTGGACCATCCATACTGGGGCAGGCAACTCACCATCAGGCACAGGCCCATCTGTCGATCACACTCTTAACACCAACCAGGGCCATTATGCATATGTAGAGGGAACCAGGGGTGTATTCTACTCAAAGGCGGTCCTGCAGAGTCCAGTCCTGCCCCGCACATCTGACTCATGTGAGATCCACTTTTGGTACTCTATGTACGGCTCCAGTGTTGGCACACTAATTGTGTCTGCTTTCGTCAATAACACGGAACGTGTGTTAACAACAATTCACGGCTCTCAGGGTATCGGCTGGCATCAGGGATCCACTTACCTAGGAAGAATGCTTGGTGCCACTAACAACGGCACTATGATAAAGTTTGAAGTTCTGCCTGCTCGTGGATTTTCTGCCTCAAACACTGCTGACATTGCTATTGATGACATCACTTTCGACAACTGCAAACCTAATGCTGTCCTACCCAACATCTCATGTTCTTTTGATAGTAATTTATGTGCCTGGACCCAAGCATTGGATGATGACTTTGACTGGAGCCGACAAAATGGTACCACCAGCAGTGTTGGTACTGGACCCAGTTCTGATCACACTTCAGGACATGGCTCATATATCTACATCGAAACATCCAGTCCCAGACGAAGAGGTCAAGTGGCCATCTTAGACAGCCCTGCTTTGCCCCCCACAGACAGCCAAGGTCACTGCCTGTCCTTCTGGTTCTACATGTTTGGTCCCACTATAGGAAGTCTGGACATCTACCTAACAACACAAACAAATCGCACTCTCTTCTGGTCACGGAATGGCACCCAAGGTGACCAGTGGCTACAGGCCCAGCGCCAGATCATCAGTCCTACAGATTACCACCTCTCTGTGTATGGCTACGTTGGCAACGGATTCACAGGGGACATTGCGCTTGATGATTTTGGTGTTACTGCAGGACCCTGCCCTCCCACTCGAGGTTGTAATTTTGAGAATGGGTTCTGTGGATGGACCCAGTTGGTTACAGACGAATTTGATTGGTCAATAGGAAGCAATGGAACAGCTTCCAGAGGTACTGGTCCTACTTTTGACCACACATTTGGATCCAACTCTGGACATTTTGCGTACATCGAAAGTTCAGCACCCAGGAGGCAGAATGATAGAGCAATCATAAAAAGCCCCCTATATAGTGGAACTAACAACCGATGTCTGCGTTTCTGGTACATCATGTACGGACAGAGTGTTGGCTCTCTCAATGTGTACACCCAGATAAACGGATCATTTCCCAGACAAGTGTGGACCAGAAATGGCAATCAAGGTAATATGTGGCGGCGAGGTACCGTTACTTTGGCTTCCAACCACCTTTCTTACAGTGTTTTAATCGAGGGAGTAAGAGGGTCCAGCTACACAGGTGACATAGCGATTGATGACCTGTACATCGCTGATGGAAGGTGTCCTACCACCGGCTTCTGTAACTTTGAACAAGACACATGTGGCTGGACGAATGCAGTCACGGTTGATAATTTTGATTGGCTGAGGGACAATGGTGGAACCCCAAGTAAGGCCACAGGTCCTCGTGTTGACCATACCACAGGCTCCTCAACTGGTCATTATATGTACATTGAAACCACCCACAGGGGCCCCCTACGACAGACTGCCTGGCTTGTTAGTGATATATTCACTCCTACCTCTGGTAGCAGTTGTTTAAAATTCTGGTACCACATGTTTGGATCTGGTATCGGCAGCTTGAATGTGTACACACAGAACACAGGAGCTAACACCAAGTCATTGACATGGTCACTATCTAACAACCAAGGAAACGTATGGAAGCAAGCTACTGTGGCTATACCGCCAATTAACCAGGAATTTAATATAATTTTTGAGGGAGTCTATAATGGAAGTTACCTTGGAGATATTGCCATTGATGATGTGGCTTATGTTGGATCGCCATGTAGTGCTTACATATCAACCACAGCTGCTGCACCCACTGTGTCTTCTTCACCATCTGCATACCCTAGTACACCACTTGACTGTAACTTTGAGCATGGCATCTGTAATTGGCAACAGGACGCGACAGACAATTTTAATTGGTCACTTCACAGAGGTTCTACAGCTTCTACCAGCACTGGGCCAACCACTGACCACACATTACGCAACACTAATGGACAGTATGTTTACATTGAGGTGTCGGGTAAACACAATAACGACAAGGCCAGACTGCTCAGCCCTATCCTAAACATTGGATCTCAAGGAATGTGTCTTAAATTCTGGTATAACATGTATGGTGCCAATGTTAATCGTCTCAACATATACACCAATTCCTCTGGGGTTGCCAGCTTGGTCTGGACAAGGTATGGTGACCAAGGATTGGACTGGAAGTATACCCAGGTTCACATAGAAAATACTGGCAGATCTGTGTTGGAGTTTGAAGGTGTAGCAGGAACTCGCTATGCTGGTGATATTGCCCTGGATGATATCACAGTCAACACTGGCCAGTGTCCACAAGATGGCACATGTGACTTTGAAAATGGACTTTGTGGCTATGTTCAGTCAGTGAGTGATGTGTTTGACTGGTCTCTAAAATCTGGGCGCACATCAAGTGCTAACACCGGTCCACAAACCGATCATACGTTTGGTACAAATGAAGGCCACTACATGTACATTGAATCTTCCCGACCCCGCCGTCCTGGTGACAAGGCACGTCTAGATACGCCTAAGTTCAGTAAAACCACGGCTTCCTGCTTCCAGTTCTGGTACAATATGAATGGCAGGACCACTGGTCGTCTCAATGTGTACCAGCGAGCAATTTCAACAACAAACCTTGGCCAACCAATCTGGAAGCGAAGTGGCCCACAGGGCCCTCACTGGTACCTGGCCCAGGTCACTGTTAGAAGCCAAACAGACTTCTTCCTGACATTTGAGGGAGTGGTAGGAAGCAGTTTCTACAGTGATATATCTATAGATGACATCACCATGACTACCGGATACTGTCCACCTCCAGGCTCTTGTGACTTTGAGACAGGATTTTGCACTTGGTTCAATAATCAGGTCAATGATACATTTGATTGGCAGAGGAACAAGGGACCAACAGGATCCTCAGGCACTGGACCTACAGTAGACCACACCCTCAACAGCAGGTATGGAACTTACATCTATATAGAGGCTTCCTCTCCCAGGCACTCTCGTGACAATGCCTACCTGATGTCTCAGATGTTCACTCCACAACAAAGGTGTATACAGTTCTATTACAATATGTATGGTAATTCTATGGGCACCCTCAACCTGTGGATTTGGCAGAACGGAGGACAAACATCCCGTAACTTGTGGACCATGGTGGGGAATCAAGGCAATGCCTGGAAACAAGTCCAGATACAAATAGCTGCTGCATCTTCCAGTTACAGACTGGTCTTTGAAGGAATTGTTGGTAATGGAGTGACCAGTGATATGGCCATTGATGATATAACCGTTGCACCTGGGTTGTGTTCGCAGATACCAACCCCAACTACAGTGGTTGCATGTGCATTCCACTGCAAGAACAATTCCAGTCAATGTATCAGCAGCGCTCAGGTGTGTGACTTTAACAATGACTGTAGTGATGGTAGTGATGAGTCTACTTGTGGTTATTCCTGCGACTTTGAGACAAACGGAGCCTGTAAATGGACTAATGGCACAACTGCCCAAACCAGTAGGTTTGCATGGAAGCGCCAGCATGCCCAGTCACTATCTAATAATGCTGGACCTACCAATGACCACACCACCCTGGGGCCAAATGGTTATTACTTGTATGTCGAACCTGTTGCCGGCCAGAGGTATAATCGTGCCAACCTACTCAGTCCTGTCCTGGGTCAGGCTGCCAGCACCTGCCAGCTGTCCTTCTGGTATCACATGTATGGCACTTCCATTGGATCACTTACAGTATACATGAGAGAGGGTAGCAGCACTTCCAGCACTCGACTATGGAATATTGCAGGTGACCATGGTAACAAGTGGAACCAGGCAATAGTACCTGTTGGCCGTGTAAGGAACAGCTTTTATCTGTACATTGCTGCTCAGCGCACATATAACACCATTGGCGATATTGCCATAGACGACATACAGTTCCAAGGTTGTTCTCTACCCTCTGTGACTAGCTCCTGCAATACCTTTAACCAGTTCCGGTGCACCCGTGGGTCATGTGTGAGCTCAAGTCGAGTTTGTGACTTCACTGATGACTGTGGGGACAACACTGATGAGACCAACTGCACAAGTTACAACAGGTGCGACTTTGAAAAGGGAATATGTGATTGGACACAACTTACTGATGATGATTTTGATTGGTCATTGCGAGCAGGATCAACACCTAGCTTGAAGACAGGGCCAGCAAAGGATCACACTTTAAACACAGCCAGTGGACACTATCTGTACATTGAGACATCACGTCCACGCACACAAGGACAGAAAGCCAGAATTGCCAGCAGATTCTTTACAGGCACTCCCACCACACCTTTCTGTGTGATGAGAATCTACTACTTCATGTACGGACAGACTGTTGACACTCTAGCTGTCTACAAGAGGTCTAAGGTTAATGGTCCTCTGACACCCCTTTTCAGTTACAAAGGCCAGGTCGGAGAGTTTTACGCTAGACGAGAAGTTGCCATCCAGGCAAATTCGCCATTCCAAATAGTCATTGAAGCCACAGTTGGAAGTTCCTACCTAAGTGACATTGCTATTGATGATGTATCATTCTCGAAGGAGTGTGTGCCGTTTAATGGGGCTGTGCCCACAGGTACACCAGGCAGCAGTGTAGGTACTACTGTCGGACCCTGCGGCTCTGGCCGCTGGCAGTGCACCAACAGGAAGTGTATCCTGACAAGTCAACGTTGTGACTTTGTAGACAGTTGTGGGGATGGATCAGATGAGGCTATGTGTGGGGCATGTACCTTTGAGGGTTCCACATGCGGCTGGTCAGACCTCAGCACAGGACGTTACATGTGGGAGCGGCACAACGGATCTACGTCATCACTCATATCCGGTCCATCAGTTGACCACACGTATGGGAGTTCTCGCATCGGCAATTACATGTTTATTGGCTCCTCTAAAGGATCCTCATATGGCAAAGCCGAACTTGCATCTCCAAACAGTTATGGAAACTTGGCTGACACCTGCCAGATCAGCTTCTACTATTACAAGACTGGTGCCACCACTGGCTCCATGAAGCTGTATCTTGTGCCCCCCACTGTGCTACCCAATGCTAACACAGGAAGACTTTTGTTGTGGTCTGTGTATGGTGACCATGGCTCTAAATGGAATTTGGCTTCTGTAGGAATAGGTCGTCGCACTCCAGGATATCGTTTGGTGTTTGAGTCTGTATATCAAAATTCTGGTGATATGGCTATTGATGACATCACTTTTGCCAGCTGTGCTCTTGGAGGAAATTCTACAGGTGGAGTATGTGCTTCCAATCAATTTGCATGCCAGCGTGGATCTTGTGTTGACCAATCATTGCTGTGTGACTTTAATGATGACTGTGGTGATGACTCAGATGAACAGCAATGTACAAAATATGTGCAACGATGCAACTTTGAAACTGACCTTTGTAATTGGTCACAAGATGATACTGATGACTTCCAGTGGACGTGGAAACAAGGAAAAACAGCCACAGCTAGAACTGGACCGACAAATGACCACACGTACGGTAATCCAACTGGACACTATTTCTTCATCGAAACTTCTTCTCCAAGAAGATTAGGTGACAAGGCCCGACTGAAAAGTGTTGTATTTTCACCTAACTCACAAAGTACATGCAGGATACGATTTTTCTATTACATGCATGGTGTAGATGTGAATACACTGAATGTGTATACAGAGGGCTTTGAGAGTGGACCACTTTCTCTGATCTGGAGTAAGAATGGATCCCAGCCAGATCAATGGATGAGGGCAGATATACCATTAACCAGTTCCTCAACCTTCCGCGTTGTCATCGAAGGTGTGCGAGGTAGCTCCTATCACGGTGACATTGCAATTGACGACGTGTCATTCACACCTAGCTGCCAGACCGTCCAGTATGCAACTCTGCCTTTCATACAGACAACAGCTGGCCCATGTGGGTCAGGTAAGAGACAATGCAACAATGGCCAATGTGTGCCCTGGGCAGCCTTCTGTGACTTTAAGCAGGACTGCTCAGATGGAAGCGATGAAGCAAGTTGCCCCTGGCTGTGCGACTTTGACACTGGAGATTTCTGCCACTGGACAAATGACCGTATGAATCGGTTCAATTGGACATTGGGGACAAACATGAACCCAACAGCATCTAGTAACCCAGGACCCAGTACTGACCACACCCGCGGGACCTCAGCAGGGTCATATGCTATAGCAGAGGCACCGCATAACACTCCTAACTCTGTTACAAGATTAGACAGCCCCCTTTACCATCAATCAGGGAAAACCTGTGTCTTTTCTATGTGGTTCCAAATCAATGGTGGAAATTTCCGCTCCTTCTCAGTTTTCCTCAGCTCTAGAGGAAAGGAGAGCCAACTTTGGTCGATGGACATGAGAGCACTAAAGGCCATGCCCAATGGTACCTGGACACAGATTCAAACAAAGCTGCCATTATGTGCCTCAGACTTCCAGATATTTTTAGAGGTACGGACATATGGCAGAAAGGCCGGCTACATTGCAGTAGATGACTTGCAATTCAAGGGTTGTTCCTACCCTGCCCCCACTGCCACCTGCTTACTAGGACAATTTACATGTGGATCCGGTCATTGTGTACCACAGAACTTGAAATGTGATTACCAACATGACTGTTGTGATGGCACGGACGAGTCAGCCCAGACTTGTGATGGATATGGACAGTGTGACTTTGAGTTAAATACTTGTAATTGGCAGCAGCTTACCAATGACCAGTTTGATTGGCAGCGACACAGAGGTAAAACGTCTTCCTTCTTGACTGGACCATCACAGGACCACACCACTGGGACCACCTCTGGGTATTACATGTACATTGAGAGTTCCTCTCCACAGAAGGCTGGTGACACTGCCAGACTCGGGTATTTCCTTCCTGTACCCACATCACCATGTGCTCTGCGCTTTTGGTACCACATGTATGGCCAGCAGGTTGGAGCACTGAATGTATACATGAACTCCATTGGTAGCAGAGGACTGGTGCTGCTGGACAACATAACGTCAGACCAGGGTAATGTTTGGAAGCGACACGAGGTCCCACTCAGCAGTACCACTCCTTACCAGGTGATTATTGAGGGTGTAATAGGATTGGGCTACCATGGTGATATTGCTATCGATGACATATCATTCACACCAGGATGTGGGGCCACACAGACTCTCCAACCCACCCCAAGTGTCAACCCTTGCCCCAACAACGGCTTTCAATGTGGTGACAATACATGCATTGACAGTGCCAAGGTGTGCAACTTCAAGATCGACTGCAGCGATGGCTCAGACGAAAATAAGTGTACATCCTCTTGTCAGTTTGAGCAAGGCATGTGCAAGTGGAAGGAGACATCACCAGACACATTTGACTGGACTCGCGGAAGTGGAGGCACAACTAATGCCATTAGGACCATGGCACCAAGCACTGATGCAAACTACCAGAACCAAAATGGATACTATGTGTTCATCAAGGATGGCACGAATGGACACCCTGTGGGAAAGACTGCTGAGCTGACGAGTCCCACATACGTGTCATCCAATGCCCAGTGTCTGATACAGTTCTCTTACTACATGAATGGTAATACCCCCGGCACGCTCTACCTCTACCTCATAGAGAATGGGTTGAGAGTGATACTATGGCACCAGACAAAAGCCCAGGGTGACCAATGGAACACAGTCACTGTCGGCGTAGGACGGCATGCAGCCTCCTTTAACTTCGTCTTTTCCAAGAAGACCCGTACATACAGTGGTGTGACAGCCATCGACAACATTAAGTTCCTCAACTGTAAGATGAAGCCACCAGTACTGACTTGTCCCAATAGCCAAACATCACACTTCTGGTGTCAGAACAAAGTATGTATATCTCGCAATAACCTGTGTGATCTCACTGACAACTGCGGCGACAAATCGGATGAACAAAACTGTAATAGTTATAAACAGTACAGCTTTGAATCAGGAGGCATTCGAGATCTGATCCAGGGCAGTAACAGTGTAGATGATGATTTTGATTGGCTAGTGTGGAATGGAAGCTCACCATCCATGTTCACAGGACCCCTCTGGGATCATACATTTGGCAACCAAAATGGTCACTACCTCTACATGGAGTCTTCCCACAGGAAGTTCAACCAAAAGACATGGTTACTGACAAAACCTTTCTACAGAACAAATGGACACCAATGTCAACTTCGTTTCTACTTCTACATGTACGGACAGTTTGTAAACCAGCTCAATGTACACTACAGAGTGTACAACTCCGGCCCTCCCACCAAAACCCTGTTCACCCGGTCAGGAAACCAGGGTGCCTACTGGCAGAGAGTGAACCTGAACATCAATGTCACACAAAGCTTCCAAATCATCTTTGAGGCGAAGGTTGGAGACACATTCCTGGGAGACATTGCTATTGATGACTTGTCATTTACTCCAGACTGTCAGTATGCGGGAGAGAACCTGCCTAATCCACCACAGACCCCAGGTGTCACCACCAACACACCTCCTGTGACTGTGCCCCACACCTGTAATGCAGCCACCCAGTTTAACTGCCACTCCGACGGTCAATGTATTGATAAGACCAGTGTTTGTGACTTCAAGGCCGACTGTAACGACACTTCTGATGAGGCAAACTGTGGTATGTATACATCTAGTAACCTTACTTTAATGACAAGTCTGATGCATATCTGTGAAACTATTTCATGTAGCATCTCACTTAGTATAATTCTGTCATGCATGGCACTACAATGTATAATTGTATATCCGGTAACTTGTATCTATTGTGATAAATGAGGGAAACATTTATAAATGTTCTACAACTGTATGTTCTGTAGTCTATATCTATGATGACTTTGATGAGTGCAACATTTATAAATGTACTATAGTTGTATATNTGTAGGACTCAGGTGACCGTTAAGGCCCATGGGCCTCTTGTTATCTTTAGTGGGTTTGATGTGTATTATTTGTGTCTTTCACTGTAGCCTCCCTCTACTGTGACTTTGATGAGGGCAATTTGTGCGGCTGGATGATCAACACAACAAGTACAGGAGTGTCTGACCAGGATTACAAGTGGAAACTTGACCATGGAACAACAATCAGCACCGGAGACTTGCGGCCCTCCAATGACGAGTCGACTAACTCTCCAACAGGGGGTTACGTTTGGGCCGACAGTTCTCCTGGATCCTTCCATGACACAACAGAACTGTATTCACCCATGATAGGGAAGACAGGACCACAATGTTCATTCAGTCTCTTCTACTGGATGCAGGGTCCATCAGTCAATGCACTTGATGTTTACACACTCTTTGATAATCAACAAAATCATCTTTTCACAATCGAAGGTGACCATGGGGCAAAATGGAATATGATAAATATATTCATTGGTGCAAAGTCCAATTACCAGGTGATTATCCAGGCACGTCGTGGTAGGAGTTTCCGAAACGACATCTCACTAGACAGCCTGCAGTTTCTGGACTGTATGCCCCCGGCTCACGCTCCAGCTGGATGTCCGCCACAGATGTTCTCTTGTCGCAATGGTTACTGTATTGCCCCAGAGAAGCAATGTGACTATGCAGATGACTGTGGAGATGGCTCAGACGAATTTGTAAGCTCCAACATAAATACTTGCTGGTTTCTTCCATTTTAATTGTCTTCTTTGAGTTGATGCACTCTGCATTATTTATATGCTATAAAAGATGAAATGTTGTATGTTTAAGTGTGTGTTTGGCAGATTTTTTTTTAACTGTTCTGCTTTGTATGATAAGCATTCATTATAGTAATATTTTCGTATTTTATATGAGACAAACACTTGATAACATCTACATGATAACAAAGAACAATGTTGTAGATACAGAATGTTTTCTTTTCTATATTCCTGATATATCAGTGTGCTTTTGGTCAGATTGTATCCAGTTTTTTGGTTCACTACTCTTGGAACATAAGATAATACCTAGCCAGTTCTTTTGGCACTTAGTCATCTAACAAATGTATTATATCTCTGAACACCAGTTTTGGATCTAACACTATTATTACCACTAGTCTTACAGCTAGTTTAACATCCAGTTATTTTGACCCATTTTCTTGATAGTCAATGAGTTTTCAATTACATTCAAAAACATTTGATGTTTCGCTTTTGTTGACTAAGTGGTGATCCAATGATATTGTGATCCAGTGATATTGTGATCCAGTGATATTTACTTCAGAATTTGTACTGTTGTTAACAGGTTGTTCAGTGTGATCAGATATACAAGGCCAGGTGTAATTTTGAAAATGGCATTTGTCCTCAATGGTCAAACGAGGTTACAGACAACTTCAACTGGACACTATCTACCTCTAACACGCAGACTATTGGTACCGGACCTCTTACTGACCACACACTGAGAAGTTCTAAAGGTGATCTTTTTAACCTGCATCCTGCTGAATTATGCACTCTGGATTTTAAAACAAATTTGCATTGTATAATTTGACCGGTTTCATACTTACCAGTACTGGTAACTATATATAAATGATATTACTCTTCTTGTTTAAAGCTGTAAAAGAGGTAAAAAGTTCCAATATTTAGAGCAGTGTATGTGAGTTTATACATTTGTTTGTAGGAACATACTTATACATAGAAAGTTCCAGTCCCAGGAAGGAGGGAGATAAAGCTCGCCTCGCCTCTGTTGTTATCAAGGGAACCTCACAGAACTGTCGTGTGAGTAATCTTCCTTAACTCATTTAAACCTGAAATTTCAAAATGAACTGTTTCAACCTTTGAATTGGAATAATTCAAAATGTGTCTTCAGGGTTGAAACGACTTAATGCTTGCATTTACATTCCTATTTCACTCTGAGGTTATAGAGTTGAGAACAATTTTGAAAATGTATATCTAAAATTTGTATGTATACAATTGCCATGCCAGTTATTACAATAAAACATGGTGGCACTTAATGCAAAGTGAATGTTACAATGAAAATATTCCTTTCAACCCTTATATACACCTATATTGCTTGAATGACATCAATGTTATTGTGATATAATGACTCTATGGCGAGACATAGCTGTTACCCGTTTGAATAATAATAATAATCTGCTCACCCTTCCCCAACCATTGCAACACTTGGGACTTACTTATACCTTTTTTCTTCCTAATCTTACAGCTTTTTCTTTTAGGAGGTCTCAATTTTATAGGCAACCATTTTAAAACACAAAACAAAACCTTGAAAAACATAGGTATATGTTAGTATTACCAGGAGTTCAGAATTGATTCTTGAATGTTACTACATGGAGTTAGGGAGTGAAACATACTTTACCTGAATTTATGAAGGAAACATGGTTTTTATCCCTCCCCCCCCCAAAAAAAATAATTATGGGATATAGCTATCAAACAGGGTGTCCATTCGTTCTTCTGTCCATGGTGTTTGTGTGGATGATAAGTTAAGAACAAGTGACCATGTGACCATGTGACCAAGTGACCATGTGACCATGTGACCAAGTGACCATGTGACCATGCAAAGATCAGACGTGGTGTGTTGGTTGCCATATGATGTGAAGAACCTTTCACCTTTGCTAAAAAAGAATGTTTGAGCATATGTCTGCACTTAAGAACTAATGACCATACAACGCTCAAACTTAATGTGTTGGTTGCCATAGTGGATACAAAGAATGGTATTGATATTGGGTATGTCCACCAGAGCTCAAGGTCACCATTGCTAGAAATATGATTTGCTCCCTTAGTGAAACATCAGGGTCACATTTTCTTAAAGTAAAACTGCATTGGTTGTTAGTGTAATACGTATATGGATCATTGTACAAAATCTACATTTCAAAGTACGCAGAGAGTCGGGAACACATCCACAAAGAATTATTGTAAAACAGCTTATACAAGTTTGTGCATGATTTTCCTGCCTTCCTTGAACACAAATACATGATGGGTTGATAGCAAACCCTGCATGTGACTTTTTTCAGGTGGGGGTTCCTCGCTACTACTTGAGTTAGGAATGAAACATGTTTGATTTTTTCCTCCAGGCAAGGCTGTGGTACCACATGTGGGGCCAGGATATTGGCAACCTTACTGTACTGAAACGCTATGGGTACAATCAGGGTGACCTTCAGCCACTTGGCATGCTCCAGGGTAACAAAGGCGATTTCTGGAGCCCCTTAAAAATCCTTGTATCAAATGATCCAGGGGACACCAGGAATTACGAAGTAAGTGTATAGATACTTTGTTTAATCTCGGTACATAAATGAATGAAATCTGCACATTTCATTAAGACTACAGACAATTCTTCAATTATGATTGGCTGATGTTTTCTGGACAATTGATTTTTTTGTGTGACTATGTATAGATTTTCATGTTTGTTGAATGTGTATGTAAAGCCGGAGTCAAATAATGAAACTTATTATGAGGTCACCTATTCTTCCTCAATTCTGATTGGTACAGGCTTTTATTCAGTATTATGTTTGGTTGTACAATGTTAGTTTCCAGACTAAGTTCTAATCTGCAAATTTAATGAAGTTGTTGTCACTCTTTCAACTTGATTAGTTGATGCTTTCTAAGCATATTTAAATGTTACTGCATATATGTGCACATCACGAAGGAAATTAATGCCATGTATTTGCTTGTCAGATTATTGTTCAAGCCACAGTAGGAGCTGGTTATCATGGTGATATTGCCATTGACGATATTTCCCTCTCACCAGGATGCGAACTAACAAATAGTAAGTACACATTCTATTATATTCTGTCAAATAATTTCAACTTGCATGTAGTTAAAAAAAAGTAAATCTGCTGCTATTGTTTAAGTGATGGTACTTATCACAGTGAATACTTTCTATACATGATGGTACATATCTTCAATAAAAACACTACTGTTTCTGAAAAAGGAATGATGGTTCTTATAATCAGTGAACACAACATTTTTTGAAAACATAATGATGGTACTTATCATTAGTGAACACAACTGTTTCTGAACAAGGAAAGATGGTACTTATAATTAGTGAACATTGATATTTCTCTACACAGCTCTTTTGCCGGGAACCCCAACCTCAGCTCCTCCTGTTACTGGGTCATGTGGTACAGACAGGTACGCCTGTACTAATGGAAATTGCTATGGACCAGCAGAGACATGTAACTTCATTGACGATTGTGGGGACAATACTGATGAAGTATCATGTGGTAAGTGATATATATCGGAATGAGCTGTCACCCACCACATCACTTGTCTGACTCTGCTAATGTGGCATTCTGTTATATGTAATAAAACTTTCTTATGTTTGTTTGTAGGTACTGGATGTACCTTTGAGACGGGGGCTAGCTGGTGTGGCTGGAAAAATTCCGAACAGGACAATGCTGACTGGCGTCTACAGACTGGACAAACCCCAAGCAAACAGACTGGACCTCTAAATGACCATACTACCAACAAGACATCAGGTACACGTGAAATACTGCACAAAATCCACTGTATAAAATACCCATCCATTATACACCAGAACAAAAACTGTGTTTAGGGGGTATATAGCCATGTGTTAGGAGTATCTAACCATATGTTTAGGGGTATGTAGCCATGTGTTTAGGGGTATGGAGCCATGTGTTTAGGGGTATGTAGCCATGTGGTTAGGGGTATGTAGCCATGTGTTTAGGGGTATGGAGCCATGTGTTTAGGGGTATGTAGCCATGTGTAAGGAGTATCTAACCATATGTTTAGGGGTATGTAGCCATGTGTTAAGGGGTATGTAGCCATGTGTTTAAGGGTATGAAGCCATGTGTTTAGGGGTATGTAGCCATGTGTTAGGAGTATTTAACCATGTGTTTAGGGGTATGTAGCCATGTGTTTAAGGGTACGTAGCCATGTGTTTAGGGGTATGTAGCCATGTGTTAGGAGTATTTAACCATGTGTTTAGGGGTATGTAGCCATGTGTTAGGAGTATTTAACCATGTGTTTAGGGGTATGTAGCCATGTGTTAGGAGTATTTAACCATGTGTTTAGGGGTATGTAGCCATGTGTTAGGAGTATTTAACCATGTGTTTAGGGGTATGTAGCCATGTGTTAGGAGTATTTAACCATGTGTTTAGGGGTATGTAGCCATGTGTTGAAGGGTATGTAGCCATGTGTTTAGGGGTATGTAGCCTTATGTTCAGGGGTAAGTAGCCATGTGTTAAGGGGTATGTAGCCATGTGTTTAAGGGTATGTAGCCATGTGATTAGGGGTATGTAGCCATGTGTAAGGAGTATCTAACCATATGTTTAGGGGTAAGTAGCCATGTGTTAAGGGGTATGTAGCCATGTGTTTAAGGGTATGTAGCCATATGTTTAGGGGTATGTAGCCATGTGTAAGGAGTATCTAACCATATGTTTAGGGGTAAGTAGCCATGTGTTAAGGGGTATGTAGCCATGTGTTTAAGGGTATGTAGCCATGTGTTTAGGGGAATGTTGCCAACATGTAAAGGTTTTGTTGATGACCATTACCTGTCACTCATAATTACCTGTCAAAAGTCACCACAGGTATTTTATAATTACGTTTTGAAAATCACAACCTGAGTTTTGTAATTACCTGTTGAAGATGAAAATCAGTATTTCATTATTACCTGTTCAAGGTCATTACCTGTACCTGGAGAGTTCCAGTCCATCTCACCCTGGAGACAAGACCATTTTAGAGAGTTCCGAGTACTACGAGTCGGGCCCAGCATGTAATATGACCTTCTGGTACAACATGAAAGGACAGAACATAGGGTCACTCAGTGTACTTGTCAAGCTCAGTGTAGGCCCAATACAGACCCTCTGGATAATGACTGGTGATCAGGGACCCAGTTGGAAATTGGCTTCCATACCTTTGACTAGCTATCACAAATTTGTCATCATGATCAAAGGAGTTCGAGGAAATGGTTACCTTGGTGATATTGCCATTGATGACATCACCTTTAACAACTGTCAACCTAGTAAGTACATGTTATTTAGTGTCGTGGAACTGGACTGGATCGATAGTTGAAGACCAGGTAGCTCAATTGCCAAAAGCGACCGTCTAGAGTTCGGAAGGTCCCAAGTTTGAATCTCGGTCTGGTCGTTGAATTTCCCTTTCTCCCGTTACAAATGCATTAAATGTGAAGAAAAGTAATACACTAATATATCCCTGTAATGACATTGGGAGGGGTATACTTTAATCTCTCCGTCCGTCTGTACAGAAAAAGAAGTCCAACATATCGCTGTTTACCTTCTCAATCAATTTTAAATCCTGTACATATTTCATGCTTATTGTCAGAACAAATCTGTGTGTATCTATTTGTTACATCCCTTTTCTGAAATCTGTTTTTTTAAATAAAATATTGACCAATATTGATAAAATGTATTAGACTTGATTAGTGCACCTGCAGTTCATTTTTGTTGATTTAATGACAATTTTGTTGGAACTTATAGTTTCTTTTCTGATATATTTTTTTATAAATCTTTTGACTGCTACTTAAGGTCTTGACCCATAATTATAAAACTTATTACACATTATTGGTAACTTATTATGCAATTGTGATTTATTTTGCATTTTAAGTACTTTTACTGAAGTTATGATTCTTTGATGATATTCTTATTTGGAGGTGGTGTATAATAGTTAGCCAGTGGCCTACAGTTCTAATTTGTGCTTGGAGCACTAAGCACAATAAGTCATTGATGCCTTAAGTGAATATTTAAGACTGTGTTGTTTTCAAAAGATATGCTTTTATTGATTTTCATGAAACATTTTACTCTTCTTATACAGCTGTTGAAGTGAAGACATGTCCAGATAATCAGTTCCGTTGTCACAGTGGGACAGAATGTATACAGGAACGGTATCGCTGTGATGAACGAACTGACTGTACAGATGGATCTGACGAGGATGATTGTCGTAAGTAGTTTATTCAGTCATCATCTACAACATTGTAAAATTCTAACAAGACTGTGAAATAATGTTAGTTATTTTGGTTCACAAACAGGACTGGGAAATAATGTTAGTTATTTTGGTTCACAAACAGGACTGGGAAATAATATTAGTTAATTTGGTTAAAAAACAAGACTGAAACAATGTTAGTCACTTTGGTTCACAAACAGGACTGTGAAATATTGGTTCACAAACAGGACTTTGAAATAATATAAGTCACTTTGGTTTACAAACAAAAGTTTAAAATAATATTTGGTTTATTAACAAGAGGATGACATACTTATTGGTAAGATTTCTACCCGACAAGTTTAGATACTGATACTCTGTCTAATGGTATGCCCATACAGGTACAAATTCGGGAGACTGTAGCTTTGACCAGCCAAGCCCCATCTCATCTTGTGCCTGGACCCAGTTACAGGACGATGACTCAGACTGGTTACAGGGACCTATTGTTTCTGGCCACAGCACTGGCACCAACATTGACCATCGTCATACAGCCAATGGAAAGTTCATGGTGATGAACAGTTTGAACATGCGTCCAGGTGACACAGCCCGCCTACAGACACCAGTTTTCCTCGCCAGTCGTGGGCTGTGTTACGTACGCTTCTGGTACTACATGTATGGCTCGCCAAACCTTGGCTCTCTCAGGGTAGGTCACACATTTTAACACAAATTATATCATACTGAAATCATTTCTGATTGGTTAAAAGAACAGATGTACTGAACTTTCTAGTTCAGTGTGTTCCTAAGGTATTGCTATAAAATATACACTGTTGTGATATTTTGTCTACTAGACTCACCTTTTAGCATGTGATGTATATATGTCATTTTCCAGATATTGGTATTTCAACCTAGCTATTAACCTAATGTTGTATATTATGTCATAATGTTTTACTTGCAATCATAACTGATAGTTCAATCATTTCTTTGACCAAACAGGAAAACTTATGGCAATGAACATACATTTTTGTCTTTCTTCACAATATTTATTCTAACTTTTTTTTTTCTTCTCTTTTCCCACCTGAATTGAGACCTGTTGATGTACATGTATATTGACATGACAGTGAAGCTTTAGAGACAACGTAAATTCATTATTTACCCAACAGGAACCATACAATTTATTCTTCAAGTCATCTCTTTGACTAGTATTCGCACTCCCTAATGGCATCCTGTAGATATTTCATTTAAATCTGTTTTAGAGAAGATATTTCTAGCAGGAAGCAAATTTGAATTAGAATAAGGATAAGCAGTGTAATGCAAATATTGTTTGGTTCTTACAATGTCACAGATTTAGTTAAAATGGTGATTTAGAGGTCGATACAGAAATTTATCACAATTACAATATATTTTCTTTGAAAATGGAATCTGATAGCTAAGATGCCAGTTTTCCCCTTTGTTACAGCTGTACACACAAAATGCCAATGAACAGAACAACCAGCTGTTTTGGTCCATGAGTGGTAGTCAAGGTAACCAGTGGAAATATGCCAATGTGCTACTAGGCAGTGGCAAGAACTTTTCAGCCATTTTTGAGGCTACCCATGGAGATGAGCCTCAATCTGATGTTATACTGGACGATGTGTCGTTCACACCTGAGTGCTCGACAGGCAGTAAGTTGCTACTATTGATTTAAATAATTTATAGAAATATATACACTGTATTGTAACATGTATTGTTTTTGTAGAATTATCTAAGTTTAACACTCATCACAGTATTTTGTGAATGTACCAGGTATGTAACTAGATGTATTGTTACCGTCTATGCTTACGCTAACACTTACAGGTTAAGACCCTCATGAGTTCCTCTGAAACCATCTAACATGATTGTAACTGTAGCGTCACACCTACACGTTCTTATCCACAGGAGTTCCTCTAAAACTATCTTGACATAATTGTAACTGTAGCGTCACACTTACACATTCTTACCCACAGGAGTTCCTCTAAAACCATCTAACATAATTGTGACTGTAGCGTCTGGAACCATCTAACATGATTGTAACTGTAGCGTCACACCTACACGTTCTTACCCACAGGAGCCCCTCTAAAACTATCTTGACATAATTGTAACTGTAGTGTTACACATTCTTACCCGCAGGAGTTCCTCTGAATCCATCTGACATAATTGTAACTGTAGTGTTACACATTCTTACCCACAGGAGTTCCTCTAAAACTATCTTGACATAATTGTAACTGTAGCGTTACACCTACACCTTCTTACCCACAGGAGGTCCTCTAAAACCATCTAACATAATTGTAACTGTAGCATTACACTTACACATTCTTACCCACAGGAGTTCCTCTAAAACTATCTTGACATAATTGTTACTGTAGCGTTACACCTACACCTTCTTACCCACAGGAGTTCTTCTAAAACCATCTAACATAATTGTAACTGTAGCATTACACTTACACATTCTTACCCACAGGAGTTCCTCTAAAACCATCTAACATGATTGTAACTGTATAGCGTTACACTTACACATTCTTACCCACAGGAGTTCCTCTGAATCCATCCAACATAATTGTAACTGTAGCATTACACTTACACATTCTTACCCACAGGAGTTCCTCTAAAACCATCTAACATGATTGTAACTGTATAGCGTTACACTTACACATTCTTACCCACAGGAGTTCCTCTGAATCCATCCAACATAATTGTAACTGTAGCATTACACTTACACATTCTTACCCACAGGAGTTCCTCTTAAACTATCTTGACATAATTGTAACTGTAGCGTTACACTTACACATTCTTACCCACAGGAGTTCCTCTGAAACCATCTAACATGATTGTAACTGTAGTATTACACATTCTTACCCACAGGAGTTTCTCTGAAACCATCTAACATGATTGTAACTGTAGTGTTACACATTCTTACCCACAGGAGTTCCTCTGAAACCATCTAACATGATTGTAACTGTAGCGTCTCACCTACACGTTCTTACCCACAGGAGCCCCTCTAAAACTATCTTGACATAATTGTAACTGTTGTGTTACACATTCTTAACCACAGGAGTTCCTCTGACATAATTTTAACTGTAGCGTTACATGTTCTTACCTGAAGGAGTTCCTCTAAAAATTGTAACTGTAATATTATATGTTCTGCCCCACAGAAGCCCCTGTAACACCGTCTGGACTTCGCTGTGATGCTGACTCCTTCGAATGTGCTCCTGTCAAGCAGTGCTACCCAGACACCTGGCGCTGCGATGGTGTTGTCGACTGCCCTGACAGATCTGACGAGCCATATTTCTGTCCTACGACCCCTGCTCCAACAGGAAGTACCCCAAAACATGTGGGTCCTACTAGGACCACTCAGACACCAGCCCCCAAGTCCCTGCCACCCTCTTCACACAAACCGAGCACACACAGACCTATTGTCAGTACATGTACAGACACCCAGAAGTCCTGCAGTAACGGCAAGTGTATCAACAAACTCTACTTCTGTGATGGTGTTGCTGACTGCTCTGATGCCTCGGATGAAGTCAACTGCTGTAAGTACACTACTTAACCAGCTAAACATTGTCAGTAGTCACATTTTACACATCTAAACATTTTAAGTCGACTCACATACTACAACAATCATACATTTCAGTCAAGTCACGTTTTAAACATCCCAACATTTGCAGTAGAAGTCCTGGCCATTGTAGATTGTAATACTATCAAATACTATCAATTATGGCTGTTTTTTAAATAACCAAATGAATGAAATACTCATGATCATTTTTGTTGTGCCTATAAAATCAGAGATATATACTACACTGACCTGTTTTGCTTTTCACTCAGTTTTAGATTCCAATTGGCCAGTTCTGTTTAGAATTAATTTAAATCGTGTTCTGATTTTTATGATAAAGGCAGCTGGTGTTATTATGTTAAACCATATTGTCTGATTGGCTGATTCAGAGAGAATTTTAGACATTTTGTTCTGACAGTTCTGCCAGGTCAATTTTATCCCAAACTGATACAATGTTTCTCTTCTTTTTATGGACGAGGTTTAATTTGCTACTGTAACTGATCGGCTCCATTAGAAATCCAAGCTCAGGTTATCAGAAACATTTTTAACTGATCTGGGCCAAAGGGGAAGGTTAGCTTATGCCATGGTGTAATGTCATCTTCCAGTTTCAACTCTTTTCCTCTTTAACACCACCCCCAGCTAAAGGAATTTTGCCTGAATTTGGTCTAGAGATCCTTGGGAAAATGGAAATACAACTGCTTGGCTTGAAAAGACAATCTATGCTAGATTTGAAGACTGATATAGGCTTAGCCTGTTGCCTTATCATTTTGTTAATATGAGTACTTTGTGCTATTTATTATTTTGAATATATACTACTGTATTGATACAAGCACAATCATGCTATCATGATTGGTCCCTAGGGCCAGCCCAACCCCTGGTGACTTAGTTTCTTGGTCATAACATGAAAACCATTGAGATTGCAACCCTTTTACCATATATTACTATTTGGAATATTCTACAGTGATGCTTGAATATCCAAGTGAGCAATACAGGCCCTTGGAGCATCTTGTCAAGTTCATGTGTAATTCAGATTATAAATAAGTAGAAAGAAGCTATGTGTGTTCAAATGTGTGGTTTGAGTAATAATATCGAAAGAAGAAGAAAAACAATGATCAAAAACATAAAAATGATATTAAAAAAATGTTTTGTGTTTTTTACCCTGCAGTGTCCTGCCATAAGGGTTATTACTACTGTCTAAAGCAGCGTCAGTGTATTAACAGTACCCGCTGTGACTCCATCGACGACTGTGGTGATATGACAGATGAGAGTATTTGTGGAACAGGTAAGCGCACCTGAACAATTTGAGATTAGGAAGTAGTGATATCAATTAGCTTTTAACATGATTTTTTATTTGCTGTTATTTTTTAGGGGTAAATACCTTGTTAATAAAAGATAAATTTTATTTTGGTCATATCATTTTTATTGTTGTGTCATATTTATATTTATGCAAAATTAAGGAGTGCCATAAAAACGACCAGAAAAAGCAACCAGGAGAAAGATGAACGACATCATCATCCTCTGCCATACCATACTAAAGTTATGGTAATTATTGCTGAAATGAAAAATAGGTTTTGATATCAGCTACAAAACATTTGTTTAATTTCAGCTTGCCCACCAAACTTTTGCCAAAATAACGGGATATGTAATGCTGCCACGACCAAGGTACCAGGATGCAGGTAGGCTAATTCAGTCTTCTTGACTATTCTTACAGAGTTCAATTTGTCCTGTCAGTCTTTCATTGAAACTTTTCACAATCCAAAAGTTCGCGAAGTAAGAATGTTTTAATTCCCACACATTGTAAATGACATTAAGAAAGCTATATTGGCATACATTTGATATTTCACATGTTGTTGACAGTTTTTAATCAATGTCTTGATGTTAAATAACATACATCCAAATTATGTTACCTGGTATATAATATTGCCTTTTATAGCTGGTGTCTTCAGCTTTGAAATTTTAAACATGTTGGAATGCCCAATTGAAATCAGTTCATGAAATATATTTTATGTAAATCCAAATAGTGCTTCAGTGTACTACAGTATACCGGAAATTCTTGCTGCAGTTTAAATTTTGTCCTACGTTATAAGGGTGAATTAGTTACGACAGTGAAAATATGTACATAGCATACTATACTTAGCAATAATATATGAAGGGCAAAACAAACACAGCGCGAAAAACAGATTCTACTAGTGAAGGGTAGACATTTGACTAAACCGTGTACAGTCTGTTAGGGTAACCTTGTGGACCCTTTATTTTACAGTTGTACTGGTAATTTCTATGGTGACAGATGTCAATATGTAGCCAAGGGATCCACGGCATCACACACACAGACCAGATCTAACAGTGGTTCATCAAGTAAGTTATCTCCCTTGTATAGAAGATGATTCAGGCAACAGCTCATCTCTCTCCAGTAATACTTTATGGTCTTATCAGCATCTCACCTCAAGTTCTTATTGAGACTTGGTCTACTCAAACACAATACTTTGATGTCGAAGGAAAAATGCAGTTTCTGTATTATATATTTCGAATGATCCTAACCACTAGATATATTTATAAACTGTCAAATTGTTTACTGTTGATGAATTTTATATCTTTGATATACAATATTAACATTTTATCCCATTTTATTTCAATTGTACAAAATCTGCATTCTCTTTTGCAAAGGATGGGTAGTATGTCTACAAAGAATTGTTGTAAAACATAATGTACAGATTTGTGCGCAAATTTCCTGCCTTTTTTTAACACAAATCCATGATGGGTTGATAGCATGTGCAAATGACTTTTTTAGGGGGTTATGCTACCCCTGGTGGCACTTACTTTTTTAGGGGGTTATGCTACCCCTGGCGGCACTCTCCCTATGTTTGATTCATTCCTTTTTAATTTGTGATTGCTAGTTTGCTACTGAATCACTTACATTCTTGATCGTCTGTAAAATAATATAAGAATATAAGTGACATTCAATGGTCTTTGCAACAACTCGGCCCTCCCTAATAAAACATTATGTTCCATCGGATTGGGATATCCACTGGAACTGGATCATTCCATTAGCCGACACACTGATCATCATAACTATTGTGACGTCACAATTTACAGTACGGCCATTATTTTCCTTCCAGCCTATTGTCACAATAGGCTGGAAGGAAAATAATAGATGTCACTCCGATTGGCTTTGAATTTCCAAATGCTTTTTTGAAATATTTTTATCATTTTCATTGTAATGTAAAATCTATACTTGGGAATGAGGTATATATAAGGTGATTCCAATCATCTAGATGAAATATTTAACAAAACCATCAATAAACTTCAGATGTTCTTTGAAATTTCATCCCTGGGGTTAAACTCAACTTATTTATACCTCAAAACAAAGATGTTAAAGAGCTACACCTTGGCCCCACGTAGGGAAATATGTTAATTTAGTTACACCTAGGCCTCACACAGGGAAATATGTTAATTTAGTTACACCTAGGCCCCACCAGGGACAGTATCCTTGGACCCACATAGGGAAATATGTTGATTTAGTTACACCTAGGCCGCACACAGGGAAATATGTTGATTAAGCTACACCTTGGCCCCACACAGGGAAATATGTTGATTAAGCTACACATTGGCCCCTTACAGGGAAATCTGTTAATTTAGTTACCCCTTGGCCCCACCCAGTGAAATATGTTAATTAGGTTACACCTAGGGGGGCTCCATACAGGGAAATATGTTAATTTAGTTACACCTAGGCCGCACACGGGGAAATATGTTGATTAAGCTAAACCTTGGCCCCACACAGGCACAGGGAAATATCATGATTAAGATACACCTTGGCCCCACCCAGGGACAGGGAAATATCATGATTAAGCTACACCTTGGCCCCACACAGTGAAATATATTAATTAAGCTACACCTTGGCCCCTTACAGGGAAATCTGTTAATTTAGTTACACCTTGGCCCCACCCAGGGAAATATGTTGATTAAGCTACACATTGGCCCCTTACAGGGAAATCTGTTGATTTAGTTACACCTTGGCCCCACCCAGGGAAATATGTTGATTAAGCTACACCTTGGCCCCACACAGGGACAGGGAAATATCATGATTAAGCTACACCTTGGCCCCACACAGGTAAATATATTAATTAAGCTACACATTGGCCCCTTACAGGGAAATCTGTTAATTTAGTTACACCTTGGCCCCACCCAGGGAAATATGTTGATTAAGCTACACCTTGACCCCACACAGGGAAATATGTTGATAAAGTTACACCTAGGGAGCCCCTTACAGGGAAAGATGTTAATTTAGTTACACCTAGGCCCAACACAGGGAAAGATGTTCATTAAGTTACACCGAGGGGGGCCCCTCACAAGAAAATATGCTAACTAAATTACACCTAGGTGGGGCCCCACACAGGGAAATATGTTAATTAGGTTACACCTAGGGCGGCTCCACACAGGGAAATATGTTCATTAAGTTACACCTATGGGGGCCCCACACAGGGTAATATGTTAATTAAGCTACACCTAGGCCCAACACAGGGAAAGATGTTTATAAAGCTACACCTAACCCCACACAGGGAAAGATGTTTATAAAGCTACACCAAGGGGGGCCACACACAGTGAAATATGTTAATTAAGTTACACCTAAGGGGGTTCAACACAGGGAAATATGTTCATAAAGCTGCACCTTGGCCCACTCGCACCTCATTGTTAGTTGATTTAACTATAATCAATATACCTTACTTTATCTAATTCTGCTTGATTTGTGAAGTGTAACAATAGTCTCAATAATTTAGGACTTCTCAGCTTTTAAATCATATGCAACATATTCTTCTCCGTGTAAAAATCTTTCCTTTAGTCGTATTTGGCCCTAGTTTCCATACTTTCATTAATTTTGCATACCCCTGTTGTCCTAGCTAATTGCTTACTCATGAAGCCATAGATTCTGAGAATATAGAATTATGCACTACCTGGGAAATTTGCATTCCTTCTTAAGTATATGTATATATGTTTTGAGTTGCCCATTCTTTCTGTAGACACAACGTTATTTTTGAACTCTTTCAAAATTGCTACAATGATTTGAATGTTACTTGGTATACAGAACCCTTACACCAAGTGGATGTGAAAAAAGTACGTACAGACTAAGTAACCCCCACCCCTTCCAATTGAATTATGCCCCTTTGTTTGAAAAGTTCTTCAAGCTACTTTCACATAATTCACATTTTAAGAGGATGAGATGAAAGCATATAAAGGGTTGGAGTCACGGCACGGCTCTGTGTTGTATCTTTGAGCAAGATACTTTACTCCGCTTGTTCCAGTCTACTCAGCTGTAAATGAGTATGTGGTTGGGCAGCGCTAGAATTGTTGAATGCTAGCTGTTAGCACCGAAATAACAGCTCCGGCTGTATGCTCCCCAGGGAGTTGAGAAAGATATTGGCTGGTTGCGAAGGCCCTATAACCATAGATAATAATTTGTGAACCCCTTTGAGACGACCTACGAATTAACTAGGTTGTGATAAAGCAGTATATAAGAACCTCAAATTATTAATATTATAAAATGGAGCTACTACCCCTTTTTCAGAGATGTGCTATTTAAATAATTGGCACATGGGGTATTGGTGTACATTTCTTGCTTCAGTTTTAGTTCGATATACAGGGCAAACACTACCGTAGCACCATCCTGCATCTGGTATATAGGACAAAACATGACCATAGTACCATGCTGCATCTGGTATATAGGACAAAACATGACCATAGTACCATGCTGCATCTGGTATATAGGACAAAACATTACCATAGTACCATGCTGCATCTGGTATATAGGACAAAACATGACCATAGTACCATGCTGCATCTGGTATATAGGACAAAACATTACCATAGTACCATGCTGCATCTGGTATATAGGACAAAACATGACCATAGTACCATGCTGCATCTGGTATATAGGACAAAACATTACCATAGTACCATGCTGCATCTGGTATATAGGACAAAACATGACCATAGTACCATGCTGCATCCTTCATTTGTCATTAGCTAATGCCTAATATGGTAACAACAGATTAACAGACTAGATCTTTCATTTGCTATTGATTCTTTCTTGAAGAAACTTTATACCCAACTTAATCACTGAAGAGTGGAAACGGGTGAATCACATTTAAATATTTCATTATTTGTAATTTCGATTGGTACCAAGGACCTATATATTGCCAGGTTGCCCGACGAGCTGTAATACTTCACTATTTTTCCTTCTGATAAGTTGTAATACATAATATTTCTATTCTCCATGTTTGATTCTCCCTCTGTCAAGACTAAATGTAATATTTGTAATCCCTGTGTTAGATTCTCCCTCTGTAAAGACTAAATGTAATATTTGTAATCCCCGTGTTAGATTCTCCCTCTGTAAAGACTAAATGTAATATTTGTAATCCCCGTGTTAGATTCTCCCTCTGTAAAGACTAAATGTAATATTTGTAATCCCCGTGTTAGATTCTCCCTCTGTAAAGACTAAATGTAATATTTGTAATCCCCGTGTTAGATTCTCCCTCTGTAAAGACTAAATGTAATATTTGTAATCCCCGTGTTAGATTCTCCCTCTGTAAAGACTAAATGTAATATTTGTAATCCCCGTGTTAGATTCTCCCTCTGTAAAGACTAAATGTAATATTTGTAATCCCCGTGTTAGATTCTCCCTCTGTAAAGACTAAATGTAATATTTGTAATCCCCGTGTTAGATTCTCCCTCTGTAAAGACTAAATGTAATATTTGTAATCCCCGTGTTAGATTCTCCCTCTGTAAAGACTCAATGTAATATTTGTAATCCCCGTGTAAGATTCACCCCTTGTTAAGACTAAAAATAATACTTGTAATATCCATGTTAGATTGTCCCTCTGTTAAAGACTAACTGTTTTGTTTATATTCTTAATTTAAGATTTACATTTACATGAAAAATGTAGTTAGATGTATCAATACAGAGCCAGACACCGGCAGTTAAGGACATTTGTGTTTCATACAGTAACACATATTATAGTAGGCTCTTTGTGAACCATGCTCTAGGACTTATTGACGTTCGTGATTCATAAAATAATTTAAAAATTAGTTAACACTTCCTCAAAAAAATTGATGTTTCAAAAAAATGTGTTCCTGCTATGCCAAAAAGTAGTCACAAAATAGTATAATGACTGCCGTGGTAGCCGTCATACTACTCACTGTGTGCAATCAAGCGTGAGCTTTAGACCATTTGCTCTCCCAAGAATTTCAGTTTGATCGCCAGCAATGGCAGAAAAAAGTGAGTGATGTCTGATAAGGTAAGCTGTTATCCCTCTGATGGCACAGCGGTTTTCCCCCGTGGGTTTTCCTCCACCACGAAAACACATTTGTTACCTTAGCGGTGTCTTAATAAAAGCTCTACAGAACTTATGTTTGTTGTTGACAATCGTACATGACGTTAAATATAGATTATTATTATAATAAAATGTGCCATGTTCAGATAGTATAAACAATGCAAAGTAAGTTGAACTTGTGTATTTGTTCACAGATGGTGTTGGTATTGGACTCGGGGTCACAGCAGGAATACTAGTGGTACTAGCATTAGTCCTAGGTGGCTTCTTTTACAGGAAGAAACGAAATGCAAGGTATTAACAATTAACACAAATCTAAAATAGTCCACTAGCTTAACAAAAGATATCTGAATTCATAGAAGATCAATAAACTTCACAAAAAGAAAATGGCCTGCCCTCAATTTTAATCATTAGAGAATAAATCTTCTTGTATTTTGCCGTTAGTATAAAGAATCATGTTATTTCTAGTGAATGATGCTTTAATAAAGCAGATAGTAGGTTTCTTAACAATGTGAAACTTCATATTTTTCACGGGAAAATCAAGTTATAGATTGCTTTCTGCAATGTTGTTTGAAGATGACTTTATCTAATGTTCCTGTTTAAGGTATGATGATTTTATCCAATGATTCTGTTTAAGGTAGTTTTACTTTATCTAAGGTTGACGTTTAATTTGAAGTGGTTTTGTTAAATGAAGTTACATCCATCACACCATATAATTGTACATTTTTTTCTCAACAGAATGGCTCTGCCTGGCATAGTAAATCAAATTTACGAGGATACTTCCAACGATATGCATGATGTAAGTAAAAGCAAACAAAAATATATTTTGTATAAATTATCTTATTTAGATGTTATAGTCAACCTTGGTCTCCTGACACCATCACTTAATTTGGATCCCCGGTCATGTCAGATTTATCAGAAACGAGAAAAAAGTTAGTGCTGAACACTCCAACCCTGGCATCCCTCTGTAAGAGCTGAAGCTCCCCAACCCTGACATCCCTCCTAGGAGCTGAAACACTCCAACCCTGACATACCTCCTAGGAGCTGAAACATTCCAACCCTGACATCCCTCCTAGGAGCTGAAACATTCCAACCCTGACATCCCTCCTAGGAGCTGAAACACTCCAACCCTGACATCCCTCCTAGGAGCTGAAACATTCCAACCCTGACATCCCTCCTAGGAGCTGAAACACTCCAACCCTGACATCCCTCCTA